TCCGCTATTTTTCCTCCTACTCAGAAACAACCAAAACGCAAGGCCGGTAGAACATATATATCACCACGAAATAGTAACCCTTACCGCATATTTTGATGGGGGCTTCGAGCTCCAAAAGATTGGGCTGCTCTAGAAAAATATCCTTCGACACCAGACACAGCAGCCGAATCTCTGCCTCCGAAAGAGGATTTTCTTCCGTGGGCCGATTGCCCTCGGTGGCCACCAACCGGCTGATTATGGTATCCAGAACCTGAGGATCCATCTTCGACCTGCAGACGATCAGAACCAAAGGCAAAAGCGGAGAAATTTCTCTGAAACATGATAGTCAGAGAAGAGAATAAGGAAGAAGGAGTCGCTACTTCCACTCAGAAGCCTCGTCGGGGAGGACGTCGGAGGGAAGGGCAGACGAAGAAGAGCTCCGCTGACGCGCTGACGCGTGAGAGCTGCAGATTCGTCCTGGATGTTGACTTCCTAACCCCCAGCGGGGCTCATTAGTCTCTGTGGGCCATACTGCCGCCCATAAGTCAACTTTCACATGTATTCAACATGAAAATTGTATCCTCATGTACAAGAATCAAACGCCTTTCAATTTGGAATGTCAAGCGAACTATGAACATTTCAAAAAAATGACTAGACCACTTGAGGAAAAACTGATAATGAACCATCATACTTCAAAAGTGCATTGTTCTTGAATGATATGAGTTGAATTTCTCGGTGACATGCAACCAATCAGGTATGGGGAATGTAGCGCAACGGATAATTGATGAATACATAGTATTAGATTTCCACAAGAATGAGGGAGAGGGGTTGAAAGGGAAACATATTAGAGGGAAGCTTGAGCTTAGCAGACTTCATTGCAATTGAGATGCGTACAAAGAAGATGTCAAAAACGGAAATGACCATGTCTTGATGGGGATCCTTTCCTTGAAGTGGTTGGACAAGGAGATCATGGAAAAAGAGAACTTCCACTAATGAAAACTAAGGATCAAGAGAGAGATACTAGGCAGGAGTGGCGAGATGGATCTCTGACCCCTTCTGAGACAGACCTATTCGAGATGTTGAGTCTCCTAATTCCACTTTGGAATTAGGTTAGAAGTCAGCCTGACTCCTCTTCAGAAGAGTCCCTCTTTGATTCAACTGCCAAGTGCCAGTTGGCCAGTAAGTTCCTTCCAATTTTAATATACTTTATTTATTTATTCATTTTAAATTAAAAATGTGAATATAAAAATCATTTAATTAATCATAAATTCACATTAGTCACGTAAAAACTTTTTTTTTTAATTTAAGAGAAATATAAAGTTATTTAACATGAGTTAATGCATGCATCATATCATTAACATATCATTTACTCATAAAAATAGATAGAAAAAGCCTATTGATTGGATTTTGTCAACTTATGCATGTGAGATAGGAAAAAAATGAAATTGTCAAAGGATGATGCATGCGACACTTTTCATGACGGTGATAAAATTGAGTAAAAAAAATAATATCCAAATGGACATACAAATGTGTAAAATGCAGCCATCCTTGGCCCATGAAGATCTACTATTATAGAATAAATCATCACATGCAATGGGGATGAAGGCTGAATGATATTATCACTCTCTCAAATGTGTTCATGCAGAGTACTAGCGTCATAGTCTTTCTCCATGAGTAGTAAGCATCCAAGGTTTCCAGAGATTATCTTTCAACTCAAATGCCATCTCCTAGAACACCACACACTTGATCAAGATGCTTTCTATCAAAATTATTTCCAATGCAGTCAACTAAATAAATAAGTTTGGATCTCATGCTTTCTCGCTCTGCATCTGGTTTTCAATTCTCTAGGTATGATATCTGAAGCAATTCAACCATAGAAGAAATGTAGTCTCCAACCCTGTACAAGCATTCACGTCCACCCTTTGGTGGCCGAATAGTAGCAGTATTTATTATCTTTGAGCAAAGTCATGTCACATCATAGGAAACTATTTAAGCAATATACAATTTTTAGTTCTCACTCTTTAAATTCTGTAAAAGAAATAATTACATACTTATTAGGAGATAAATATGAGAAAATGAGCTTCCTCAACAATTCCTTTTGACCTTCCTTTCAAAAATTAATCAATAATATACACCCCACTAATGTCAACAGCTCAAAAAAAAAAACCACACTGTGAAGATGTCTTAATTAACGCTGAGTTAAATATAACTCAATACGTACTAGCTTCATAACACAAAGTAGTGTGATTATGCTAATACTTTTAATTGACTGGGATAATTTGAATGCACTTAATTAGAACCAAAGGTCAAATGCTTGGACCAAAAACCAAGTGGATTCGTGCAGAATCATTGACCAATGATGGGTTCATCGGGAGCTAGAGGAAACTATCTTAAATGTCCCTATAAATATCATAATTTGTTATATTAAGAAAAGTCACTAAAATACAAGAAAAACATCTATGTACCTAAAAAGGAAAAAAGATATGTATCTTCTATAAATAAATTCACATATTCTGGATATGCACAAATAATGAAGATAATATTCATAATATTATCATATTACGAGATGTTGGCATACCAAAAACTTTATACAGAATTTTTTTTGATGCCTTCTCATCCAAAAAAATGAAAAACTATGGATTTATTTAATCCTAGCAGTGGTTCCACTTGCATTAATAAATAGGAGGCCTAGACAAGATCATATTCTTCAACCATCTAAGAATGGTGTCAGTACTTATAAGTACCGCCGTGAAGGGATCTCATCCACCTCCTCAAACACGGTCGGACTCCATGTACCCCAGTCCAATGTCACATCGTCGTCTTCGACAGACTGGAAGCTCGAATCCATTGTCGCCGAAGATTGGATTGAGAGAGTATCTAGGTCGAGGGCCGTCGTGAAGTCCTCCTGCTCATTCCTAGAGAGTGAACAACCAAGAGAAGGGTCGATTCCATGAATGTAGGAGTTAAAGGAAAGCAGAGAAAGGCATGGAAGAGAAGCAAAAAATTTGGAGCACTGGGTGAGCAAAGGTATCTCACTCTTGGGGTTATATGTATGAAAATAATTAAATTTTCTATAAAAAGTATGTTTACCTGAGATGGCGGAGTGGTTGTGAGGAACTTGGTCCATACATTGGCCGACGCAGCCCGCTCTTCACGCCAAAAGTATACTGTGTTGAGTTGCAAGAAGATTCAGATGAAATTAGTAACCAGCCCGTTTTAAAGCTCATGAGCAATATGTAGCAGAAACATTCGGAGGGGTCATGAAATCCATTGACAATGATCATTGTCAGGATTTAGGTGTTTGACGTGACTTAGTCGTTGTATATGAAATCATGTAAATCTAAAATTTATAAAACTAGAAAATACGAATTTTTAGATATTTAGAAGTATGTATAAATAAATATATCAATTATAATTCAATAAAAGTTCCAAAAATAGCAGTAATTTTCTAGGTCAATCATAGGGATGTAATATAATATCTGGTAATTATTCAAAAAAACTTCAATGAATATGATTTTTTATGATTTTTATACTAGTAAATGAAAAGGAAATATATTTAAAATTCACGAAAAAGGAAAATAAGGGTGCGGACATCGGGATGACATGAGCGCCCGACGAATGCAATTCGGGCGAAAATAGAGTTCCCCTCGGCGATTCCTACGTTAGCGATTACCGACGATTTAATTGATCAAATTAAGATCTGTAGAAGTCAGAAGAATTGTAATAGAAGAAAGTATATTTTTGTAAATTAAAATCACAAAAACTATCACTAAATGAAGCATAAAATAAGTTGAAAGAAGAAAAACAGAGTTGTGGCGTCGCGACGGCGATGCGTCAATGTTTCACTGGAATCCTGAGCGTTCGAGAGGATCGTCATGTAGTGTCCACATCCTTAAAGGCTCTCCTTAGACAAAGATGATGTAGGCAATCTCTAGATCTCCTTGCGAAGTCTAGAGATTAATGAAATGGGTCATCGAGTCGTCTCCGGTGGCTGTCACTCGACAGAGCGGAAAAATGGCGACTTTGCAGCTCTTCGGTGGCTGTTGCCCAATGGAGAAGAGCTGGATGGAGGTGGGGTGCGTGTCAGGGAGCTTCATCCTTAGGTCTGCGTAGCAAAAGGAGGCTCTTCATCGCATCTCGTACGCTCTCAACAGGTGGCGACTCGTCTCTCGACGGATCGTCCTCTTCCTGACGGCAGCTTGTTCGTCGATCAATCAAAGATGATTTACTCGATGGATTCGCAATCCTTTTATCGTGAATCATTCAACAATTTTAGTAGCAATACTCCGCAAATCGTGTTGATGAGATTTTTGCTGATGATCCAGTGATTCTCGTCGCTTAATCTTTCACCGGCGATCTGCAGGAAAGTCATGATAATTAGATAAAAATATATGAATTTTGACACTAGGAGGATTTGAACCTGCACTAGTTGCCCACCTTTTCTAAGAGAGGTGTGACGTGGGTTTAGTCCCACATTAGTTGTGCACCGATTTTTCAGGCGAATATATAGTAATGTTAGCTTTCTAAAATCCCTTCTCTCGCATGTACGACCACTCCTTGCCCCATAGCCAGCTGGCCACTAGTGACGTGGAAGGGGAGTGGCACACACGTGCCCCTATCGTTCCAAGCCGCTTGAGCCCTTGCTTGCGATTACTCCCCGATTGCACTTCCGATCTACTTGCAGGCCTGGCTGGCCAGCGGGTCCCCCATTTTGTAATATTTTTATTTTTATTTCTTGTTCTTTATTTATCTCAAAAGTAAGATTGTAAAAATCGTATAAAATCACATAATTACCCACAAATTCACGTTAATCAACTGAAAACCACTTTTTACACTTTAACACAAATATAAGTCTATTTATCATGATTTAAGGCTAAAAATATATTATTTACTAATTATTAACTCATGATAATAAAGACTTATCAGTTTTCTTACTGATTCTATATTAACCCATTTGTGCAGTAATAACTACCATTGAAAAACTCCACCAATGTGACTCTGTTCTATGCAATAATAGTAGATCATACCTGATACATTGGCTTAGTTCGAAAGAAATTTGATCTCTTTATGGACCGCTTTAATATTTGAAATGAGTACATCAAATTCTCATCTATGCTCATTATCGCGCCTGCACTGTCGAACTGGTCAATATAACTAGGCGCTGAAAATATCGTGATGAGTTGCCCGTGGGCAACTAACTCATACCCATCCTTTACAACCTTGGGATAAGGGATTGCATGGTGATTCTGAACCTGATGAGCGCAACAGATAATCTCAAGGTCATGCTTCTGGAGAAACTGTGACATAATCTCAGGACCGAATGTGTATGAATAACCTTGATCCTTCGAGACCCAACCTGGAATATCTTCCCTTGGAACGGACCGAAGAAGATCACACAGCAATCGTTCATAACGAATAAAAGCAGGGCGTGGCAGATTTCGTATTTGATCGAAATTCTCCAGTTCTGGAGAAAGACCGCCGTGCACACAGAATATTTTCTCATTGACAAGAGCTGCCACAGGTTGTTCTTCTCAAGAAACTCCGACACAATGTCAGCACCGAATGTGTACGAAAAACCACGATCATTGATGCCCCATCCTTGGACATCTCTACTGGGATCGGACCAAAGGAGATCAGACAGCAATCCGGCATCAGGAACATCGGTGGGGCGTGCCAAATTTCGTATCTGATCCAAGTTCTTCAGATCTGGAGAAATACCACCATGCACAAAGAATATTTTGCCATCGACAAGAGCTGCCACAGGTAGGCAGTTAAAGCAGTCAATCGAGATTTTCCATAGCCTCACATTGAATCTTCTCTTACACTCGTCGTAGAAACCATATATACGATTCATGGATGCAGATTCATGATTACCCCGCAGAAGAAAGAAATTGTCGGGATACTTAATCTTGTAAGCCAGAAGAAGACACATCGTCTCCATATTTCGCCTCCCATAATCAACATAATTTCCAAGAAATAGATAATTACTTTCTGGGGGAAACCCGCCGAGCTCAAAAAGTCTCAAAAGATCAGAATACTGTCCGTGAATATCTCCTGCGCAAGATTGAACCCGCTAATTAGAAAAAAATGGAACGGTTAGGGGGGAGAATGAGATACAATAAGTAAACGGCTCATTATTTTGAGGACTGGAAAGAACGTATTCTGGTCAATCAGTTAGTTTCGGCCACCAGTCTTTCAGCTCTATTCTAGCAGTTGAACCGAAAAAGAGAAAAAAATGCCTAACAGAAGATCTGAAGCAGTAGCCCGTCTGATGAGAGAAGGAACTGGCTGGCTATGGAAAAGAAAAGGTCTAGATAAAGCAACAGCCGAAAAGAAATTCAGAAAATTCGACATCGCGAGGCCACAAAAAACGAAGAAACCGATCGGCTCCCTCAGCTTCTCCGCTATTTTTCCTCCTACTCAGAAACAACCAAAACGCAAGGCCGGTAGAACATATATATCACCACGAAATAGTAACCCTTACCGCATATTTTGACGGGGGCTTTGAGCTCCAAAAGATTGGGCTGCTCTAGAAAAATATCCTTCGACACCAGACACAGCAGCCGAATCTCTGCCTCCGAAAGAGGATTTTCTTCCGTGGGCCGATTGCCCTCGGTGGCCACCAACCGGCTGATTATGGTATCCAGAACCTGAGGATCCATCTTCGACCTGCAGACTATCTGAACCAAGGGCAAAAGCGGAGAAATTTCTTTGAAACACGATAGTCAGAAAAGAGAATAAGGAAGAAGGAGTCGCTACTTCCACTCAGAAGCCTCGTCGGGGAGGACGTCGGAGGGAAGGGCAGACGAAGAAGAGCTCCGCTGACGCGCTGACGCGTGAGAGCTGCAGATTCGTCCTGGATGTTGACTTCCTAACCCCCAGCGTGGCTCATTAGTCTCTGTGGGCCATACTGCCGCCCATAAGCCAACTTTCACATGTATTTAACATGAAAATTGTATCCTCATGTACAAGAATCAAACGCCTTTCAGTTTGGAATGTCAAGCGAACTATGAACATTTCAAAAAAATGACTAGACCACTTGAGGAAAAACTGATAATGAATCATCATACTTCAAAAGTGCATTGTTCTTGAATGATATGAGTTGAATTTCTCGGTGACATGCAACCAATCAGGTATGGGGAATGTAGCGCAACGGATAATTGATGAATACATAGTATTAGATTTCCACAAGAATGAGGGAGAGGGGTTGAAAGGGAAACATATTAGAGGGAAGCTTGAGCTTAGCAGACTTCATTGCAATTGAGATGCATACAAAGAAGATGTCAAAAACGGAAATGACCATGTCTTGATGGGGATCCTTTCCTTGAAGTGGTTGGACAAGGAGATCATGGAAAAAGAGAACTTCCACTAATGACAACTAAGGATCAAGAGAGACATATTAGGCAGGAGTGGCGAGATGGATCTCTGACCCCTTCTGAGACAGACCTATTCGAGATGTTGAGTCTCCTAATTCCACTTTGGAATTAGGTTAGAAGTCAGCCTGACTCCTCTTTAGAAAAGTCTCTCTTTGATCTTTCAAAATAGGCGCTCTTGTCTCCCGTTTGGTAATTCCTTGTGGCAATGGTTCAAGTACTCTTCAGGTACAATTCGGATGTGACCCACTTCAAAATCTCACTTTGTCCTCAAGGTGAAATGCGAAAAACTATTGCTAGACGTTGCGGGCAGTCCCCTAGGTATTATGTATTCTAGTAAATCTTTCCACTTGATCAGTACCTCCATGTCAACGGAGCTTTGTTGGACGTCGATAATGTCCTCTAGTTTGACACTCCATATTGGTTCTACAGTAAGAGCAGATCTAATAGCCCACCTGAGTTGGGATATGTGAAAAAATCAGAGTCACGCACACATGCGTGCGCACGATTGGCACGCGATGGCTGCACGGCAGGCATCGGGCATGCTACGAGCACAGTGGCATGCCATAACATGTGCGGCTGCGCATGAACGGCGCGCAGACGTGCACGACGCAGGCAGTGGACTCCGCCAGTGTTGCGCGAGGGCCAGCCGCTGGTAGGACGCAGCACAGAGCGACAGGTGCATATCGGCAGATCGGCAGATTTATCCTAGAGAATCTGTGGGGTGAGAAAGGAAGAAACGGATGTGTTTTCTATATTGGTGGAATCATTCCCTCTGACGGCCAAAAAGGGTTTTATCAACTAACCCTGCCAAGAGCAAATGTCTTCCGTTGAATAAGCAACCAACTAGGGTTTGAAGATCACAAGCAAGCTTTATGGGCATTCAACATGAAAATTATATCGTAATGTAAAGAAATTAAATGCCTTCACATCTGAAATATCTAGCAAACTAGGATCATGAAGTTTGACACTAACATTACGTGCGCTAATAAATAGGAGGCTTAGACAAGATCATATTCTTCAACCATCTAAGAATGGTGTCAGTACTTATAAGTACCGCCATGAAATGATCTCATCCACCTCCTCAAACACGGTCGGACTCCATGTATCCCGGTCCGATGTCACATCGTCGTCTTCGACAGACTGGAAGCTCGAATCCATTGTTGCCGAAGATTGGATTGAGAGAGTATCTAGGTCGAGGGCCGTCGTGAAGTCCTCCTGCTCATTCCTAGAGAGTGAACAACCAAGAGAAGGGTCGATTCGTGGTGATATATAGGAGTTAAAGGAAAGCAGAGAAAGGCATGGAAGAGAAGCAAAAAATTTGGAGCACTGGGTGAGCAAAGGTATCTCACTCTTGGAGTTATATGTATGAAAATAATTAAATTTTCTATAAAAAGTATGTTTACCTGAGATGGCGGAGTGGTTGTGAGGAACTTGGTCCATACATTGGCCGACGCAGCCCGCTCTTCACGCCAAAAGTATACTGTGTTGAGTTGCAAGAAGATTCAGATGAAATTAGTAACCAGCCCGTTTTAAAGCTCATGAGCAGTATGTAGCAGAAACATTCGGAGGGGTCATGAAATCCATTGACAATGATCATTGTCAGCATCTAGGTGTTCTTACTGATTCTATATTAACCCATTTGTGCAGTAATAACTACCACTGAAAAATTCCACCAGCGTGACTCTGTTCTATGCAATAATTGTAGATCATACCTTATACATTGGCTTAGTTCGAAAGAAATTTGATCTCTTTGTGGACCGCTTTAATATTTGAAATGAGTACATCAAATTCTCATCTATGCTCATTATCGCGCCTGCACTGTCGAACTGGTCAATATAACTAGGCGCTGAAAATATCGTGACGAGTTGCCCGTGGGCAACTAACTCATACCCATCCTTTACAACCTTGGGATAAGGGATTGCATGGTGATTCTGAACCTGATGAGCGCGACAGATAATCTCAAGGTCATGCTTCTGGAGAAACTGTGACATAATGTCAGGACCGAATGTGTATGAATAACCTTGATCCTTCGAGACCCAACCTGGAATATCTTCCCTTGGAACAGACCGAAGAAGATCACACAGCAATCCTTCATAACGAATAAAAGCAGGGCGTGGCAGATTTCGTATTTGATCGAAATTCTCCAGTTCTGGAGAAAGACCGCCGTGCACACAGAATATTTTCTCATTGACAAGAGCTGCCACAGGGAGGCACTTAAAGCAGCCTGTGAAGGCTTCCCATAGATTCCGAGAGAAGACTTCCCAAAGTGATGGCCAGCTATGATCAGCCAGCAGAAGAAAGAAATTGTCGGGGTACTTAATCTTGTAAGCCAGAAGAAGACACATCGTCTCCATATTTTGCCTCCCATAATCAAAATAATTTCCAAGAAATAGATAATTACTTTCTGTGGGAAACCCGCCGAGCTCAAAAAGTCTCAAAAGATCAGAATACTGTCCGTGAATACCTCCTGCGCAGGATTGAACTCATTAATTATAAAAATATGGAAAGGTTCGGGGAGAGAATGAGATACGATAAATAAACAGCTCATTATTTTGAGGACCCGAAAGAAAATATCATTATGTTTGAAAATATATGAAGAAGTTCTGATCAATTGGTTGTCCCTTCTAGCAGAAGAAGGACAACCAGAGACCTGAAGCAATCGGCCATCTGATGACAGAAAGAACCGACTCTGGAAAAGAAGTGGTTTTCGTTTAAAAAACTACAGACCAAAAGGAAATTCAGAAAATTGGGCATCGAGACAGGTGTTGTAAGTTCTAGGTTGTAGGAAAATAGTGTCATTAGCTGATGGTGTTTTTGGAAAAGTGACTTGGTTTTCTCTACTGATATTATGGGGTGTAATGGTTGAATGGGGAATTAAGGCAGTTTCCGCCCTTCTCTTCTCTCTGTCCTCTATCTGCTGGTGTCCCCTCTGTTTGGTGTAGGTTCTGCCTGGCGTTCCTTGTCACCATCACTAGCTTCTGGCGGCAGACAAGTTACAGGTTGGGTTTCAAACCCCTCTTTCTCCGGCGAGGCCTTCAGCCTCTGCCGAGTACCTTTGCGGCGAGGGCTTTTGCCTTTGCCGAATACCTGTCCAGTGAGGCATTCCGCCTCTGTCGAGTACGCTTCCAGCGAGGGTTTCTTTCTCTGATGAGTATCCTTGTCCGGCGAGGGTTTCTTCCTTTGCCGAGTATCTTTGTCCGGCGAGGGTTTCTTCCTCTGTCGAGTATCTTTGTTCGGCGAGGCCTTCCGCCTCTGCCTTTGCATCAGAGCTCGGCACTATGGAGATCTCCGAGTAGAAGGATACTCTCTGCGGCCCTGGGACATAGCGAGCATCGTGATCAAGTCACAGGGTGTTTGGTGCTATCATATCCATGGTGAGCTGTCCTTGGGGCATGACAAGCATCCGAGGAGCCAAAGGTGTCCATCTTTAGCAAAATAAGATCACGAAAAAGCGGTTCAATTCTCAGCATATGTCTCTAGGAAAAAAGTAAGCTTTACCGCATATTTTGATGGGGGCTCTGAGCTCCAAAAGATTGGGCTCCATTAGAAATATTTCCCTTGACTCGAGACATAGCTGCTGAATCTCCTCCTCTGAAAGATGCACTTTTTTCGTGGGCGGATTGCGCTTGGTGCCCACCAGCCGGCTGATTAAGCTATCCAGAACTTGAGCATCCATCTTCTTCTGTATGAGACATGACAGTTGACTTCATTCCCCATCACCGAGTTATACATCTTTTAAGATACGGATTAGAAAATATGCATCTACTCGGATCTGACTTGGGTTTTCTAAAGATCACAAAGAGACTAGATTACTTACTGGCTTCGAACATTCTAAAATGTGCTTAAAATATTTCTGATTATTTTTTTTTTTTTAAAAAAGGGTACACTAGTTACTGGGTTATTTGCCATGACAAAATAATGAGCACATGTTATCTTCGTATCAAATCGATGTTCTATGCAATAATACCAAGATCATACCTCATACATTGGTCTGCTTCCAAAGAACTTTGTTACCCTTTCAGCAGGCCTAAGTATTTGGAATGAGTACATGAAATTATCATCTAGGCTCATTATCGCGCCTGCATTGTCGAAGTCACGATGCCAACAAGGCGCCGAAAATACTGTCACGAGCAGCCTGCCGCCAAAAAACTCATATCCATCCTCCACAACCTAGAGAAAGCAACAGCGAATTAACCAACAGGTGGGCAATATGGGGGTTTGACATTAAGGGATTGCATGGCTATTTGCAACCTGATGAGCACGACAGATAAGGTCAAGGTCGTTCTTCTCAAGAAACTCCGACACAATGTCAGCACCGAATCTGTATGAAAAACCACTATCATGAATGCCCCATCCTTGGACATCTCTACTGGGATCGGACCAAAGGAGATCACACAGCAATCCGGCATCAGGAACATCGGTGGGGCGTGCCAAATTTCGTATCTGATCCAAGTTCTTCAGATCTGGAGAAATACCACCATGCACACAGAATATTTTGCCATCGACAAGAGCTGCCACAGGTAGGCAGTTAAAGCAGTCAATCGAGATTTTCCATAGCCTCACATTGAATCTTCTCTTACACTCGTCGTAGAAACCATATATACGATTGACGGATGCAGATTCATGATTACCTCGCAGAAGAAAGAAATTGACGGGATACTTAATCTTGTAAGCCAGAAGAAGACACATCGTCTCCATACTTCGCCTCCCATAATCAACATAATTTCCAAGAAATAGATAATTACTTTCTGGGGGAAACCCGCAGTACTCAAAAAGTCTCAAAAGATCAGAATACTGTCCGTGAATATCTCCTGCGCAAGATTGAACTCGCTAATTAGAAAAAAATGGAACGGTTAGGGGGGAGAATGAGATACAATAAGTAAACGGCTCATTATTTTGAGGACTGGAAAGAACGTATTCTGGTCAATCAGTTAGTTTCGGCCACCAGTCTTTCAGCTCTGTTCTAGCAGTTGAACCGAAAAAGAGAAAAAAATGCCTAACAGAAGATCTGAAGCAGTAGCCCGTCTGATGAGAGAAGGAACTGGCTGGCTATGGAAAAGAAAAGGTTTAGATAAAGCAACAGCCGAAAAGAAATTCAGAAAATTCGACACCGCGAGGCCACACAACACGAAGAAAACGATCGGCTCCCTCAGCTTCTCCGCTATTTTTCCTCCTACTCAGAAACAACCAAAACGCAAGGCCGGTAGAACATATATATCACCACGAAATAGTAACCCTTACCGCATATTTTGATGGGGGCTTCGAGCTCCAAAAGATTGGGCTGCTCTAGAAAAATATCCTTCGACACCAGACACAGCAGCCGAATCTCTGCCTCCGAAAGAGGATTTTCTTCCGTGGGCCAATTGCCCTCGGTGGCCACCAACCGGCTGATTATGCTATCCAGAACCTGAGGATCCATCTTCGACCTGCAGACGATCAGAACCAAGGGCAAAAGCGGAGAAATTTCTCTGAAACATGATAGTCAGAGAAGAGAATAAGGAAGAAGGAGTCGCTACTTCCACTCAGAAGCCTCGTCGGGGAGGACGTCGGAGGGAAGGGCAGACGAAGAAGAGCTCCGCTGACGCGCTGACGCGTGAGAGCTGCAGATTCGTCCTGGATGTTGACTTCCTAACCCCCAGCGGGGCTCATTAGTCTCTGTGGGCCATACTGCCGCCCATAAGTCAACTTTCACATGTATTCAACATGAAAATTGTATCCTCATGTACAAGAATCAAACGCCTTTCAATTTGGAATGTCAAGCGAACTATGAACATTTCAAAAAAATGACTAGACCACTTGAGGAAAAACTGATAATGAACCATCATACTTCAAAAGTGCATTGTTCTTGAATGATATGAGTTGAATTTCTCGGTGACATGCAACCAATCAGGTATGGGGAATGTAGCGCAACGGATAATTGATGAATACATAGTATTAGATTTCCACAAGAATGAGGGAGAGGGGTTGAAAGGGAAACATATTAGAGGGAAGCTTGAGCTTAGCAGACTTCATTGCAATTGAGATGCATACAAAGAAGATGTCAAAAACGGAAATGACCATGTCTTGATGGGGATCCTTTCCTTGAAGTGGTTGGACAAGGAGATCATGGAAAACGAGAACTTCCACTAATGACAACTAAGGATCAAGAGAGACATATTAGGCAGGAGTGGCGAGATGGATCTCTGACCCCTTCTGAGACAGACCTATTCGAGATGTTGAGTCTCCTAATTCCACTTTGGAATTAGGTTAGAAGTCAGCCTGACTCCTCTTTAGAAGAGTCACTCTTTGATCTTTCAAAATAGGCGCTCCTGTCTCCCGTTTGGTAATTCGTTGTGGCAATGGTTCAAGTACTCTTCAGGTACACTTCGGATGTGACCCACTTCAAAATCTCACTTTGTCGTCAAGGTGAAATGCGAAAAACTATTGCTAGACGTTGTGGGCAGTCCCCTAGGTATTATGTATTCTAGTAAATCTTTCCACTTGATCAGTACCTCCATGTCAACGGAGCTTTGTTGGACGTCGATAATGTCCTCTAGTTTGACACTCCATATTGGTTCTAGAGTAAGAGCAGATCTAATAGCCCACCTGAGTTGGGATATGTGAAAACATCAGAGTCACGCACACATGCGTGCGCACGATTGGCACGCGATGGCTGCACGGCAGGCATCGGGCATGCTACGAGCACAGTGGCATGCCATAACATGTGCGGCTGCGCATGAACGGCGCGCAGACGTGCACGACGCAGACAGTGGACTCCGCCAGTGTTGCGCGAGGGCCAGCCGCTGGTAGGACGCAGCACAGAGCGACAGGTGCATATCGGCATATCGGCAGATTTATCCTAGAGAATCTGTGGCGTGAGAAAGGAAGAAACGGATGTGTTTTCTATATTGGTGGAATCATTCCCTCTGACGGCCAAAAAGGGTTTTATGAACTAACCCTGTCAAGAGCAAATGTCTTCCGTTGAATAAGCAACCAACTAGGGTTTGAAGATCACAAGCAAGCTTTATGGGCATTCAACATGAAAATTATATCGTAATGTAAAGAAATTAAATGCCTTCACATCTGAAATATCTAGCAAACTAGGATCATGAAGTTTGGCACTAATATTACGACCTTAATGAAATACCTATTTTCTTTGACAAAACACCATATCATATCCTATGTTGACTTGTTAAGAGAGGTATTTTACCCTTAAGAAATTATTTAAGCATTATCTTACTTGTAGTTATTTTCTTAAATTATTTAATAATTAATAAAATGTTTAATTATGGGATACTAAATACGAGAAAATGAGTTTCCTCAATAAATTTTAATCCCCTTCCTTTGAGGGACTAATATACCATATGCACATAAATCAATATCTGCTAGTTTGGGCACACATATCGCATGATTGTGATATATATTAATTGATATGCATAACGTTAATACACTTGATTAGAGTGGGAAGTCAAATGCTTTGACCAAAAGCCGAATGGGTTTTCAGGGATTCCTTGATCAATGATGGGTTCATGAAGAGCTATAGGAAACTAGGTTTATTCGCAAAAAGGTAATGGAATATAAACAAAAAATCTAGGTAGCTTAAGGAAAATAGACGCATTATTTTGATAAATAAATTCACATATTCTGGATATGCACAAATAATTAAGATATATTCACAAAAATAACAAATGATGAGACGCTGGCATTTCTAAAATTTTATACAGAAAAATCCTCCATACCTTCTCACCTAGAAAAATAAAAATAGATACAAAATGATGCAGTTATTTGATCCTAGCATTGGTCCCACTTGCATTAGTAAATAGAAGGCCAAGGCAAGGTCATATCCTTCAACCTTGTAAGAATGCTAGCTCTATAAGTACCGCATGGAGGGTATCTCCTCCACCTCCTCGAACATGGGTTGACTCAATGTATCCCAATCCAATGTCACATCGTCATCATTGTCGGTGGAGTACATGCTTGAGCTTGTCATTGTCAAAGATTGGATTGAGATAGTACTATGGTCAACGTTCGTCACAGGACCTTGATCATACCTAGAGAGTGAACAACCAAGTGGGATGAATTGCATAGATCTTGGAGAATGAGAGAAAGGGTGGCATTGAAGAGAAACAAACACCATGAAAAAAAATAAAATCCTGAACTTGGTGAGTGACGAAAAAATCTTGGCCTAAGTGTAAGATATATATGGAAATAGTTTTTTTTTTTCAAAAAATATCTTTACCTGAGATAGTTGCGTGGTGGCAAGGAACGGGCGCCATTAGTTGCCCGATATAGCTTGCCCTGCGCCATCTCGATGCTAGAAGCACGCTGCATCGAGTTGCAAGAAGATTTAGCAGAAATCAGTAACCAAGATGCTGTAGAAGAAAACTGGAAAACAGAGTTCAATTCTTCGGCATAATCTACACAGGCTTGAACACTTACTAAGGACGAGACCAAATCTACATGAGAAATAATGGCAGTTGACTTTATTTCGGAGTGACCATGGTTTAACGTACCTTGACCCCTGGAGTTGTCCTGACTTTACCAGCCCTTGATGTCCCAAATAACTCTATTTTCCACTCTGCAAGCTTTCCATATCCAAGAAGAACACAAGTCAACCAGGACGTCCACTTCAAACCCAGTTGACTAATAATCGCATGTCTACCTTGACCCGCGAAGAAGCTCCGGGCTTGGACAATGCCCTGGGGAAGAACTTGAGCCTCCGCTCTGTGGGAGGTCTCAGGGTTATGAAGGAATGCTTCAAGTCTCCGTCAATGCTCATCATGGAACCTGCATTCATGTACTCGCCACAGAAACTGGGCGCCGAGAACACTGTGACGAGCTTCTCCCCTGCAAAATACGCATATCCATCGTCCACAACCTGAGAGGGAAAGGGATCAGCAGGTCAGTGTGCAGAAGCCATGGCGCCGCTTCTTTCTGCAACTTGGCCGAGGAGGAACCTGGTGGGAACGGCAGAGCAGGGCAAGCCCGTTGCGGTGGAGGAACTCTGAGACCACTTCGGCTCCAAAGATATAGGAGAAGCCTCTCACTTTAAGCCCCCATCTAGGAACTTCCTTGCTGGGATCTGACCAGAGAATGTCGCAGAGAAGACCCGCCAGAGGAACGTCGGCAGGGCGGGCCATGGCCCTGATCTGATCGAGGTCCGTGAGCACCGGAGAAAGCCCGCCATGGAGACAGATGACCTTCCCGCCGATGATGGCCGCCGCCGGCAGGCAGTCGAAGCACGCGACGAACAGCCTCCACAGTCTCGCGTTGAATCTCGCCTTGCATTCATCGCGGAAACCCCACATCCGGGCCATGGATTCGCAGTCATGGTTCCCCCGCAGGAGGAAGAAGCTGTCTGGATACCTGATCTTGTAGGCCAGAAGAAGGCACATTGTCTCCACGCTCTGTCCTCCCCTTCCGGCGTAGTTCCCCAGGAAGAGGTACCTCCCCGCCGGAGGGAACCCGCCGCGGTCGAAGAACCTCAGAAGATCGGAGTATTGCCCGTGGATGTCTCCTGCAGAAGAACCCTAGAAGGTTGGAGTATCGCTCCCCCCTCCCCAAAGTCTATCGGAGGAATCGAACAAGGAAGGAGCAGGTCGGGGGATACTTTGGGTTTTGGGAGGCGAGATTGAGGGAAAAATCATGGAATAAATCGGGAGGGTAAGAAGATCGTGAGGCTCACCGCAGACATTGATGGGGGCTTCGAGCTCCAGAAGATTGGGCTGCTGCAGGAAAATCTTGCTAGAGACGACGCAGAGCTCACAGATTTCCGCCTCCAGGATCCTCAGCTGGTACTCCCCCGGCGAGTCAGTCGAGACCTGAAGTAGCCGGTTGATTATGCTGTCCAGAACCACGGCATCCATTCTCCACCGCCCTCGGTTGCAGACGCGAGAAAATCCGAGGACCAAAACCGAGCAGATCACGCTAGAACTCGGCGGCGAGACGATCCAAACGAGGAGAAGGAAGGGGAAGAAGGACGATGGCGGCGCCGGGGCCTTCTGTGCAGGGATTCACGCGGCTCGTCATTTCCATCCTCCAGGAAGGTGCAGGGAAGAGATGCGGAAGCGCCGCCAGCCCACCGGCAATTGGACTCCACAGACTAAAAGCTGCAGGAAATGGCTAACTGTAGATGGGCCCACCGATGTTGACTCGTTCCAAGTCCCCATTCCCGGACTTACCAGTTCAAGGACATGAAGTAGGCATGTTCTGATAATTTTCTAAAAATGAGAATAGAAACAAAATCGGCATTCTTTTTTTGTCAATAAGTACATAAAAAATACCCACATTAGGAAATATGTTTGGGAAAGTAAAATTATAATTAAGAAAATTCCTGGTCAACCGTATGTATAATCTCACCGTGATTGACCTCCCCTACATCTACATCATTGGCTCCAACAAGGAGAAGGGAGTTGACTTCACACGAATAGAGACCCAAGCCAATAGAGAGGAAGGTCTCCTCCAATGATATTTGTCAACGTCAGGTAGACAAGTACAATGTGATGAATTTATATTTAAATCCATGTACTAGCATGATTATCCAAGGTTTATATTCTTGAGAATCATTTAAAAATTCACAGAAAATTATTTATTCAACTAAAATTAAAAAATATCATCTTACATTTTTTATAAAAAATTTCAAGATATTTTTTCATTCATTTCTTTCAGTAATTTAGAAATTATGAAAATAATGAGGAAAAATGCAGCGAATCATGGTCACATCACCGAGAAGACATGTCAAGAGTTTATGGGCCATGTCAACAGCTATACCATATCACTGGCATACACATCATCTTCCATCCTTTGTTTTTGGGCAGTAAAATGGACCGAGATAAATCAGAATTTCACAACGTTTGTTGAGAGATTATTATATGAAATTTGGAAATAAATTTGTGGGCAAAGAGAAGAAGGCTTTTGGATGATAAAAGTGGGAAGGGAGGAAGACTTTACAAGCTTTTGGAGCCAAATTCTCTCTAGGTGACAGGTGGAGATGAGTAGAGTGACATTGGGCACTTGAGAACTCGATTTCTCTATTAATTGTTATTTATTTTTGTTCCTTCTTGATCCATTCTCTAGGTGATGAGATTAAGGCTTTAGTTTCTTTTTTTTTAAGGCACTTTTTATATGATTTCGTATTGATTTTCCAGTAGGGATGAGTCCATTGATTTATTTTATTTTTTTAGTGATTCTTACTGCAATTTTAATATTTTTGGTAAAAAATAGACTTTGTTATGATCATCTTACTATAGTTATTTATAATTATTACCTAGTTGTTAACATCATTTAACATCAAGACCTTGCACCTGGTTGCATTACTCTCTCCTCCCCTACTTTCTCGATTTTAGGTGTCTTTTCTGTTTTTTTTTTGGTGATTTTCTCTGCCATTTTCCTTGGAATATTTCGCAGATCTTGAGTCAATTATCAAATATGAATGCCAGAAAGCATCAAAATTCAAGGATTTAAAGCTCAAGTAATTTGGAAGATTTAAAGTATAGAGAATACTATTTTCTTTATTTATTTTATTTTAATATTTTTTTAGAATAAAAAGTATTTTTTTATTAAGATTGAGCATCATCCATGTGGATGATCTGAATTCTCCAAAATCTAATTTTCGTTCTTATTTTGAGTTTAGTTCATAAATATTTAAAATTTGATTATTTTGTTAACAATAACAAAAACAATATCATATTTTCCTCCTTACCTAGCTCCTGATCACCATTGCCCTCAAGCCATGTTAGAAAGCACTCCTTTGTCACCTTCTATCACATCATCATAGAAAGATACACGACATCATAGAAAGAAATTGTAATAATTTTAGCTTTGACAAATCATAAGTCAGAGGTTTGATTCTCTGCGACTAAAAATAAACCGATTACCAATCATAATACAAGATTTAGAGCTTAAATCATAATCCGATCATACTTAATCATGATGAGGTTGATAAGCCAGAGTAGGAAATACAGGATATAAAGATAAGGCATCACCTCTTTCAATCCATAAATGCCTGAGCAACGGTGAAAAAGAGGTGCTGAGAGAAAGAGCCAATGAATGGGCGGACAATTCCTTTCTAAAAGGGGAAGCATCACTCTACTTGCCCTCCTTGGATGACTTCTGGTCAGCGTTGACTGGCTTGGTGGGTGATCCAGTTGACTGGTTGGTCTCGTCTAACTGCTTGGGCACTGGCTGGATTCTGATGTAGGGCTTTCTGGTGAGGGTCTCACCTCTCAGGGCGGCCACATAACGGTCGTTGGTGTCCTCCTTTCGCTGGAGCTCTGCAAGAAACTCCCCCAGCCTCTCCTTATTGACCTGCCCCATCATCTGGTTGAGGGAATCAAAGGAAGAAAACCATCAGGAACCGCCGCATATTACCAAGAGTGACGAAGAAAATTAAATCATATGATCCATGGGAGGGAGAAATCAAGTCTTCTGATCGTGCAGGAAACATTTTTTGATCCATCACAAGCACCCAAATAGGAAAATCATTGGCATAATCACTACATTCATGAACAATCGTTTTCTCTCAATGCTAATTACGGAATTATGAAGAGAAAAACGATCAGGATCTGGACAAAATGGTATCATGGATCTGGACGAGCTGAGCTTTCAAAGCTGATATGCGTAAGAACTCAAAGCCCCAAAATCCAAGTTTCATGGGGCTGGAAAGAGCATATAAGACCACTGCTTAAGATAACAATAATCCCCACATTTAATTAGACTGGTAGGAAAACTGGAATGAGGATGGCCATCTATATTGCCACTTCATTGGAAAATTTTCAAATGGATACAGAGATCTGAAAGTGAAAAAAAAAATCAGCAAATGGGTTGAGGGATCAAGAACTGTAAGACATGAAAGCTTCACTTCGCCTTGTCAAAGCTTCCCAATTTGAGCACATATCAGCAGAAATTTCTTGCTTCATCAACCAAGGTGCGACCCATATACAGAATGATATAAAAGGTGATAATTGTTGCCTTTTTCCGAGTAGCTCCATTAAAAAATACAATGAGTTAATCCCAGATAATGGTCTGAGGGCAATATATTGACCAGACTAGAGAGAGCATCAAGATGGAAAACTCCATATTGCGAACAAATGGATCCCCATGTCAGTTTCCTATACTTTGAATAGACAGGTAGTTATGTAGAAATGTGATGCATGAACATCGTTCTAGAGAGGAAGATGAACAAACGGTACTTTAAAAAGAGAATGAGAATAGTTATGCGGGGAAACGCCAGCAAGCCTGACCTAGTTTTTTCTTACTTCTACACCTTTGGATCCTTGCTGCTGTAGGTTTTATCAACAGTTCCACAAGGATGAAGCGCCCAAATCAGCTGGGGCGAAATCCATACTTTGTTGTTGCCTCCAATAATATCAATTCAGTTAGTCCCACATATTCCTTTGGCAAAATTGATAAAGAACGGACAATATCTTACCCAAACCCTGAAACCAGTCACTTGTTCAATCACTTTCCATTGAAACAATGAACATAACATGATACAACACAGTGCCTGTAGCTTCATGTGCTAACCGACACAGAACATAACACTAGTTCTCAAAGGCAAATATACATTCTTGGTACTGAGATGAGTATCAGATAACGTACCACAGTGCCTCATCTCATGAGACATATCGTCTAGTGTAATTTAGAAAAGATTTAAGGGAAGAAACCTTTGTGCTCACTCTCCAGGCTACTCTCTCCCGTCTCTCACTTGATCATTCTATTAAAGAAATGGGAAGAGGCTTGAAGGCCTCCCATGAGTATAAAGACAAAAATAAAATTTGAAATAATGAAAGCAACATATATTATTCTGTACAGGAGACAAGTTGGTATCGATCTGCATGATTCCAGACAACTGCCACCAATTATTTTCCATAACATGAGATATTCAAATGATCTGTTTTTCAGCATTTTCCAGACAGAATTTCAAGTTCCATACTAAATCAGAGTTAAATAGGTAAAGTATGCATCGCTAGATGCATGATTTTGTAGATTCGACATACTTAGATGATGAACATTGATGAATTGTAACAAAGGTCTGGCCGTCAATTAGAGGGGAGAAAAAGTATTCGGTCGCTCACGGAGGAAGGAGTCCCGATTGATCAGAGGAATGAGGACATACTTTAGTGGGGAATCAAAATGTAACTTATCCGCAGTTTTCCATGATCGTTCTGCTAAAAACTTGTATAATATGGTGGAAGAATGAAGATTTGCGGATTCATATCGGGAAAGATTCCAGAAAAGATGGCATGACATCTAATGACGTCCCTTCGAAAACAGTAACAATCAGATATTCCTCTCCCAGAATATGAACCGAAAAGGAAAGCAAATTTCAGTACTGCATAACCCCCAACAAGAACAACAGAAGCTGATCCCACATGACCCAAAAAAAATCAGAAATCGAAGAAAAATTGTTCCACGATGCGATGAGGGCATCATCCGAATTGACAGACAAACAACAGCGAGGAGCAGGAGTGAGAGAGAAACGATGATCAAAGGGGGCGAGGCGAACAACACACCGCGGTCTCGGGGCGGGAAGTCTTGCGGAGATGGGCCTCGAGCTGCTCGTTGCGGGAGCTGGTCATCTGCATGACGCCGTAGCCGATCACCCCAGGGACCACCCCGCACAGAGTCGCAAACGCAACGAAGAAGGACTTCGAGTCGCGCGTCCTCCTGACCAGCCACCGCCATGCCTCGCTCTTCTCCCAGAGGATCGACATCGCCTGCCGCCGCCCTCCCTCCCTTGGCCCCTCACGATCAGACCGCCACGAGATCGGCCAAAGTCGAAGCCCTGTAGAGCTCCGAACGTTTATCAATGAAGAAGAAGAAGAAGAAGAGAAGAAGAAGAAGAAAAGGGTTAGAAATTACTCAAAACTACATTTAAAAAATAAATTGCGCATTCCCCCCACTAAAATATTTTTTTAATTTTTAGCACAGTTAGAATGCCCCTCCTTCGGGAGTTTGGTCAACCTCAGCCCTGGTCAACCTCACCATTTCCCTTCTCAAGGACCATAAAAACGTTCCTCAAGGACTTGAAGGTCAAACAGGGTTGGATGTGATATTTGACAACTTTTTGTGATATATTTGTTAGCACGAGCGTAAAAAAAATAAATTATGGGGCAACGTTGACTTTTTAGAGCATATTCTTATTCCAAATCAAGTAAATTATATGGGCCTTTTTTCTCAATTTTTTTATGGAGAGAAATTCAATGCTAAAGAAGTACAAATTTAAAATATCTTGAAAAATAAATATTAAAATGGATATAATTATATTTATAGCACATAAAATTAATCTAATAAATAAGAAAGTTGCATCAATAATTAATATACTATTTTTTAAAAAAATTATTTCCATATAAAAAGTTGCAGCATTTATTAATGTAGTGTTAAAAGACGCCACTCTCCTCTCCTTTCGTTGACTCTGACTATTCTCATCGTCATTTGCTCTCTTGGTATCTCTACCATGGGTTGACCCTTCCCAGGCTTTGTCTTTAGCACCCTTGACCTTGACCTTGACCTTAAAATGGGCATCCCCTCATCCATTGGGCTTCCACCTGGTCAACTACAGTCTCCTCGACCGCTTTATTTAGGGGTATCCGTTGACCAAGCTGGGCCTTGTCATGAAATGGGCGGTCCACCCCCCTCGTTCTTCGGCCCCCACCCGTTCTTCTGCTCGTGTCGTGGCCACCCATGTGAATTTTGAATTTCCCCCCTAGAAAATTCTGCAATGATGTAGATACCGCTGAATATGGAAATTATACGGCTTGGACAGCCTCTTCGTCGCCTCTTCTTCCTTCACTCTGGTCACTGGGGCAAGCATCGCTAAACCTCTCTCTCTCTCTCTCCGCCGGCTGCTGCGGCGGCGGCAGGATGAGGCGCCTTGGGAGGCTCGCCGGCGCGGCCCCATCCACCACCATTCACCCCTTCGTTGCTTCCTCCTCTCACGCCTACTCAACATTTTCCGGCGGCGGGCGGGGCAGAGGCCGCGGCGGCGCCTCCCCGCCGCCGCCGATCGCCCCTGGCAAGCCGCAGCACGGAGACGGCGGTGACGAGGAGGAGGCGCCATCCGGCAGCTCCGGCATCGGCCATGGCCGGGGGACTCCTCCCCTTTTCCCGTCCTTCTCCTGGACTTCCACCCTGACCCCTCCGCCGCAGCCCTCAGCCGCCGGCCGTGGGCGGGCCTCTCCGCCACCGCCGCCGTCTCCACCCCCGGGAACCGGCCGTGGTCGCGGCGCCGCCGCTGCGGAGCCGCCGCGGCCATCCGATCCCGCTGCCCCCAAGAGGCCCATCTTCTTCCGCCGCGAGGACTACTCTCCCGATCAATTTCTGGATCCTGACGACGGCAGGAAGCCGTCTGAAGCTGCTAGGGTTCCTCTCTCATTCGACCCCCCGCGGGGGGGAATGGGGAGAGGGAAGGGGTCGACCCCCGCTGCTCCTGCTCCAGCGACGCCAGAGGAGAATCGGCATCTCCGTCCACGGAGCCCATCGGACCAGAGCCCGAGGAGGAGCCCTGCCAGGCAACGACCGCCGGCGGCCGCCGCGTCCCCGACGGTGACGGACCGTGCAGAGGCGACGAAGAAGGCCATGGACGTGCTGTCCCGAGGAGGTAGGGGTCAAGGAGGGAGAGGAATGAGAGGCAGAGGTGAGGGCGGTGGGATGGGCTGGAGAGGAAGGGGAGGCAGATTCGGCGGCCGTGGGCGTGGGCGTGATCCAGACGAGTACTATGGGACTGGACTGTTTCTAGGTGACAATGCCGACGGGGAGAAGCTGGCCAAGAGACTGGGGGAGGAGAACATGGCCAAGCTGAAGGATGCCTTCGAGGAGATGAGCAGCCGCGTGCTACCTTCGCCCATGGAGGAATGCTATCTGGAGGCCCTTCATACCAACTACTCTGTAAGATTCTCCGACAAAAATTGTGTCCTTGTCTGGTTCACTCGCTCTGTAATCTTTACTTCGTCTTTCTCGATCTGCTGAGAGCTTGGAATTTTCTGCTTCTGTAGTTCGAATTTGAACCAGAGTACCACATGGTTTTTGCCAACCCTGATGTCGACGAGAAGCCACCGATTCCTCTGCCAGAAGCTCTCGAGAAGATGAAGCCATTCTTGATGGAGTACGAAGGGATCAAAAGTCAACAGGAGTGGGAGGTACGCCAACTTTGCCGTCGTTCTTCTTTGAATTCATTTAGTTTAGCTTCGATGAGGTGCTCCCCCACCTTGATCCGAAGCCTATGCCATTCACAAAACCCAATCTTCTGGATCAATGCCACGAATCATCACGTGGAAGTTCTTCAACTTTTGATGGATCTTGAGTGGCATATTCTAGTGTAACCAAGCCTTGAATCTGTACGTCTTTTTGCCTATAGTTGGAACCACTAGTGCTTCATTTAGTGCTTTGACTTAGCTTATTTTTGGAGCTTCCAATTAGACTAGCTAAACACTAGTATATTCTAGTCTTCAGGACTAAGGAAGCTGGGGAAACAAGATTTGTGGTACACTTTTCCTTCATTCTGGTGACTTCTGTAGTCTCTTTTCTGTGGGCAGAGGGGTACGGGAGATTTGAAATGGCCAAAGAAAGAGGTTGAGCATGAATGGCAACTGTATATTGAATAATAGAAATAAGGTTGATGAGGAAAAGCTTATTTTTGGCGTAACTAGTAGTCGATTTCATCATTGATCTTTCTCATATGAATTTTCTATTCTCTTTCCATATATCACTGATATTTCGGATTTAAGGAAGTCAACTTTATAATTCTACGAATTCGAAGTTATAAATTAGATTCTTTGAGCAGGAATTAGAAATAATGGGAGGCTAAACATTAGAAATCCAGGAGGAGATGAATCTTGGCGAAGTTGGTGTTGTCAAGCACAGCTGCCAGTCAATTCTCCATCCTAGATGCCTAAACTCTGTAATAAAGTAAAAGAATATTGGAAGATCTTTCTTTTGGGAATGAGGGAACGGTATCATACACTTGCACCTCATTAAAGGGAGGTGGGGGGGGGCGGGGGGGGCTCATTGGAGTACGATGACTGGAGATGTGGGTCAAATCCATTTGGAGATCCTTCATAGAGTTGTATTGACCAAATATTATGTTGATTCGTGCATACAGAGAACAAATAGTGGAGTGTGGGAAATAGAATTTAAAGCATGCCTCAACTTCATCATCATCTTGTAGTTGGGGAAGTGTAAGCAATCCTTGTGTCTTCATCTGTGACTCCAGTGGAAAGATGAGTGAGATTCTGTAAACCCTATGGCTACATGACCATAATTGTCCAAACTAATTTCGCAGGTTGTATGAGCCCGCTAACATAATGGGATGGCAACTTTTTCGATTGCCAATGGGAACTGGAGTTGCACGTTAGGATATCTGGCTCTGATGAAATCCAGGAGATGGAAAACTGGGGATTTCCTCTGTGTTGAGAAGTTAACTATTTCTGTGATCATGAATACCAAGATTAGGATAGGAAAGCTTGAAAATATTAACTGTTGGTATTTCTCACTGAATTCTTATGCGAAAAGTGTTTACTTCATTTGAAACTTTAGTGGACTAATGTTGTGTCGATTAAAAGTATATTGTACAAAATTACCATCTGGATTTGTTGTTGATGTAGGGAAAAAATTATTGTGAACTGATTCAATTTTGTCTTATTTAGGAAAATATCGATAATAACATGTAGCATGCTGCCTTGAATATGTGACATCATGTGGTATGCATGTAATGATACATTGTTTGCTGGCTTTTTTTTTGGGAGACAATGTGTCATTGAATGTCGATTATGTCAGCAACTTTCGTGATGTCTGGTGAAGAAAAAATAGTTGCCATATACTTAACTCATGCCTTCTAGATTTAACGTCTCCTTAAAAGGTTGGTGGATGGACAAAATTGGGTCACCTGTCCAGAGGGCACAATGGATATATAAACTTAAAGAGTCAGAAGTCTTTTAATATTTGAGTCTTACCATTTCTATAATATTTTAACCTCTGGCTTTGTAGGAAAGACGGGTTACGTGGTCTTTTTCTCCCAGTTTTCTAAAACTTGGGTGGTGTCTGAGCCATTGCATCTTATGTCATTTGTTGAAGTGTTTTTTTCCCAAACAAAGATGAATTAAAAGGAGGAATCTATAACTAATGAATCTTTGCAAGTGAACGAACTCACAACCCTTATTAATCCTATAGAAGGCTTGCCTTTTGTCGTGAATCATGTATCTATTCTTTGAATTCCCATTTATCCACCATTTAGAAATCATTTTATTCTTCAGCAGACAGTCCGTATAGCACAACTTATATTGCCTCATACCATGTAATTCGTCTTTAGCAGAAGAGGATGGATTCTCATTGAATAAAAGGAAGAACAATGGGAAAATGTGTCAAGATTGTCATTGTGGCTAAAGGATATGTACAGATCAATACAGGAGCCTTAGATTGTTGAGCTGTTGTTTTTTGACCAACTCTTCGGAATGTTGATAGAAAGTTTTCAGTTTGATAAATGTTTTCATCTTCACCCTAAATTGTGCCAGAAAGTGCCTATGCTTTTGCTTCTACAAAATCCAGTGATAGATGTACTCATCAATCTTTTGGTTTGTCTCCATTTCACCGAAATGAAGTTTGAGTAAATAATATGGGTCTTAAATGACTCAGACGAAAAACTCAGGAAAAGCAGCTAGAAATCATGTCAAATGTCCAAAAGAACTGTTTGCCTTTTTTGATGCCACTCAGACAAGTAGAAACAATGTAAACTCTCTGATATTCTGGGAAAAAAAAAGTGGTATCAGCTCTTTTCTATATGAATATGCTTTATCTGTTGATGCATGGTTTGAGCACTATCTACACTCTGTAAAATTCATGCGATAAGCTTTCATTCGGATAGAGGCTTGGGCAACCATTTTACCTGGTTCTTTGTTCTCTCTTCTATTCTTAACCCACGTTTAGAGCTCCCTACTTTGGAGTGGCCGGTGGAAGGAAGCAAGTACGTGGAATTTTGCCGGCCTTCTTTGAAAGACTTTGTGTATGTGAATTTTTTTGTAGTCACGTTTTGGCTTGCAACATGTGACTCTATTTACATGTTGGACGTCTGCGTCTGTCACTGGTTGTTTGTAGGTTCTGTAGCGATTTTTGAAAAGATAGACATATGTTGAACTTATTGGCCTGCATTGTAGAAAGTTTATTTTACAGCCGATACCCATTATTTATTTATTTATTTATTTTGAAGTGGGTAGTTTGCTGACGGATACATGATTAGTCAAATCTTTGTATTTGATCTGGGGCCCTACTTCTTATTTATCTCTATCCAGCATGTATAGACTATATTATAAAGTTCCCCGACACATTCTTTCTCTTTGATAGTGGTTGCATACATCTGAAGAATGTCAATTCATGATAATAATTAGAGACAATGATGTGTGCTCTTGATAATCTATGTACCCTTTTATCTTAACCAGGATGTTGTGAAAGAAACAATGGAGAAGGCACCAGTGTTGAAAGAACTTGTTGACTTCTATAGTGGCCCTGACAGAGTAACAGCGAAACAGCAACATCAAGAGTTAGAAAGGGTCGCAAACACTTTACCTGAGAACATACCTTCTTCTGTGAGGCGGTTCACTGATCGTGCTATGCTGTCACTGAAGGTTCCATTATCTTCCCACACTTTACTATTCTTGTTATGATAATAGGTCATTGATTTTTCTTCAGATGTATCTAATGATTTAAATTTATTAATTTTCTACCTCCATGGTTATTCAAGTGATTCTAATTTTGTTTTATATTCCCTAACATACCAAAATTGGGCACCATTCTAATTGTGTTAATATAACCTTGGAGTCAATGGAATCACAGTTTGAGCTAGCCAAGTTAGACCTCAAATCATTAGCAATAAAACTTTTAGAATCGAAGGTTGCATGCCATGATCTAGTTGAAGGTTGCTCCTTGCTTGCTCATGGATATCAATGTTCAGTGTCATGGGTGTAACTGTTTTCTTCAGACGGTTTCAATAGGGATTGATAATTTTTATTTTTTTGGGTGTATTTTATTTTACTTACTGTCAGTCTCTTTTCCGCTTTCAGATTTAAGAGCTCCAGTTGAGCTAGATTTAAGTCTAATGTTTGTCTCTTGGATATAGTTTATGGATCAACTGTGCTTGATTTCATCGATGAAAAGGAAAAACCCAAACGAGGTCGATTCGATTGGGAATCATTCTCCAAGAATCCTCACACCTTGGTGTCTTTTTAAAGGCTTTTAAAAAGGCTCCTTCCATGATTCTTCATCCTCAAAACGTTAAGAATCTCTGGACGTTTTTGTCTATTTCTATAAATGGACTATGAAAAATAGCTTGGAGAAACAAATGAGCATCATCAAATAGAAAACTTAGTAACGAAAAGATTTGATCCATCCTAAGTCATTGTGAATTTACTATTTTTGTTGTGCCAATTCTATTAGGTTTGCCCATTTTCCAGATGGTTGGGAATCATATATTAAACCCCATGATATCATATTGCATGCAAAGGATTATGTTGAATTTGGGTGAATTCGATAGGAACATATTTCCAATTTAACAACTGAAAAAACTGAGAAAAAGACATCCTGCTATCATTCTTCATTCATCTTTTTGTTTCTTATTACCCATATTCACACATTTTTCTGTTGCCTTCATCGTCCTCATGCTTGATCTTGAGATGCCCAGAATTTCTCAACAGATTATATAAAGATAATATGCTATCACTTTCTGATTTTCTTCTCTCTTGCAGAATAATCCTGGCTGGGGATTTGGCAAGAAATGCCAGTTCATGGACAAGCTCACCTGGGAGATTTCTCAGCAATACAAATAATAACACCAAAGTGCCTTTTTTTTCTCTCGGATTCTTCCCTTACCTCTTGGAATAGGATTTTTTTCTTTTTCTCTGCAGGATTTTTGGTGTTGAAAGAGCATATTTTCTCATAAATCGCACCAGTGATCTCTCTTTCCTCAGCTCCAGGATAGAGCTTGAAATATGGTATTCCTTCCAGTTTTAGAAAGCTTTTTTGGGTGGGATATTTTCCAGGCTATATAGAACATGAGGGACTATATATCCTTTCTGTTTTTAGGAACCATAGTGGGGGAATATTTACCTGCTTTTTTTTTATTTATTAAATTTCTACTACCGACCCACTTCCTAAATTCCTACGAGTGATGGAGCTAGTGTAGCTTGTTTTCATGGCATTGACGTAAGATTATCATGATCTTTGGGATATGTTATCTTTGTGAATGCAATTAACCCTATTTAATAAGACAATTATTTTTTTTATAATCTGCTTCAATGGTATGTATTTTTGTCTCAATCGTAGCTGATTCTCGAGGAATTATCCCACCTCAAATGATTTCATGTTCTTGAGTGGTGGTTAAATGTGGGTTTATTTTGTGATACTCTTTATTTATGTTCAATGTTTTTACTTGGAAGAACATAGATATTTAAAAAATAAAAAAATGGAAAAAAAAATTATGGTTCGGGAGAAATATATAAGCCAAAAAAAATGGTGGGATTTTTTTTTTTAATTGTATCATTAAAAAAGAAAAAGGAGATCGGTCGCATCATGCAGCTTCTCAAGTGTTTATATGTAATAGTCAATAAAGGTTAAGATTTTAATGTGGAAGATTTGATTTTCCACCAGTAATTGGCTGGCGAAAATTAAATATAATATTCAGATGCAATTGTCAATATGTGATCGTCATCATACAGAAAATGTAGGGGTTACCTGTATTTTCAAGGACAGTAGCATATAATCATATTATTTGGGGTTTGTATAGAATTCAAGTCATCCTACACGAGCTTTTTAAACAATTTCCCCCTTGGGCTGCAAGGAATTAGGAAAGAAATAAAAAAATAGTTATATTCCCTCGTCAACTAAGTTTAAGAGTTTCGAGGGGCTTATACATAAATCACCCATCGCCAATGGAGGCCGGAATAGGAAGGGGAAGAGAGAGCTGGCCCCCACCCCCAACTGTTGCCACGCTGATTGGCGGCGCCGCCGGTTGCATCGGCGGACGGAAGAGAGAGAAAGAGAGAGAGGCTGTCCCGTAGATGACGAAAACAGACGAGGACGTGGTCTGGAACCGTGCTTCTTAATTCTGGGTCAACCCTACTAAAGCTCTGACTTACCCGGACTTGCCAGCTACGGGCTGATCGGGCCGGACTATTTTTCACATGGGCTTTATTTGAAGCCTGATTAATATCAAAATAAATTAAAAGGCTAGTAATTAAATTTAAAGTTTTTTTAAAACTTTCGTATTGTTATTAATATTGATCACTGCAAGGATCGATTGTTGAGGATCATATTTTATTATATATTTAATAATAATAATAATAATAATAAGTTGTTATCAAATGGGCTTTATTTGAGTGCCCGATAATAGATTCACAGAGCTAGACCTTGGGCATGACGGCAAATTGTGTTAATGGGCCGGAGTTCATGGATGGGCTGAAGACTGATAGGCTTGTGGTCCGAGATGAGGTGCCTAAACTCACACCGCTTACAACTTCTTGGACAGAAAAACTGACGCCTATTGGCACATGACTGGTGTTTCCAGAACCCAGCAATGACTCCATGACGCACAGACCATAGGTAATAATGATGGAAAAATAAAATAAATTAAAAGGACAGAGTTTAGATTTCAATTTTTTTAAAATTTTCATCTGGGTAATTAATATTGATCACTCTCTAGGATCAATGGATGAGGATACTATTTCATTATATATTTATTTCTAATACCACTACTAAAAATAATCCATATAGAAGAAAACTTTATACCTGAACCATAGCATGCATGCTCAATGAGATATAAGACAAATCACTACGTCCCATATGGGATGAACTATGTACACATAAATTTTTAGATATAATATTCCTCCACTGCCTACATTTTCTTAGTAGAGTTGCACCACATAGAAGACACTGTATAAACTTCAAAGCTAGTGCCTTTCTTTGACTAAATGGGTCTTAGAAGCCACCAATTAAGTAGGCCTTAGGATGACATATATAGCCAACATGGGTGGCTATGTTTCTTTGGAACAAACATGAAAAATATATGCATTATTTAACATACAGATAATGTTTGCCCCATGATTTTCTCATCAAATACCTGGGAGGGATAGTTCACAGATCAACTGTTACCTAAAGTGGCACATATGGACTATCGTATGTTACATGAAAGATCTTTTCCATGTCCACAAGTGGGAACCTCTTTCAGCTGTAAAAATAATGGCTGGACTGAAATCAAGAGAGAAGAAGAAAAAGAAGGCACCATCTGGACCACTAAAATCACATGAAAGATTTGGGCTCTCGGTAACTCACCCGCACCAAACCTTGAGAGGGCTTGGTCTTCCCGTCAAGCTTGCAAAGAATAAAGGCAGACATAATGGTAAAGCATCAAGGAGAAATCATGATTTGTAGATATTGGAATCTTATGAAATAAATTTTCGTATGATGACATGATACCTAGAGAAATGAATGGCAGCCAGGGCTGAGTTGCCACTGAGCATGAGGATGAGGGACAGCATATTTGACTGCCCTTCTACATCACTTTATGAGCTCAACACACAGAAGCTCAATACAGAGACACCTCAACACTTCATGAGCCGAGGAACAGTCCACAAAGCCTTTGTCTAATGCTTTTCAGCACACCCCTCGTTTCATTGATCCTATGTTTATTTGTTCACATACATAATGAGACCATCTTTATAGGAGATTTCACATGAATAGGGATTCATGCTTCATCCATTAATATGTTGTTGATGTGGTTCTAAGTCGTTATTAGAATCATCAATCAATTTTAATAATTTATAGAACTAGATTCACCAAAAATATTAATAATTTTAAATAGATATAGTGGTGAGCTAGGTCGTCTCCTCAAGAAAGGTTTTTAAAAATATTTTTATTCTCTAATTTAAAGAATTACTGAATTGATTAGAAGATTTAAATTGATATTCAAAGCAATAAAGGAAATAAAATGACAGATAAATGTAAATACGAATTTAAAAATTAAATGAATTAAAATTAGGAAACTAAATATGCTTTGGAATGATAAAAATAGAAGAGAAAAAATAAAGAAATGATTAAACCTAAGAAAATAAAATTATTTCGCAGATCAAACAAGAAAATAATGAAAAATCTATTAAAAATCAAACTTACAACCCTTAGAATGCATGGCTTGATGTTGACCTCTAGGTAGTGCTTCTCAGTCTTGCATTCAGTTCAACAGAATGGATTTAAGGTGAAAAAGGCAGAAGAGAACAATCAAAATCAATGATACGCTCTTTAGATTCCTATTTTCACATGAGAAGGAAGAACAATGTTTTCTCTCAAGAACAATGCCAAGAAAAACTCCAAAAAGACTCCCTTTCTCTCCCCCATTCCTCCTTGTACCCCAGATCTGCAAATCGCGTTTTCTATTTTGACTTCTTATTTTTTGTCGTATTTTTCTGATTTTCTCCTATTTTTCTAGCATTTTCTCCTTTTCTTACGTGACAATAGTCGATATTAACTGTTTTACCAAGAACATCTACCCTTCCACGTGTGCGAGAGAATAATCGATATCGTCTGTTTTACTAGACGATAATTGATATTTGGGTAAAAGCCGACAAAATTGTAATTGAATGAAGAATAGTTAGGTAAATTTAAATCACACCTATTAGTAAATGAAGTGAAAATTAAGTTGAAAGTAGGAAAACAAAGTTCCAACATCATGATAGTGATGCATCAATGATGCACTAGAATTTTGAGCATTCAAGAGGATCATCGTGCAATGTCTATAGCCTTGAAGGCTTTCTGTAGATACAGACGACGTGTGCAATCTCTAAATCTTCTTGCGAAGTCTAGAGATCAATGAAATGGGTCATCGAATTGTGTCCAACAACTGTCACCTAGTGAAGTAGAAAAATGATGACTTTGTGGCTCTCTAGCGGCTGTCACCTGATAGAGAGAAGCTGGATAGGGGTTGGACACGTGTCAGGGAGCTTCATCCTCAAGTCTGTGCAGCAAGAGGATGCTCTTCATTGCATCCGATACACTCTCAAGAGGTGGTGACTTGCCTCATGGTGGATTGTCCTCTTCTCGATGATGGCTTGTTTGTTGATCAATCGAATATAATTTTCTTGATGGATTCGCGATCTTTTTATTGTCACTCGTTTAACAATTTTTGTAAGAATGCTCCGTGAATCGTGTTAACGAGATTTTCGCCGATGATCCAATGATTCTAGTGGCTTAATCCTTCACCAGTGATTTGCAAGAAAGTCACGATTTAATTAAATAAAAATTCGAGTTTTGGCTCTAGGAGGATTTGAACTCGCACCGGTCACCCGCCTATATGAGAGAGATTGAAATAAGTACTCTAATACCTTTATACAGTGACATCATCATGATATATCTCTATTATAACTAAGGGATATTTTAAGTATTAAAATCTTCAAAATTATTCTAGGACCACCGGTTTAGTCCCACATCGGTTATACGCTGAATGTGGAGACAGATTATATGATAACATGAGATTAGAGAATCAATGAGTCCCTTTCTCATGTGTACGACTACTCCTTGCCCCATAACCAGCTAGCCACCAGTCATGTGGAAAGTGAGTGACACACACTTGCCTCCATCGGTCTATAGCCACTCGAGCCCCTACTTGTTGCTCTTCCCCAATTGCATTCCCAACCAGCTTGCGGGCTCAATTGGCCAATGGGTCCTCCTTTTTTCTATTTATATTTTTTTATATTTTACTTTAATTTATTTTTCTTCATTTATTTTAAAAATAGGACTATAAAAATCATATAAATTTCATATAAAATTACATAATTAGCCAAAAATTCACATTAATTAATTGAAAACCACTTTTCATAATTTAATATAAATATAAGTCTATTTATTATGAGTTAAGGCTAAATATATATTATTTATTAATTATTAACTCATGATAATGAAGACTTATCAAGCATCAATCAAAGTTTTACTAGCATAGTAAATGACCATGGGTTTCTTATCCTTCTTTTGCCCCAAAACTGCTCCCACTACTAAATTTGAAACATCATACATTATTTCAAAAGGTAAACTCCATTCTAGAGCTTGAAGGATAAGTACTTATATGAGTGTTTGTTTAATTTCCTGAAATGCAGTTTTAGCACTATCATCTAAAGTAAAATCAACATCTTTAGCAAGGAGGTTAGTGAGAGGTTTAGAAATTTTTGTAAAATCTTTAATGAACCTCTTAAAGAAACCTGTATGGCCAAGGAAGCCCCTAAGTTGCTTTAGGTTGATGGGAAGAGGTAGCTCCTTGATTATCTCTATCTTGGGTTATCTACCTCCAGCTCATCCTTGCTTACTTTGTTCCCCAACACTATGTTATCCTGCACCATAAAATGAGATTTTTCCCAACTTAAAACTAAGTTATTTTCTATGCAAATTTCAAGAACTTTGGTTAAGCTGGTCAAGCATGATTCAAATGAGCTTCCAAAAACTGAGAAATTATCCATAAAAATTTCAAATGAATCACCAATTAAGTTAGAAAACATAGCATTCATGTATCTTTGAAATGTGGTAGGGATATTTCATAACCCAAATGGCATTCTCTTAAAAGTATATGTTCCTACAGGACATGTAAAAGTTGTTTTCTCTTGATCATCAGGATAAATATTTACTTGATTATAGCGTGAATAACCATCAAGAAAACAAAAAAAAAATTGTCCTGAAAGTTTTTCCAAAATTTGATCAATAAAAGGCAGTGGATAATGATCTTTCTTAGTTACAGAGTTTAATTTTTTATAATCAATGCAAACTCGCCAACTAGTGACTAATCTCTTCTAAATTTTTTCACCTTTATCATTGATTTCAATGGTTAATTCAGACTTTTTAGGAACCATATGAACAAGACTCACCCAAGTGCTATCAGAAATAGGATAAATGATATCAGCATCCAACCATTTCAAAATTTCTTTTTTTAGGAATTCAAGCATATGAGGATTTAGTCTATGTTAACTTTCTCTACATGGCTTGGATCCTTCTTCTAGAAAAATACTATGTTCACAAACATGAGAAGGTATGCCTCTAATATCATCAAAAGTCCAACCTATGACACATTTATGATCTCTTAAAACCTTCAAGAGATCATATTCCTGCTCATAGGTTAAACTTGAAGAAATGATAACAAGATATGATTAGTTAGAATCCAAAAATGCATATTTCAATGAAGAAGGCAACAGTTTAAGTTCAAGAATTGGGTGAGAAGGGTCTCCTTTAAATCCGAGAGAATTAGTTGGATCTTCTTTTGGATTCAAATCCTGAATCTCAAGAGGATACCCTATGATTCCTCATCATCCTCATCAGGGAGTTCACATGTACCAAGTTATTCACGAAATCCTTTAGAATTTTCAAAGAATTCAATCATATTTAATTCAACTTTCTCCTCTCCAACCTTGAACTCAATAGTTCCGTTTTCCCAATCTATGATTGCTTTTGCTGTGGCAAGGAATGGTTGACCCAAAATTATAGTCAATTGACTAAAATTTACAGTCACATTCATATCTACCATAATAAAGTCAACAAGGAAGGTACATTGCTGAATTCTAACCAAGACATCATTTAATCTTCCATGTGGCTGTCTCACAGGTGTATCAGCTAATAATAGATCCATACATATTGGCTCAAGATCCCCAAATTTAAGCTTATCAAATAAAGCTTTAGGCATAAGATTTACACTAACTCCAGAATCTAAAAGTGATTTAGGAAAAATCATGCCATTGATTTCACATTTAATAAAAGGAGCTCTAGAATCTTTCTTTTTAAGAGGTATAAAATCCAAAAGAAGGGAACTAATATTTTCAGACAATTGAACCTTCCTTTGAGTTCTCTTAGGTGTGCAAATGTTTTTAACATATTTAGAGATAGGAGGAACACATTTAAGCACATCTTCAAGATGAAAAGTAATAGTTGCACCCTTAAAGGCATCAAACATTCTTGTTTCATTATCTGATGTGGGTTTAGAAAAATTTAAAACACTTGGAAAGGGAATAGGAGGTTGATACTTAGAGGGCTGAGGCTCTTTCTTTTCATTTTAGGCTTCTTCCTTTTCATTTCTCTCCAAAACCTTTTCCTTTATTTCCTCCTTTTCTAACTTCTATAAGGATCAGGAAGTTCTTTGCCACTTCTTAACTAAGAAATGGGATGAGCTTCCTCTTCCTCATAAAAATCTGTCTCATCGTAAATCATGTCGCAAGATTCATCATCACAATCAATAAAAGATACATGTCTAGGATTTACAAGAGGTTGAGTTGGGAATTGACCTTTATGGGAGTTTATTTCAACTCCCTTAACTCTTCCTTGGTCTGGTTGCCCTCTCTTCAAGTTGTCAATCTCATTCATCATCTCTTTCTTCATTTCTTGCATAAAGCTCATCATGTTCTTTTGTTATTCCATCATGTACAAAATAAATTCATTTTTATTAGATTCAGAATTTTGAGCGGGTTGAGGAAGTTGAGGTTGATAGTGAGGTGGAGTTTGATATTGTTGTTGAGGTTGTGGAGGGTAATAATTTGTCCTCTGCTGAAATGGAGCCTTGGGGCCATGATTGTAGCTTGAACTTGCTTGGTTTCTGATAACATGCTATTTATGCATGTAATTATATAATTATTAATGCAAATTAAGGCATTAATCATTACAAATATATGCATGTTATCATATTTTAAGTATATTTCTATCATTTTATGTAAATTCATGTTATGATCTTAAAATACACCAAATTATGGATTATTATAAATAATTACACATTACAATCTTTAATCATAATTATATTTATGATCATAATCATGTTTTAAGAGTGAAAATATGAGAGAAAAGATATTTATTAACATTTATGTATTTATATAAATTTATTTTATATAATACATAAATGTATAAAATTAATTAAAATTTATTCTCTTCTTATTTTAATAATTTGACCTTTTATAATGATAGATTATTCAATTTTGAATCCAACAAAACAAATTTGAATTAATTTGGAGTCGTATTTTGAAATTTATGATTTTTACAATTTTATAGAATTTTCTAGAATTTTTCTGAATTTATTTATATTTATTTTCGATTTTTAAATGTTTTAAATTAATTAAAAAATCGCAAAAAGGGGTTATATGTCGCGCGTGTACACGTGGATGCGACGTGGTACTCGGGGCCACGTGGCTCTGCCACGTGGACAGCACGCGGGCGCCTGCGTGGTGCTGATGTGACACATGGCGTATTTATATTTACTATATATATTTATTTAATAAAGTATATAGGTCTTCCGATTATCGGAAGACAAAGTATTAATCCCTCTTAATCGTCATATCTTATATACCCGAATATACTCCTTTGTTTTTCCCGTGTGGGACTAAAGTCCCTTAGTTTTCTTATGTGCAGGACGCGTGGCGTGATCTCGTGCGTCCAATCGACATCGCGACAAATAGTGTACGTAGATCACGTGGAATCAAGGTCCACGCAATCAGAGATCAACCACGTGCCTAAATACTCACTTAAGTGAATAAATCACGACCGTCTGATCGAGAGTTATAATGGTCCAGATTATTCACATCAGATGGACATCCAATCACATCTTAACTGCACAATCACGATCGGACGATCGTCAAATCGTCGCGACGATTCGTGAAGAGGTGTCTCATCGCAATCGTCCATCGCGATCAACTCCATCAGATCGGACGGCCACGATCATTTACGAATTTTATAAAATCCGTTCTTCGCGACGGATGAACTACCCGCGATCAATCTTCAAATTCTCTTTGTTTAGAGTTCCAATTCGCGCGCCATCTTTTGCATTGTGTTCAAAACTCATTTACGCTTCTGTTGGATGTTTAATTTCAATGTTTTATTGAAAGAATTGGAAGAAATCAAGTCTTGAACTCCTCTTTCGTCTTCAAAAATTCGGAATGAAAAGCCTTGCATCCGGCGATTAATTGGATCATTTCGAAGGCTAATTTGGGTTATATTGTTTGTTTTCATCTTAATCTTTCATCATTTAGTATTAATTTTACTTTAAGTATTGTAGATTAAGTTTAATTTAGTTTTAATTTCTGTTTTTAATCATTTCGTGATATGAAAATTTCTCTTAACTTCAAACTTCGATTACTCTTCGAATTCTCATCCAAATCACCTGATTTTTTATTCCGTGGATTCGAAATTGAGTTATCTTTCTTAATATACTAAATTGCTCAATTTCTAACCTAATTTCATCGTCCGATTTGATCAATTTCAAAGATATCTCTCAAATTTCCCTAATTCTCCGTGGATTCGTCCCTTAATTACTATTATACTAATTAATTACTTTGATTAATCATAAATTGGTAAGATTAGGACTTTGTTTTGACACTGAATCGTGTGCATTCAACGACCATACGATTTAGTCTCGTCAGTTTCTTTACCCACTCTATCGCCTTTAGTTGTACCTCACAATATTCACCTCTTCTTCTTCTTTACAAGCCCCATTTTCATGATCTCTACTATGACAAAAAGAGCAAATCATAGCTTTAATGAGAGGAGAGTCAGAATTAAGTACCTTGTTCAAAGCTGAAGTCAATTCATCCAAACTTCTTGTTTGCCTCCCTTAAGCTATGATTATTCTGATCTCTCTCCACTTTGTCCTCCCTTCCTGCAACATTCAGAATTCTACCTCACCTTTGGTTCATAGTTCTCCCATTTTGCCTTAGACCTGCATGTTGCATATCAATTTCTACAATTTTCTCTATTAGAGCATAAATTTCATCCTCACAAGTATGATAGAAAGATCCTCCTACAGCCAAATCAACTCTACTCCTAAGAGCATCCGTTAGACCATCATAGAAAATCTGAGCTAGTTGAGAAAATTCAATTCCATGATGAGGACATTTCCTTATCAAAGTTTTGAATCTCTCCCACCCAACCTTCACTAAATGATTCATCATCTATTTGGCTGAAATTTTGCATTTCTCTTCTAGATGCATTTGTCTTTCCTAGAGGGTAAAACTTTTGCAAAAATCTATTCTCAAGTTTAATCCACTCATCAAAAACAACTCCTAGACTTCTATACCATTCTTCAGCCTTTTCTTTCAAAGTAAGAGGAAAACACTTCATCTTTAAAATTTTGGTAGTAAGTCCAAGAATATTTTGAGCAGAACATCTGATATGAAACTCATCTAAAAAATCAAGAGGATCATCATTAGATAAACCATAAAATGTAGGAAGAGAATTCATTAAAGCATTGCCATATTTAAAGACCACTCCCTCTTGAAGATTGATGTTGAAGTTGGTTTGCTTCAAACTTCTAGCTAGGTTTGACTTTTCAAGCATATTTTGTTTCCTAATTTGTTGAGGTGGGTTCCTATTTCTCTAATCTGCCATTTCTTCAATTGTAGCTTCAATTATGTCCTCTGAAATGTTAGTAGATGAATCTACTTTCTTTGACCTAATGTTGACCATTAGTGAATAGAACATTAAGAAAAACCTTGTCAAAAATAGAATATACCTTTGGTGATCCTTCTTGATGTATTTCTACACTCGAATAACTATTTAAATGATAAAAAATAATAAATAATAAATAAAATTCACTAATTAATAACACTGGCTCCCCAACAACAGCACCAACTAATTATCTAGAAAATGTGGTAATAATCATTGTAAATTCTAGATTTAGCAACAAAAAATTATAATATTTAACATCACAAAGTATAATTGAGTAAGGGTCAAACCACAAAGAGCCAGGAATTAATCAGAGAATTTGTTTAGCAATTTTATATTTATATTTATATTTATATTTATTTTATTTTATTTTATTTCGTAATAAGAAGAAAACCCTAAAATCTTTTGTTTCTATTTTCAGGTCTATCACACGCCACAACCATGACATCATCATGGCGCTCGTCCCATATCACCGATGTGGAATGCACCTTGCCTATCAGCACAAGACGGATGACAAGGCACATCGTAATTTACCTGGGTACACTACTTCCAATCATTACTCTCCTCATAATCACCTCACATCTGCTATCTATCACCCTCAAGTAGTGAGGACACAGAACTATCAGCACATGTTGGCATCTCCCCAATTTTGAACTATATGTCTATAGCACATCAGACCTGCCAAACTAGTTGTGAATTGCCAACCTAGCACCTCTCTCAATATCTCATTAGTACCATCAACCAGCTTGAACCCATGAGAAGGTAAGGATCTATATCAATAGGATTGACCCTCTCTCCTCTCTCTCTCTCTCTCGATTCTCTATTTCTTTCTCCCTCTCTTTCTCTCTCTTCAAAAAAAAAGAAAAAAAAAGAAAAAAAAAGAAGAAAAAGAGGCAGCCTACTTCTTTTCCCGAAATCACTAGCCCATCATAGACAATTAGTGGAGGGTGAGGGAACCTACTTCCCTTCCCTTAATCACTAGCCTAATACTCCAAAGGGAATTACCCTTGTACACCAAATAATGGGCATTAGTGGAGGGTGAAAGAAGAGGCCCTTAAAAAAAAAAAAAAAAAAAAAAAAAAAGAGAGAGAATAAGAGAAAAGAAAAGAGTTAGAAAAAGAGACCAAGTCATTCCTCGTGGGGTGAAAGGTCCCCTACCTACTTAGAGGAAGTACGGCAACTGATGGTACTAACAAGATCTTGGCCAGAGGGATTAGGCATGTGCAACACTAGGAAGGCAAGTTCATATTTGGGCTTATTGTCATGCTCCAACATAGTTCTATCCTCCTCACTGCCCTAACCACTCTTTTCTCACCACTTTATATCATTTTATTTATTTCTTAGAACTCTTGTCTTGCAGGAACATCTCATGGCGCACAACACGGAGGTCTACACGTCCTACTACTATTGAGCAGATCTTCCAACTTCATGAACTCAATGGCTCTCCCAGCCCAATGCAAATCAACCGCCTTCTTCAAACATTGTGAGTGCACTGGAGTCTATCTCTAGTATTATCACATCCCCTCTTCAAAAGAGGTCTATAATCCTCCATGTCATCCTCGCCCTTTGTGTGAATGAGATCCCACTTATGTAACCTCAGAATGAGGTCAAACTTCTAGCACTCAATCAAATTTCTTCATTTCAAAAAAAAAAAAAAAAAAAAAAAAAACCAGCACCTTGGTGGCACTTGCAACGGGCACGGGAGCACACATGCGATGAACGCACGGGCGGAGATGCGTCGACGAGTGGTGTGCGGGTGGTGACGTGTCGGCGAGCGGCGCGCGGGTGGAGATGCGCTGGCGATGGTGCACAAGCGGTGATGCGCCTGCAAACGGTGCATGGGCGGTCACGCGTCGGTGAGTGTGGCGTGGCGATGGTGCATCAGCAAGCGTCGCGCGGGCGATGCACGTCGGCGAGCATCGCGTAGACGATGATGTGTTGGGGAATGGCGCATGGGTGATGATGCTCCTGCGAGCTGTACGCGGGCGGTCATGTGTTAACGAGCTTCATGCGGTCAGTGACGCGTCAGCAAGCGGCTGGACAAGTGCACGAGCAGCAGTCAGCGAGCGGGGGGGGAGTGCGCGGGCAGCAGGCATATGGGTAATGACACGTCAGCGAGAGGCGAAATGTTTGTCTGTAACTTTTGCTGCAAAATGAAATTTTGGGTTAGGTTCGCGGTGTTGGAAAGCCCTAGATCTTGGCTCTCACACCAGTGATAACCAAGCCAGTGAAATCAAATGAAGAAGGTAAATCTTCGGGAGATTGGTCGTTCCTCTAGTGTCACATCATTTCTGGCCCAAGGTAGCAATCTCCTTTTTCCTCCAAATCAGATGATCTGGTCTACTTCTTCACACAACTTAACACTTAAAGAAGAGAGTGGATCCAAGACATTGCTGCACTAAGGTCGTCAACATAGAGTTTTGGACAGAATCAGAGATGCCCTATAATGAGGGAGGAAGAGAGTATAAATAGGGGTCCTGATTTCTCAAAGTGAGAAACCTGCGATATGTGGCCTCTCCTTAATTTCGGATTTGGGCCTTTCTTGTGGGGCTTTGAACGTGGATTGGCTGCTTCTCTCCTCCACATTTAATATTCAATTTATCTAGGTCCTAAAATTCAATAAAACTCCAAGAAAAATGTTAGAATAATCCACTTGATTCAAAAGAATCAAGTGAGGTTAGTTCACAAGTCAATAAATACCTAAAATAAGGACTAGATAAATAATACATATTTATTTCATTTTAATCATAAATAAGTGATAATTACTATGCCCATAAAAATATAAATGATTAACTAAAGTATAAAAAAATGTAATTATCACCACATACTTGATATCATCAACTAACTTTGGTGAAACTATTTTATCAGTTTCTACTAGATCTTTTAATGATGGTTGAATTCTTGATACAAGATGTACCTACCATATGTGTCCTCAAAATGACTAGTATTTTATGAACTCGAATTAGAAGTTAAATATATCGTTGTGATGCAATTAAGTTTATGAAAATAATATTTATAAAACCTCACTCTTCTATCTAAGATAAGTAAGGCTTGATGCTTAAAGAGCGTGGATAATAAGAGTAAGAATTCTACTTATTTTATTATATATATATACACACTTGAGATCATGAAGGGTAGAACTAAATCTAAAAAAGATGAAGACAAGATAAATAAAAAGTGTAGCAAAGAAAAGAGAATGGATTTAACGCAATGAAATGATAGAATAAATAGTAAAACTAGTTTGAACTAAAAATTAATCTATCTATGAAGAGGATTACAAAGACTCCCTAAATCTAAATCTTGCACAAATCTCGTTGTGTGCTAGTTCTAGGCCGAGTGATACTTGATCTGTGACGAGTGCAAATCTAAAACTTGCACAAACCTCTTCTTCACAGTGATCTTTGACATGAGAATGTCATTCACTAGGCCTTGATTTCCCTCCTATTTTCTTCGATTAGCCACTACTAGAGAGAGAGCTAAAAAACTCTCTCCAAGAAGGGTGTGAGATGTCTTAATCTTCTCGAGAATTAGGCCCCTCTAATGAACGGTTATAATTAATAACTAACTCTTTTGGTGAACGGCACAGATTTTTTCATGAGAGAGGCACTCTAATCCTTCTCTTAATCTCATCTTAAGGTGCCCTAAGATGGGCGGCCTAAATCTCATCTCTTGATAGCCCATTTAAGTCCAAATGGGCTAGGCCAATGTGATGCCCTCTCTTAGGCCCATAAACATATTAAACCGCCCCTCTCCATAAGACTTGACTTGTCATTAGGCTGAAGGTTTGGGCTTCTTTCATTACTTTCAACTCATAATAAGAGTTTACTTAAGTTCTTGCAATTAAATAATTATCAAGAAAATGTGAGAGAATCACTACTTAACTTCATAAAAGTCAAGTGAGGTTAGTCTCATAATATAAATAATATAAATAAAATAATATAAATTAGGACTTAAAAGATAAAATACTATGAATGTCATAATGAGCTAGTAATACATATATAATTGTATTATCTACTCATTAATTAATATCTATATATAAGATATTAATGCATAAATGTAACTACTAATTTATAATTATTAGTTTTCTATTTACACACTAATAAGTAGTGATATTGTGACATTAGGTGATGACAACATTAATAATGTTACATGAATAGACACAATACGGATCAAGATGTATGATAGTGGCATCATGACTTTGAAAATGAGACATATTTCAAAGTTGAAGAAGAACCTTATCTCTTTAAAGAATGGTATTCTACGAGTTTCTAAAGGTGCTTTGGTTTTGATGAAGGCGAAGATGATCAGAATTCTTCATCTATTTGAACACATTGTTACAGACAGTGTGAATGTAGTTGAGGATTCAGATATTTTTACTCAATTATGACACATGAGATTGGGTCATATGAGCGAGCGATGTATGATAGAGTTAAACAAGTGTGGTTTACTTGCAGGTCAAAAGATTAGTAAACTAGACTTCTATGAGCACTGTGTGCTTGGCAAATAGTGTAGAGTGAGGTTTAGTATTGCAGTCCATCAAACCAAGATTACAATAAACTACATCCACTCTGATCTTTGGTGGGTCCTACTCTAGTTATCTTGAAGGGCGGTGCAAGTTATTTATTAACCTTTATTGATGATTTTTTTAAGAAAGTATGAGTTTACTTTCTCAAGAAGAAGGGTGAAGTATTCATCACATTCAAAAAATAGAAGGTGTTGATTGAACGGTAGGCTGGAAAGTCAAATCAAGTGCCTCCGTATTGATAATGGTATAGAATTTTGCTCGAATGATTTTGATGAATTTTAAATAAACAAAGGTCACGTTCGACTTTGCATTGTAGCAAGAACACCACAACAAAATGGAGTTACAGAATGAATGAACAGGACACGCTTCAAACGTGCTAGAAGCATACTACCTCAAGTGGGTTTATCAAAAGACTTTTAGGTAGAAACTGTTAACAAAGTTTGCTACTTGGTTAACAAATCTTTATCTATAGTCATTGAGTTGAAAACTCCTAAAGAGGTATGATTTGGTTCTCTTACTAATTATTCTTACCTCAGAATTTTCGATTGCCCTACTTATGGTCATGTCACAGGTGACAAGTTGGAGCCAAGGTGATGTGGGACAAAGGACCAGAGAAGATCTCTTTAAAAAGAGCTACACATTAATCTTTAAAGTTGATTAAAATTAGAATTTTGATGATTTAATATTCAGATGATCCCACAATTTTAAGATAATTAAGATCATTAATTACCTATTAGGTTATCTAATTCAAAGAATAACACAAGGCTTCTCAACCAGGGTTAGGACCATCAATCTTTCACACATACGTGGCTATCATATGAACCTCACAAATTCTAAGAGCAAAGATTTAAAAATAATGAACAACTTGTTTCCTGGCGACGGTGGGAGAGAGAGGAAAGAGGGCTTCGGCGGGAGAGAGAGAGAGGGGCGTCGGCGGGAGAGAGGAAAAAAGGGTGGTTTCGTGGTGACAGCAGGAGAGAGAAAAGGAGAGGGTTTGCGACGGCGAGGAGAAGAAGTGGTGGCGACGGGAAGGACGGCAGGGAGCCGAAGTGGCGGCGACAGGCGGACGGCGAGGAGGCGGGACGACGGCGACGGGGCGGACAGCGAGGAGGCGCGATGACTGCAACGGGGCGGAAGGCGAGGAGGCGGACGACGGCGACGGGGCGGACGGCGAGAAGGCGGGACGACGGAGACAGGGTGGCTGGCGAGAAGGGGAGTGGCGGTGATGGGGCGGCCGACAAGGAGACGGGACGACGACGACGGGGTGGGAGAGACGCCTTCCTTAGGAGAGAAGGGGTGCATGGGTGACGCGGCCTCTTCTCCTCCCTCTTCTTCTTCCTCGTGGGTCCACTTAAGGGAATGAACCTTCATATTGATTTCATCACAAGGGCAAACAAGTGTATATTTATAGGTTATGCACAGACACAAGTGTGAAAAGGTATTGGTTGTAGTCTTTGATCAGTCTGCGATGCTTAAAAAGAGAGGGAAGTTAACAACAAAAGAAGGAGATCAAGTTAATAACAAGGAAGAAGAGTTAGAGGTGAAGCTCTCAAATGATACAGTGTAAAAGGAGACAACTAAATTCAAGAAGAGCCAAAGAATATAGTAATATAGGAAGTCTCTCAACGGCAGCTTAGTATTGCAAGAGATAGGCAGTGAAAAATGATCAGACCACCTAACAAGTACTCTGATATAGTAGCCTTTGCTTTATTTGTTACAGATGAAGTTGGAGGAACAGAACCATGTTCTTGCAAAGAGGTTATGACCACCAACGTGGTGGCGAACAAGACCTGTCTCCACCACTGCATGAGCTCGAGGCGACAAAAGAGACCCCACTTTCACGTGTTCAGCCGGATCGAGGAACACGAGCAAAGATGAAGGACCCTGAGTTCCGTTATACCACCTGAGGTGTCTTTATGTTTTTCACGTGTCCAGTCGGAACGGGACTTGCTTTCCTCGCTCGTTTCCGCATCCGTGAGCAGTGGGGACCTACCATCCCTAGGGTCCATGTTGGGCCCATAGTGGGGACGTGAAACCCCATTTCCCTTTGTTTTCTTTTCTTTCCTCTCTTCCCCTCTTGGGCCATACATGTTTGGGCCCAATTGGAGAAGAGGGCGTCCTTCCTTTCCTCACCTCTCTTCTCTTTTGGGCCATCCCTATTTGGGCCCAGTTGGAGAGGAGGGCCAATTTTGGACTCTTATGTGTGCTACCTTCTTGGGGCTTTGGCATCTGGGGCCTCAAGCGTGGCCCTCCATCCTTGGCCCATTTAGGGCCCTCTATTAGGGGTGGAGAGCCACTCCCAAGGACAGAGCTTTCATCTTTAAGAGAAAGTGTGTTTTGGTTGAGAATCTCGTTCCAAGAGGACGAAAGGGGAAGGGGATCACTGCCAGGTCACCGCCGCTGCTTCCAGGCCGTCAGCAGCCCATCGAGCCGCCACCAGGTTGTTGTCACCGCTATCGGGCTATCAGCACCCGCCGTGCCTCCGGTAGCACACCAACCCTGTGCGCCCGCTTGCCACGCCCGCCTGCCGCGCGCTCAACTGTGCATTTGTCTCATGACCTTTATGGCGCCTCTGCGTGCGTGTTGCATACTTGCCCGTGTGCCTCCACGCCTGCCCCTCAGAGCTTGCCATTGCGCTTGACCTAGGTCACCTACCTGAGCGCCCCAGCCACTTGGTCGTGCCCCTCCCTCTAACCCTGTCTGAGCCCATACTATGGAGCCCAGCCGAGCCCAGCCAATATCCACCAAGGGGGGTCGTTAATTCTCCCCAACCCCCTCCTAGAGAACACCAAACCACCAAAACGCATGTCCATAGTGTCAGTTGGACGCCCTACTACACACCAACCGGACCTCTGCCCTGGAGGTTAGCTCTTATCCCCTTTCCTCCAAGTCATTTACTACGTTCAGTATCATCTCGCACCTGCTCCACTGCCATCGGACCTAGCTAGGTTAGAACGGGTTAAGTATCCCCACTGTGCGACTCTGATACGTGCGCCAGAATTGTTATGTTGGTTATCGAGCACTTGGTGTGGAGTCATGTCGACAATACTAAGTCCTCGCCTTCTAGACGTGGACTTGGAGGATCACCCTACATCAGAATCACCTAGCGACATCTAGTTCTGATGGATTGTTGGCGTCATGGCATTTCGGCTACTACTTGCACTTAGTTGAGTTTGACACTCATCATCTAGAGCCCCTGGTTAACATTACTCGTGGTGTATAGGGTTCCCTTCCCTTAGTATCTCACCCACATCTAGTTGTCATGCAGGTTTATAAGCACATCCTACATCACAACAACTCTTCAAAGTAGTAGTTGGCCATGCAAAAGGAGATGGAGTCTCTAGAGAAGAACAAGACATGGAAGCTTGTGAAGATACCACCTAATTAAAAAATTGTGGGGTGAAAGTGGGTCTTCAAGAAGGAAGAAATTGTGATTGAAGAAGGTGTTAGATTCAAAACATGTTTGGTGGCGAAGGGCTTCATACAGTGAGAAGGTATTGATTTCAATGAAATCTTCTCTCTTGTAGAAAGACATACATCAATTTGTGCCTCACTAGTTATTGTTGCTTCACTTGATTTAGAGTTGGGGTAGATGGATATGAAGACAACATTCTTACATGGTGAGCTAGAGGAGGAAATCTACATGCATCAGCCGAAAGGTTTCAAGATTCCTAATAAAGAAGACTGTGTGCCCATTCAATAAAACATTATATGACTTGAAATAATATTGAAGACAATGGTACAAGAGGTTTGATACATTTATGCTAAGTCATAATTATTTGTGAAGTGATTATGATAGTTGTGTGTATGAAAGAAAACTTTTAGATGATTCACATATATATTTATTACTATATGTTGAAGACATATTGATTGTTGTCAAGAACATGTCACAGATTGACCACTTGAAGTCTCAGTTAAATGGTGAATTCGAGATGAAGGATCTCGGTGCAGCAAAGAAGATATTAGGCATGGAGATATATAGAGATTATAGCACTGGAAGATTGTACTTGTCTCGAAAATAGTACATAGAGAAGGTGCTAGAATGATTTGGCATGACAGGATGCAAAGTTGTAAGTACTCTATTGGCAGCTTATTTTAGGTTGTGTTGAAGATTCACTAAAAATACTAAAGAAAATGGCGCTAATAAACAAGGTTCCATATGCGAGTGCAGTGAGAAGCATTATGTATGCTATGGTATGCACTCGTCAAAATATTTCTCATATTGTTAGGTTGGTTAACAAGTACATAAGAAATCCAAAGAAGATCCACTAGGTGGCTATAAAGTGAATTCTTCGTTATCTCAAAAGTGCTTCAGATGTGAGCTTGGTATTTCAAAAGGAAAGTAATAACGATAGTCAACTCACTAGCTATGTAAATTCAGATTATGCTGATGATCTAGATAAGAGGTGATCCTTGACAGAATATATGTTTACTCTTTTAGGTTATGCCATTAGTTAGAAAGTTATTCTATACTCTACAATGACCTTGTCAATGATAGAAGCTAAATATATGATAGTGGTAGAAATAGTAAAAGAAGTTTTATGGCTTCAAGGTTTGGTTGGTGATTTTGGTCTTGTATAAGAGAAGAATTTAGTGTAATGCCAATTAGAGAGTGATACATTTGATTAAGAATCAAATGTTCTATGAGAGGACCAAACATTGATGTCAAGTATCACTTTGTTCTTGATGTTATCATGCACGAAAAGGTTGATGTGAACAAGGTGTATACAATGGAGAATCCTATAGATATGCTTACGAAGACACTTCCCTCAAATAAGTTTGGGCATTGCCTAAACTTGATCAGCTTATGGAACACATGAGGAGAGCCCTAATGAGGCAATGGTAACTACAATCATGATAAAATAGTGGGCTCGAAAGGCCAAGTCAAGATGAAAACTCTTGTTTAATGTCACCTACCTTCTTTCGAGGCTGTCACATTAAATGCTCGCATTTGATGCGGAGAGGAGAAACTGTGTGAGAGATAAACAGTCACCCAGAAGATCAATTCTCACAAACTCAACAACCCATTTATAGGTTGAGCAGGCCATGAAGTGGAACGGTGCATGCAGAAGAAAGGGAAACCATTTGACATGTTTCCTGAGGTTCTTCTTGACACAATTATTGAGGTGGCTGTGAGGTGCCTATAAATAGAGGGGTTACCTCTCCTCATTCATGGCAACACAAAGTAAATTCTTTCTACTTTGTTCTACTATAAAGAGAGAGTATTTAGGAGAGAGCTTCAAAGAAGATCTCTTGGGTTGGTGAGTGCAACAAAGAGCCAAGATAAATGATCTATTCCTTAGGATCTTGAAAGGGTCAAGATCAGGGATTTGTTCTCTACGTTCTAAAGGAGTGATTCTCTTGTACTACTTTTTGCATCTATTGGAGTTTTCATTGTCGCCCATAGACATAGGAGGCCAACCTTTGAATCACGTAAAATCCTTGCGTCGATGTTCTTACTGTGAGTTGTTCTTTCTTCTACTTTACTTTGTGTCGTGAGCATCGCTTCCGCTGAAGTCCATATAGGACGTCTTGCTCTAATAGGGACAGTGGTGGTGGCGAAGAGGTCCACCCATGGTTGGTGGCGGAGGTCTACATATGGAGATGAGCAGCCATGTGCTACCTTACCTTCGCCCATGGAGGAATGCTATCAGGAGGCCCTCCAACCAACTACTTTGTAAGATTCTCTAACAAAAATCTTGTGCTTGTCTGGTTCACTCACTCTGTAATCTTTACGTCTTCTTTCTCAATCTGTTGACAGCTTGGAATTTTCTACTTTTGTAGTTCGAATTTGAACTAGAGTACCACATGGTGTTCACCAACCCTGATGTCAACGAGAAGCCACCAATTCCTCTACTTGAAGCTCTTGAGAAGATGATGTCATTCTCGATGGAGTACAAAGAGATAAAATGTCAACAAGAGTGAGGGACATACACCAACTTTGCCCTCATTTTTCTTTGAGTTCATTTAGTTTATCTTGGATGAGGTGTTCCCCCACCTTGATCTGAAGCCTATGCCATTCATAAGCCCAATCTTTTGGATCAATGCCACGAATCATCACTTGGAACTTCAACTTTTGATGAATCTTGAGTGGGATATTCTAGTGTAACCAACCCTTGAATCTATGTCTTTTTGCTTGTAGTTGGAACCATCAATGCTTCATTTAGTGCAAGAAGTCATCTAGTATATATACCATTTAGTCTAATTGGAAGCTCCAAAAATAAGCTGAAGCACTAACGGTTCAGTGGATTCCAATTAGACTAGCTAAACTAAATTGGTATATTCTAGTCTTCAAGACTGTGGAAGCTTGGGAACAAGATTTTGTGGTACACTTTTCCTTCATTTTGATGACTTTTGTAGTCTCTTTTCTATGTGGACACAGGGGTACAAGAGATTTGAAATGACCAAAGGAAGAGGTTGAGCATGAATGGCAAGTATATATTGAATAATAGAAATAAGGTTGTAAGACAAGCTAAGATCCTCCATTATTGATTTTCTCTTATGTAGTTTTTCTCTTTTATTTGAGCCCTTAAGTAAGTCAATTATGGACTCCTTAATGGGCTCTTCCTTTCCTTCTTCTAAATAAGTGAGCTTGATCCACTATAGATGTAACCAATATTTAAACTAGTTATGAGGTTAATTGAATAAGCTTTTTGAGGAATCTACCCTAAAGGATCTTTGTGCAGCACTAGTGAAAGAGGAGGGTGAAGACTAGTTCAAGAAGATCAAAGAGGAGATCAAGATTCTAGTTTAACATAATATTAGAGCAGGTCGAGGCTTGAAGCATTCCAAGGACAAGAATCGAAGTTGACCGTGTGATCAAGATCAAAGACATGCCTTCCTTTCTACTAGAAGTAAGCATTCAAGAGGTCAGATGGGAGCCATTCTTGATTTCAAGAATCAAGAAATAGGAGATGTCGATGGGGCAAGAAGCTTCTACATCCAATATGATCATAACAACAATTGTTGGTGATCAAGACAAGACCATATATGCATCACCAGGTATGTTTGAGTGCTTGAGATTTAATGGTAGTAATCTATACCAATGGGCAAAATTTGTGGAGTTAACACTCGAGAGAGGTTAATCATAGCATCTTACAAATGATTTTGTTGAGATGAATGATTCAAAGTACAAAATATAGAAATCTGAGAAAGCTTTATTCACTCATAGCTTCATTATCATGAGTTAATAATTAATAAATAATATATTTTTAGCCTTAACTCATGATAAATAGACTTATATTTGTGTTAAATTGTGAAAAGTAGTTTTCAGTTGATTAATGTGATTTTTTGATTAATTATGGGATTTTATGTAAATTTATATAATTTTTATAATCTTATTTTTAAATAAATAAAGAAAATAAAAATAAAATAGAAAGATAGAAAAAGGAGAAGACCCATTGGCTAGTTGGGCCCTGATAAGTCTTCATTATCATGAGTGAGTAATTAGTAAATAATATAGTTTTAGCCTTAACTCGTGATAAATAGACTTATATTTGTATTAAAGTGTGAAAAGTGGTTTTCAATTGATTAACATGAATTTTTGGGTAATTATTTGATTTTTTATGAATTTATATGATTTTTTTAGTCTTATTTTTGAGATAAATAAAGAAAAAGAAATAAAAATAAAAATATAGCAAAATGAGGGAGACTCACTAGCCAATTGGGCCCGCAAGCAAGTCGGAAGCATAGTCAGGGAGGAGCCGCGAGTAGAGGTTTGAGCGGCTAAGAGCAATGAGGCCACATGTATGCCACTCCCCTTCCACTTCACTAGTGGTTAGTCAACTCTGGGGTAAGGAGTGGTCGTACATGCGGGAGAAAGGGACTCATTGCTTGCAAATGTAATATTACTATATATTTGCCCAAAACTTTAGCGCACAAGCGATGTGGGACTAAATCCGTGTCACATCTTCTCCCGAAAGGTTTCAAAAATTTTAATACCAAAAATATCTCTTATTTATAACAGAGATATATCATGATGACGTCACTTGATAAAGGTATTAGAGTACTTATTTTAATCTCTCTCATGCATGTAGGCGATAGGTGCAGGTTTGAATCTTCCTAGAGCCAAAACTCATATTTTTATCTGATTATCGCGACTTTCTTGCAGATCGCTGGTGAAGGATTAAGCCGTCAGAATCGCTAGATCATTGGCAAAAATATCGTCAACATGATTCACAAAATTACTGAACGATTCGTCATAAAAGGATTGCAAATCTATTGAGTAAATCATCTCTGATTGATCGACGAACAAGTTATCGTCAGGAAGAGGACGATCCGTCGAGAGACGAGTCGCCACCACTTGAGAGCATACCAGATGTGATGAAAAGCCTCCTCTTGATGCGTGGACCTGAGGATGAAGCTCCTTGACATATGCCCCACCTCTATCCAACTCCTCTCCAACGGGTGACAGCCACCAAAGAGCCACAAAGTTATCATTTTTTCGCTCCGCCAGGTGACAGTCACTAGAGATAATTCAACGACTCATTTCATTGATCTCTAGATTTCACAAGGAGATCTAGAAATTACCCACATCATTCTTGTCCAAAGAGAGCCTTTGAGGCCATAGACACTACACAATGATTCTTCCGAACACTTAGGATTTTGGTACATCACCAACGCATTGTCGTCACGACACTAGAACTCTATTTTCTTACTTTCAACTTAATTTTCACTTCATTTAGTGATAATTTGTGTGATTTAAATTTACCAAATTATACTTTATTCAATTACGATTCTTCTGGCTTTTACATATCTTAATTTGATCAATTAAATCATCTGTAATTACTTACGTAAGAATCACTAGGTGGAACTTTGTTTTTGTTCGATTCGTGTTTGTCGGGCCTTGATGTCATCCTGACGTCCGCACCCTTATTTCCCTTTTTCATGAATTTTTAATATATTTCATTTTCATTTCTTAGTATAAAATTTATAGAAAATCATATTCTTTGAGAAAACTTTTAAATAATTACCTAATATTATATTATATCCCTATGATCGACTTAGAAAATTATCACTATTTTTGGAAGTTTTATTAAATTATAATTGATATATTTATTCACAAATACTTTTAAATATCTGAAAATTTATATTTTCTAGTTTTATAAATTTTAAAGTGATTTACTACACAATGACTAAGTCACGTCAGAGGCTCTAGTTGGGTGGTTGCAAAATTGGAGCCTCTATAAGTGCCCTCTTAGTCTGTAAAAAAGTTTGCTAGCCTACAACATCTATTTCAAAATTAACATCCTTAGAAAGTAAGTTAGTCAAAGGTTTGGAAACTTTAGCGAAGTCTTTAATAAAATGTCTATAAAAACCAACATGACCCAAAAAAGCTCTCAGCTGTCTAATAAAATTAGAGAGGGGGAGATCTTAGATCACTTCTATCTTGGCTTTGTCCACCTCTAATCTACGATTGCTAACTAGATGGCCCATCACGACTCCCTCTTGCACCATAAAATAGGATTTTTCCCAACTCAGACTAGGTTTTGGTCTACGCATAGCTGCAAAACCTTTGCTAAGTTAGTAAGACAACACTCAAATGATTGACCAAAAACTAAAAAATCATCCATAAAAACTTCTAAACATTCACCAACTAAATTTGAAAACATAGTAGACATGGATCATTGAAATGTAGATGGTGCATTACATAAACTGAAGGACATTCTCCTAAATGCAGAAGTACCAAAAGGGCATGTAAGAGTGGTATTTTCTTGATCATCTAGATGTATAACTATTTTATTGTAACCAGAATATCCATCTAAGAAACAAAAAAAATGTTTACCAACTAATTTTTCTAAAATTTGATCAATAAAAGGTAAAGAAAAATGATCTTTTTTTTGTTACAACATTTAAATTCTTGTAATCTATACAAATTCTCCAACTCAATGGTAATCTAGTTTGAATCTCCTCCCCTTTTTCATTTATGGTCATCATGATTCCTATCATCTTGGGTACTACATGGATAGGGCTTACCCATGGGCTATCCAAGATGACATATATGATCCTTGCGTCCAACCATTTCATAATCTCTTTCTTCACCACTTCTAACATCTTAGGATTCAATCATCTTTGGGCTTTTCTAGAGGGTTTGACATTTTCCTCAATAAAAATTCTGTGCATACACGTGACTGCACTAATAATGCATTTAATGTCTGCAAGAGACCAGTTGATTGCTGCCCTATGCAGCTGATGAATATTCATCAGCTGTTCTTCTTGTGCTGGTGTTAATGATGAAGAAATGATGACAGGAAAAGTGTTATTTTTACCAAGAAAAACATATTTGAGAATGGATGACAATGTTTTTAATTCAAGCTGCTGATCATAACTATGCATTAAATTATCATGAATTTCAGAATTATCAAGCAGCTCATTTGAAACATTTGAAGCTTGTAAAAAATCATAATCAAATAATTCGTCACGTGCATCCACAAAGCAACAGTCCTCAATTAATTCTTCAGGATATTTCAATAGCTTAGAAATATTAATTTCAACCTTCTCTTGGCCAAATTTTAATTGTACTATTCCCTTTCCTCAATCTGTTGTGGCTTTGGTTGTTACTAAGAAGGGTTTACTAAGGATTATAAGAGCATGATTGATGTTTTCAGTCATCTTCATATCAACAATAATAAAATCCACTAGAAAATAACAGTTTTCAATTTTAACTATGACATTTTCTAACAGTCCATATGGCTGTCTAACCATCCCATCAGTTAGTTGTAGTTCTAAGAAAATGGATTGTAACTCACCCATTTTGAATTTATCATATATAATTTTGGGAAGAATATTGATACTTGCACCTAATCAAGCAATGAACGGGTGAAAATCATACCTCCTATTTCACATTTAATTAAGGGTGCTCTTGGATCCCTACACTCTTCAGGAATGCGATTGAGTAATATGGAACTAATATTTTCAGATAATTGAATGCATTTTTGTTTTCTACTAGGTGTATATAATCCTTTCAAAAATATAACATAGGATGGTATGTGTTCTATGACATCAACTAATGGAATTTTTTTGTAACTTGTTTAAACAATTCTAGGAAATGATCATCTGATTGGTTGAGTTTTGTTTTTAATATTTTCAGAGCATCAAGAAAAGAAACAGGCAGTTTATATCCCTCAAGATTAGGTTCATTCTTTGCTGGCTATTCTACTTTTTCTTGAGTTTTATCTATGCTGGATTTTTCTTTCAATTTGATTTCCACTTCTATTTCTTCACTCAGTTCATATGGATCAGGCAAATTCTTTCCATTCCTAAGTCTTGAAATAGTATGCAGCGTTTCTAACTCAACTTCTTTACTGTTTACTTCATGAACATAATGTTTATTTACAGAAAAATGTAAAGTTTGAGGATTTATAGCAAGTTGAGTAGGAAATTGACCTGCTTCACGGTCACTTGACCCTGCTTCAACTATTTTACCTTTTTGTTTATCAAGTGTGGTGTAGCTTTGTTGTGACTGCCCTCCCATCATCATCTTCATTCTTTCCATTTCTGTCCTCAGCTCTTGCATTTGCTCTCTTTGCTCCTACAACATCTGCTTCAACAATTCATTAGTAGCCAAGGTGACTTCATTTTGAGTGGGATGGGTTCTTTGAGTTGACTGAAAATTCTGTGGGCATGGAATTAGTTGGAAGGGAGCTTGCTACTAGAAATTTCGAGCTGTTTGAGGGTGAAATAATGGTTGATAGGTGTTGCCATTTCCTCTTTTATAATTTTGGTTGTTGTAATTGTTATAATGTGCTGTGTATGCAGGAGGTTAAGGTGTCCTTTCTGGCCATGAGTTTCTAGCAATAGGTTGACAGGGCCTAACTCTATCATTCATTGCCATCAACCCTTCAAATCTAGGACACTCTATTTCTGCATGTTCATAACTAGAACAAAGGGCACATGCAGTCATATCTGAGCCCTGTATGGACTGTTCAAAAACTTGAGCGGGGACTATTGATGACTGTCCATCAAAATTTTTACATCTTTCGTCAATTTATCAATTTTTTGTAAAAATATTTTGGATTCAATAGCTTTTGTTTCAATCATTCCACCTCTTCTAGGCCCTATTTGCCTTCCATTCTGATTTAATTCTATATGATGAGTATTATTTTCAACCAACATTTCAATTAAATCTAAGGCTTCATCATCAAATTTATTCATAAATGTCCCACCACTAGCAACATTAATCATGTGTCTATCTTTATCTCCCAATCCTTCATAAAATATTTGAACTAGCTGCCAATTTTGAATCCCATGGTGGGGACATTGTCTAATATATTCTTTCATTCTCTCCCAAGCCTCATATAATGATTCCTATGGTCCTTGATTAAAATCTCTAATTGCCTTCCTCACCGCATTAGTTCTCCCTACTGAATAAAATTTCTTTAAGAAAGTGGTCTCCATTTCACCCCATGAATTTAAGTCTTGTTCTCGGGCTCTAAACCACTCTTTTGCTTTGTCTTTAAGGGTAAAAGGAAATAATCTCATTTTTATCACTTCTAATGGGACATTGGGGTAATGAGAAATCTCACACACTTTGAAAAACTAAATGCTTGTAGGGTTCCTCATGACTCATTCTATGAAAATTTGACAGCATTTGTACAATATGATGATCTACTCTAAAATTCACCCCCTCACCTATAGGTGCATTCACTCTCATTACTGACTGGTATTGGAGAGGGACAGAATGATCTTTCAGCCTCATTCTATCATTATTTAGGTTTTGTTGGGCCATTTGATTTTCTTTCGATATGAGGTTTTCTAAAGTGTCTAAGTTAGATGTGTCGGTCTAATTTTGTTTAGGGGTCTGATAAGTCTTCATTATTATGAGTTAATAAATAGTAAATAATAGAGTTTTAGCCTTAACTCATGATAAATAGACTTATATTTGTGTTAAAGTGTGAAAAGTGGTTTTCAGTTGATTAATGTGAATTTTTAGGTAATTATGTGATTTTACATAAATTTATATGATTTTTACAGTCTTACTTTTGAGATAAATGAAGAAAAAGAAATAAAAATAAGACAAAATGAGGGGGACCCGCCGGCTAGTGGGGCCCGCAAGTGGGTCAGAAGCTGTGGCGCAAGGAGTAGGGGCTCGAGCAGGGGCTCGAGCGGCTTGGACCAATAGGGGCACGTGTGCGCCACTCCCCTTCCACGTCACCGGTGGCCAGCCAGCTGTGGGGCAAGGAGTGGTCGTACACGCGAGAGAAGGAACTTTGCTTAGAAATGTAACATTACTATATATTCACCCGAAAAATCGGCGCACAACTGATGTGGGACTAAACCCACGTCACACCTTCCTCAGAAGGGGCGGACAACCGGCGCGGGTTCGAATCTTCCCAGAGTCAAAAGTTATATATTTTTATCTAATTATCGTGACTTTCCTGCAGATCGCCGGTGAAGGATTAAGCAACAAGAATCGCTGGATCATCGGCGAAAATCTCGTCAACACGATTCGCGGAGCATTGCTACTAAAATTGCTGAACAATTCGCGATAAAAGGATCGCGAATCCATCGAGTAAATCATCTCCAATTGATCGATAAACAAGCCGTCGTCGGGAAGAGGACGATCCGCCGAGAGACGAGTCGCCACCTCCTGAGAGCGTACCAAATGCGATGAAGAGCCTCCTCTTACTATGCAGACCTTAGGATGAAGCTCCCTAACACGCGCCCCACCTCCATCTAGCTCCTCTCCGTCGGGTGACAGCCATCGGAGAGCCGCAAAGTCACCGTTTTTCTGCTCCGCAGGGTGACAGTCGCCGGAGACGATTCGACGACCCATTTTATTAATCTCTAGACTTTGCGAGAAGATCTAGAGATTGCCCATGTCGTCCTTGTCCAAGGAGAGCTTTCGAGGCCGTAGACACTGCACGACGATCCTTCCGAACACTTAGAATTCCGGTGCATCGCCGACATATCGCCGCCGCGACGCCGGAACTCTGTTTTCCTGCTTTCAACTTAATTTACGCTTCATTTAGTGATACTTTGTGTGATTTTAATTTACCAAAATATACTTCGTTCAATTACGATTCTTCCGACTTTTACAGATCTTAATTTGATTAATTAAATCGTCTGTAATCGCTTACATAAGAATTGCCAGACGGAACTCTGTTTTTGCCCGATCCGCGTTTGCCGGGCGTTGACGTCATCCTGACGTCCGCACCCTTATTTTCTTTTTTCATGAATTTTAAATATATTTCCTTTTCATTTCCTAGTATACAATTCATAGAAAATTGTATTCATTGAGAAAAATTCTGAATAATTACCAGATATTATATTACATCCCTATGATCCACCTGAGAAATTACCACTATTTTTGGAAGTTTTATTGAATTATAATTGATATATTTATTTAGAAATACTTCTAAATATATAAATATTTGTATTTTCTAGTTTTATAAATTTTATATTTGTGTGATTTAATATACAACGACTAAGTCATGTCAGGGTCATGATAAAGTCTCAATATTATATGATAGGATATATATAATTTATATGATTATAGTTTAAATCTCTTAATGAAAGCATACATTTGATGTAAACATGTTTTCTATGTGAATTTGTATTGTTTATTGAATTTCATACAAAAGTATTAAATTCTATATCTTTTATCACATGCATATTCTATTGAATCAAAAGGTTTTTTTTTTATGCAATGTTGAGTATTCTAATAGATGGAAAAATTATATTTACATGCAAAGAAATTAAAAGAAAAGTAGTTTAAATTTTAAATGGATTCTCTATATCTATTTTAAGTGTTTAATGAGTTGACCAGCAGACCCATTATAGTCGGCTCACTAATAGGCTGCATATAAGCTCATTCTAATGGGGGGTATTTAAAGGGACAGAGAGGAGAGAGAAAGGGGGGAAGCATGCACAATCGAAGAAATTAGGGCTCGCTCACGGAGAGAAGACAAAGGAGGGCAATGAGCGGAAGAACAGGAAATCATAACAGCGATAACCACAACAATGGTGGCAACGACAATATCGACAGTGGCTGTGAGTCCCATTCTATGTGACAAGTAGAGAAGGGGTCGAGCATGGTGGTGGTCGCACTCACGAAGGCAACAGCAATAGTAGTGACAACAGCGGCAATGGCTGTGAACTCCCGTTTTGCGTGACAGGCAAAGGAGGAGACAAGTATGATGGTGGTGGCACTCACGACGGCGACAACAGTAGTGGTGGCAACAATAATAGTGGCTGTGAACTCCTATTTGGTGTGATAGGCAAAGGAGGAGATGAGCATGGCGACAGCAGTGACAATGACAACAATATGCTCTTGACAGCAGCAGCAGCATCCACACTCTCAGGCTCCGAATTGGGTGTTTTAGTTTCTACATGTATTTCTTTCTGTATTTCTTTTTTCTTTATGAATGTTGAATAGGTTTAGTGCTCCCCCAACAACTAGCTTCTAGTAGAGGTGCTTTCACCTCTATCATTTTTCATAGATTTATAATATTACTCTTTCATTTCTTTTTGTGTTTTTAGCCTCATCCAAATACTTAATAGAAAATATTTGTGGATTGCATAATACCAAGTTTTCTCTATGAATCAACCCAAATCTGCTATGCATTATAAATAATCGAAATTATAATCTTCAGAGATTTGGTTTTAATAAATTCTAAAATTGATTACTTCTTAAAACAACGACTAGAGTACTATCATTTTTTGGCACTGTTACTAGAGAAAGATTGCACTATTATGATAAGATGTGAGTGATTTCTATTTTCTTTTTAGTTGACTATATTTCTTGATTTTCTTAATTTCTATTGTCTTTGTTTTGTAGAAAAAAACAAGGAAGAAGAAGAAAAATCTAAAGAGAAGATCAAAGAAATATTTTCAAGAGAAATGGCATAGATGGTATGAAATTCTACAACCTCAACTTCATTTTTTTAATTCGAGTTTGCATTTTTACTCTTCTTTGTAAAGACCTTTGGTAAGTTTTGCACTTGATTTTGAATTAATGATAAAATAGTTATTTTGATCTCATAACACATGCTTTATTGATATCAAATTTATTCACTATCAATTATTCATTTACTGAATTTTTACCACAGACATTTTATATTGAGTTTTATTTTCTGTCCTATGCAATAAACTGAATTTGTTTTCTTTATTCAACCTTAGATGCTAGGCAGCCTCCACCTCTAGAAATTAAAAACCTAGTGAAGGTAGAAATAGAAGAGTAGAAGGAGACACTAGAAATCGTAGATCAAAGGATGACAGAAAATCAAATAAGAAACCCTCGTCGATCACTAAGGGATTACATTAATCCCTCAGCTGATGTAAAAGATTTACAACACCCCATATGTAAGTATGAAATTAAACCATCCATAATTCAAATGCTACCTAGCTTTTATGGTAAATCACATGAAGACCTATATGCCCATCTAGAGGAATTCTTAAGGATTTGTGCCACAATAAAAAAAGCAGATGACCCTTTGAGATGTGTGAGTCTAATGAAGGAACTTGGATTATCTCTATATGAATCTATGAGTTATGACATTATTATCGATAATGGACATACAGTTAAAGGGTAGGAAAATTGTGAAGATGTTACTCTACAATTACAAGGACTAATTATTACACAAGATTTTTTACCTTTGTAGTTAGGGAGCACATACCTCTTACTTGATATGTAGTGGCTAGGAATAATCAAATGGATGCATGTTCATTGACGGCTATTAGTTATGAAATTCATGGTGGATGGGAAAGTAAAAACCCTGAAAGGAGATGTAAGTCCATCAAAAGCTACTATTTCTTTGAATGCTATAGAAACATTAATCAAGAAGAATCAATCATTATTTCTGAAATTATACCAAGTACCAACAACTTCTCAAGGACATAAAAATAGTCTTCAATGCCAAATTAGAAGGTATACTTCCAAGCCAATTTCCTTGAGTATTTTCCCCACTAACTGAATTACCTCCTACAAGAGAGATGGATCATTCAATCTATGTCTACCTTGGAGCTAAACCTATCAATTTGAGGTCATTATATATTCACATTATCAAAAGGATGAAATTGAGAAGATCTATTCAAGAACTTGGTGATGCATGTATAATTCAATCATCAGAAAGCCCTTACATGAGTTCAGCAATTTTAATAAAAAAGAACAATAGGGATGACGATTTTGTATGGATTATCATGCCTTAAATAAAATGACTATGGCCAATAATTACCCTATACTTGCAGTAGATGAGTTATATGGGATGGCATCATTTTTAAAATTAGATTTAAAATATAAATATTACCAAATCAGAATGAAGAAAGATGACATCCCTAAAATAGCATTTAAAACCCATGAGGGCCATTACAAATTTGTGGTGATGTCATTTGGTTTAATGAATGTTCCTACTACTTTTCAGTCATTAATGAATCAGATTTTTATATCTTATATTTGTCAATTTGTTTTGATATTTTTTGATAACATTTTAGTTTATAGTAGAGACCAAGATCAACATGAGCAGCACCTCTTACAAGTATTTTAAGTATTGTTCAAGAACCACTTACATGTGAATGCAAAGAAGTACATTGACCTACACAAATTAAAATATATGAGGCATTGGATTTCAACCAAAGTGGTATTAGTGGATCAAGGAAAAAAATTAGCTATGTCAAATTGGTTGGTTCCAAATAATGTTTGCGAATTGTGATCGTTCCAAATAATGTTTGCGGTAGTGCTTTAATTGCAGCACCCATGATTAAATTGTTGAAGAATGAATCATTTTGCTAGAATCGGAATGCCCAAAGTACTTTTGATCAACCTTAGAAGGTAATGTCTACAACTCGAGTATTATCTTTACTTGATTTTTCTAAAACATTCATCATTGAAATAGATGTTTTGAATTATGACATTGGAATTATACCAATAAAAAAGGTCAACCTATAACTTATTTAAGTCAAAATTTATCAAGACAAACTATGACATGACTTAGTCGTTGTATAATAAATCATGTAAATTTAAAATTTATAAAATTAGAAAATACTATTTTTTATATATTTAGAAGTATTTCTGAACAAATATATCAATTATAATTCAATAAAAGTTTCAAAAATAGTAAGAACTTTTTATGTCGATCATAGGGATGTAATATAATATCATGTAATTTAAAAAACAATCTCAAAAAATATGATTTTTATGAATTTTATATTAAGAAATAGAAATAAAATATATTTAAAATTTGTGCAAAAAGGAAAATAAGGGTGCAGACATTAGGATGACGTCAGTGCTCGACAAACCCAAATCGGGTGGAAATAGAGTTTTACTCAATGATTCTTACGTAAGCAATTATAAACGATTTAATTGATCAAATTAAAATGTGTAAAAGCTGAAAAAATAGTAATTGAATGAAGAATATTTTAGTAGATATTAATTAGACAAATTATTACTAAATAAAGTGAAAATTAAGTTGAAAGTAGGAAAATAAAGTTCTGATGTCGCAACGACGATGCATCGACGATACACTAGAATCTTGAGCGTTCGGAAAAATTATTGTGTAGTGTCCATGGCCTTGAAGGCTCTCCTTAGACAAAGACGACATGGATAATCTATAGATCTTTTTGTAAAGTCTAGAGATCAATGAAATAGGTCGTTGAATCATCTTTGACGACTGTTACTCGGTGAAGCAAAAAAATGACGACTTTGCGGCTCTCTAGCGGCTATCACCCGAAGAAAAGGAGTTGAATGGAGGTGAGGCGTATGTTAGGGAGCTTCATCCTCAGGTCCGCGTAATAAGAATAGGCTCTTTAGTACATCCAATATGCTCTCAAGAGGTGGCGACTCATCTCCCGACAAATCGTCCTCTTCCTGACGACGGCTTGTTTGTCGATTAATTAGAGATAATTTACTCGATGGATTCACGATTCTTTTATCACGAATCATTTAGTAATTTTAATAACAATACTCTATGAATCGTGTTGACGAGATTTTTGCCAATGATTTAGTGATTTTGGCAACTTAATCCTTCACCGACGATTTGCAAGAAAGTCGTGATAATTAAATAAAAATATGAGTTTTGGTTCTAGGAGGATTCGAACCTATATTAGTAGCCCACCTATATGAGAGAGATTGAAATAAGTACTCTAATGCCCTTATCAAGTGACGTCATCATACTATATCTCTATTATAATTAAGAGGTAGTTTAGGTATTAAAATCTTTGAAGCCTTTCTAGGAAATGTGTGACACGAGTTTAGTCCCACATCGTTTGTACGTTAAAGTTTTGAACGAATATATAGTAATATTATATTTCCAAGTAATTAGTCCATTTCTCTCCCGTGTACAATCACTCCTTGCCCCACAATCAACTGGCCACTGGTGATGTGGAAGGAGAGTGGCGAACACGTGCCTCCATCAATTCATAGCCACTCGAGCCCCTAGTCACAGCTCCCCCTGATTGTACTTCTGACTCACTTGTGGGCCTGATTGGCCAGTGGGTCCCCCCTTTTTTATCTTTTTCTTTTATTTTATTTTCATCATTTATCTCAAAAATAGGATTATAAAAATCATATAAATTCACATAATTAGCCAAAAAATCATATTAATTAATTGAAAACCACTTTTCACAATTCAACATAAATATAAGTCTATTTATCATGAGTTAAGGTTAAAACTATATATTTATTAATTATTAACCCATTATTATGAAGACTTATTAAACTACAAGTTAAATCAGCCTATGAAAGATAATTATTTGTCACAACAAGATTTGTCCAAAAGTGGTGCAAAGACTTGTTACATAAAAGGTTTATAATCTACAAAGATTAAAAGTCTTTGAAGGTTTTACTTGAATAGATGCTCATATTAAATCTTTATCATAGGTGGCTGATTAAATGGGTGGGTTTGGTTTTCGAAATTCGATTTAAAATAGGGAGATATAATAAAGTGGCAAATGTTTTATCTCACTTCTCTACTATCTTAGAACTACAAGAAATGTATGTGTCACATTTTCAATTGATTGATCTTATTAAGATCAAAGATGAAATATCTCAAGACTAAAGGTTATCCTCAATTGTTTTTGATCTCTCTAAAAATCTATAGACACATCATAACTTCTCATTGTAGTAGGGAATATTGTTGCATAAACAACAACTCATAATTTCAGTTCAATCTATCTTTGTTCTAATTCTTTTAAGAGAATTTTATGATAGCCCAAGTGGTGGTGGACATGCTGGATTTCTTCAAACTTATCAGAGAGTCTCACATATTGTATATTGTTTATGCATGAAAAATTAAATTAAGAGATATATTGATGAGTATACAACATGTCAAAAACACAAGACATCTTCACTTACGACTATAGTCTACTCCAATCATTACTAGTGCCTACATGCATTTGGGAGGACTTAACTATGGATTTCTTGAAGGGATTACCTCGATCTAAGAGCTTCAATTTCATACTAGTTGTCGTGGACAGATTGTGTAAATATAGTCACTCTATTCTTCTAAATAATCCATTTTCAGCTCTTGAGGTTGCGATTATCTTTTGCAAGGAAGTGGTATGACCTCATGGAATTCCAATATCAATTATTAAGATCATGACAAGCTTTTTATCATCAATTTTTGGAAGGAACTATTCAAACTACAAGGTGTTGAATTAAAAATGAGTATCTCATACCACCCTCAGACTGACAAGTAGTCAAAGGTCATCATTGGTAAATGGGAACTTACTAAGAAGAGAGTAAAAATTCCCCTTGGGCTATTTGAAAAAAATAACATTTTTTAAATTTTTTATAAAAAGTTTAAAAAATAAAAAAACTAGCAAAGGAATTTATCTCTCTATGTTTTTTTCCTAGAAATAATATCAAAATATTTTTGTGATGAGTCATGATTTTGTGAAATATGATATGAAATTCTAAATGTTTCTAGATGTAACTCATTAAATTGATGAGTGTTTTAATTTGTAGAATTTTTATTCAGTCCAAACAGAAATACCTCCCTTAGAAAGAAAAAAAAAGCCCTTAAGTTATATGCGTGATTATTTTGTAAATTTAATTATTGAATAATTTAGGTAGACCAAAAAAAATATCTCATCTTATATAAAATATAACTTTATCTAATATCCTCCGTCTCTCTTGCATACATTTAGAGAGACAGAGAGGGGCGATGAGAGAGAAATAAGATTTTAACATTATTATGATTATTTTAATTATTAAAAATAGAAAAAATACTAAATTGTACATATGGATGAGAAGGGTAAATTAAGAAGAAGAAATAAATGCGGCCAACGAGGCCACGGAGACCGGCGTCAGTGGCACGTTCGAGAGAGAACATTTTGAGAAATAATATTTTGGCATAATTATGAATATTTGAATTATTATAAGTATGAAATAGTATTAAATTGTATGTACGGATAAGAAGGATATAAATAGATAGAAGAGATAATGCGGCCAGCGAGGCCGCCGCCAGCGCCACACGTGCGATAGCCGCACACGCGCCAAATAGAGAAAGGAATTGACGCGAGCTGAATTGGATAACAGAAACCTGTGAGGTTGGTGGAGAAGACTACACTCCCTCCGCCATGTCGACGCTGGGCATCCTTCCCCACCAGATTTCGGCCTCCACCTTGAGGAAGACGAGGCCGATCCACCGGACCAGCGGCGGCTCTAGGTCTTCTTCGTCCATCGTCTCCTCGGCATCGCCAGCGCCATCGGCGACGCCGGTAATGGTTTTCAGGGAGGTCCTCCGTCCAGCAGAGGCGGAAGGGGACAATCGGATGGGAAGGAGGGAAGCCATTGGCCTCGGCTTCTGCTTGAACGCCTTCCTCCTCCTCCGAGGGGCTGCGGCGGCGGACGAGGAAACGTGCTCGCTGACCACCTCCCCGTCGGGCCTCGCCTTCTGCGACCGAGTCGTTGGCGACGGTCCGGCCGCCGAGAAGGGGCTACTCATCAAGGTATGCTGCGGAGATCCGCGCCCTCCGCCGTTCCTGAAGTAATGCAGAGTTTGAAGGTCGGATTATAAAACTCATCCTCTGGTGGATCTGTTGGGGACGGCGGCTGGCTGCGGCGAAGGCGCATTATGTGGGGAAGCTGGAGGGCGGGAAGGTTTTCGACAGTAGCTACTCTAGGGGGAAGCCTCTCACCTTCCGCATCGGCGTTGGCGAGGTAAGCCTTTTCCTGAACCTTTCTCCCGCGGATTTTTGTCTGATTCAGTGGCTGGCTGCATCTGATTCGATAGTAGATTGTGTTCTTAATCTATACTTCTTGTTTGCCATAAGCTTCTTTCCGAAACTTTCAATGGCTATGTCTGTTCTTCCTGGTTTCTCTTTTTATAATTTCGTATTAGACTTCCATAGATGAAACATCCTACAAATTAATTATATACTCATAGAACCTTACTCTATAAAGATAGATGAAATTTTAACTATGATGAGATTATATTAGATATGCGAAAAAATATCATTGACTTTTCAATGTTCACGGAACTCATAAGATTACTTCCGATGAAATTCGTATGAACTGATCAGGGTCCTCCTGAATCTCCGTTTTCTTTTCCATTTATAGCACGTTTTGAGATATCAAATTGAAATAATGGCATTGTAACTGTACTATATAAGAACACGAAAAGTTACCACTTGTCCTCTCTAGGAATTGATCAACCACTGCTGGCTGCCCTTGCGAAAGTCAACGGCCGAGATGGCTCAGTTGGAAAAACCTGCAGTAAATTATGACAATCATGAAATTTTCTGTTCATAAATTAATTAGCAGTAAATTATTCATTCATCCCTTCAGAAGCTGAGTGTGTTCATAGATTACATAAAACTAAGATAAATCTGAGGAAAACATAAAGAATCCAGAATTTTGCATTTATCAACCACTGTATCAAAGAAATAAACTGAAATTAAAAAAACTAGGTTTTTATTGAACAATGCTCTTGCTCATATGCCATCCTCTTAATCAGAAAAAGGGCTCTAATATGTTGACTCATCCATTAATGAACTAAAAAAAAAAAACAGATGTTAGTGCAACAGTCTGCCTGAATATTAAACAACTTAGCTGTCAGAATTTCTATTGGAAGCTTGATGTTTTCTATGAAATTTAATTTCCATGAGTTCCCAGACATCCGATGGCCAGAAAAATGATACTAAACGTAGAAATTAGTATATTTGATAGAGCTCTCTGATGGATCATTCTCTCACTCTTTTTTTTTTTTAATACTATCATATAAACCGTAGGAAGTAGCTATGTTTAGACAGCATCATGATTTCAAGGGCAAGGTTTGCTATATCTGATAGAGATACCAAATGGATCATCCTAATCCTTGTCTTGAATTCAATATGATCGTAGAAATAATAGGAACTGATACCTAGATATTATCATTATTCCCAGTGTAGATAACTAGAAAGAGATTTCAAATGGATCATTCAATTACATGTCTAGAAAAGAATTGCATCTTGGAAACATTGGATTTAGTTGCATATAGATATTACGGTTATTTCTTTTTTCATGTTTTATACTTGATATAGGCATCTGATGGATCATTCTCCTGTGTCTATATGTATGAATCTTAATTATTATACTAATCATAAGAAACCATAGGAACTGGGTAAATATTCTGGACATATATGGTCTTGATTTCATATCCATGCATGGTTTATATTCGACAATGATATCAGACGGATTATTCTCCTCAGTGCCCACAATGAATACCATTGAAGATATGATCATGTTTCAAGAATAATTTGTGTTATGTTTTATTCTTCTAGACCTTGCTATTTATGTTATATTGTTCTTGGCCAGGTCATCAAAGGATGGGACCAGGGAATCCTTGGCGATGAAGGAATTCCTCCAATGCTTTCTGGTATGAAAATATCTCAGATTTTCTTCCACCGGAATTTCAGCCCTCCCTCTCTCTCTCTCTCTCTCTCTCTCTCTCTCTCATGGGACCTTCCCGAAACGGAAAGACCTCACTAAGAGCATGATATATAGAAATGAAAGGGTGCCTCATACTGAATTAGTCAATCTGATCAAAAAACGATGACACAATTAATAAATTCTGGTTTTTCAACAACAAAAAATCGAAATGTAATTACTAGAAGAGCAATTAGAAGTAAGGATCCAACTGACAGATTTGTCTCAGGTATGATGATTCTCATAAATTCTTCCTCCATATTTCCAGCCCCATTCTTCACTGGAAGAGAGACCACCATCAGTACATAGAATCTGTTCTACATTCTTACATATCAGATTTCGAACCGCTTTTCCGGAGCTTCCCCAATGTGGAAAGCCGCCATTGTTGGAAGGAGCTGTGTAGAATGAGTTTGCTGAACTGGCCGTTCGTTTCAGGTGGAAAGAGGACGCTGAGGATCCCTCCGGAGCTGGGATATGGGGCGAGGGGTGCAGGCTGTAGAGGAGGTGAGAGAATATCCTCCCTCTTTCATCTCCTTTTTTTTTTTCAGGGTTGAGATCGTGATTTCTCCTCGTCTGATGGGTAGACGATCGATGTGGATTGATCTTCTCTCCGCGTGTTGCTCTCTTCCCATGCATTTGTTATTCATTCTCTCTCCAAAGAGCTCCTCCTCTCGCTATGCCTGCCCCTTCCTAAAGAGTCGTCTCTCTCTCTCTCTCCTTTCTCTCTCGCCTTTCTCTCTCTCTCTCTCTCTTTCTCTCTCTCGCTCTCTCTCTCTCTCTCTCTCTCTCTCTATCTCTCTCTCGCTCTCTCTCTCTATCTCACTCTCTCGCTTTCTTTCTCTATCTCTCTCTCTCTATCTCTATCTCTCCCTCCCACCTCTTTCTTCCTCTAATATATATTTTCATGCTGTCTTTTTCTCCCTCAACAACCGATATACGGTGCAAAACCCCCCTCTTCCTTTTCTCTCAATACCCGTATGTAGTGTCACTAGACAGTGTCCCCTCCCCCTCTCTCTCTCTCTCTCTCTCTCTCTCTCTCTCTCTCTCTCTCTCTCGCTAACTGGTATTTGTACCCTTCTTTTTGGCAGGCTCCTGCATAATCCCGCCTGGGGCCACCCTCTTCTTCGAGGTCGAGTTCCTCGGCAAGGCTTGAGACCCCTCTCGTCCCCTCCACCTTCTTCCAAAGAGGACCCTCCTCGATGCGATCTCCCCACTCTGAGTTCATCTGCAAACACGCCACTTAACAGCTCTCCAAACAAACATCATCTCTTCATACGGATTGGAATCAGAGAAATATCCCATCAAACTTAACCTTTTATTCATCTACGACTTCCTATGAGAGTCTAATAAATGATCATCAACAGTTGGGTGTAGTAGCTCTGCCCCTCACTTGCTGATAAATTATCTTCTATTTAGCTCTCCCAAAGTCCGAAGATCCTGCTGCTACATGCCGTGAGGGGAATCCCTTCACCCAAAATGACAAATAAACTCAGTAGAGAGAGAGAGAGAGAAAGAGAGAGAGAGAAACTTATCTGCCTGGGAGGGCTCCATTGGCGGCTAAGGTGGATCAATACCCGTACCCTTTGAAAACCAGGGAGAATGACTCAACATTTCAAGAAAGATAACTAATAACTTAACATATTTTTAATAAATCTACCAATCAAATAATCTCCTAAATAATCCATGTTAACCGTATAATATCTTCGGTCTTATTTTCTAGCAAGTGTGCTGGGTTGACCTGAGTTGTCAACGGGCACAGGCCCGGGCTCCTTGATGTCAACGACAACAACATCTGAAGGTAGGAAGGTCTTCCCAACAGAAGCTGCAAGCTCCAAGCAACACCTCACAACCTGCACTGATCAAATGGTTTCAAAGAAAATCTAGTACTTTTGCAACCTAATTTTGATTCCATCCCCCATAATTTTAATCCTCAAGGAAAACCAAGACTAAACTATGAAGCATGCATTGATAGAACAGAAATACTTCATATTAATCTAGTTTGGCACCCAAACTATGATTTTGATACCACACCACCTAATTTCCAAGGAAAATGAACACCTCTGCAGGTAAATAAAGTTCTAGCTTAAGCAAGGAAAACTATGTAGTTAAGCAAGCCATTTATTAGAGAAAATATCTCTCATAAGCCAAAACAGTAAAGATGATTCAGCTTGAACTCATCAAGTTTCGAGAATGTCTTTAGGTACTCATGGTCATCAGAGACCTTCTCAGTGACCACACTTCCGTTGACTTCCACGTTCTTAGCAATCAATTTCAAGGGGTAGCTAAGAGCCCTCTTGACGAGGGAAATGGGATGGATTGGTCACTCAATAGCAGGCCACAGGGACCAATAGATCAAAACCAACTGAGTTCATATACGTTTGTTGCATTGAGAGCATCCTCAACTCTCAGCTTCTCCTCCTCCTTCAGCTCAGTCTCAGTTTCAGCTCCGACCTGAGATGCATTCATCGATCAAAAGATTTAGAGAAGCTGATAGCAATCCATTACATTGATAGTACGATCTATATATATATATATATATATATATCATCTTTGCACAGTTCTAGAGTCAACGGGATGGATCGATTCGGTCGACCCAGCGGCCTGTTATATACCACCCCGATTAGACCAGACCGACGAAGGGAACCAATGCGGGCCTTTCTTCGTCTTCGTCCTCCGGCCTCCGCCGCTGCCACCGGCAGCCCCGCCTCCCCCTCTGTTAGTCCTCCTCTTACAGCTCTCCGCCGAGTCTGCAGCTCCGGCGGCGGCGCTGACCCCCCACCACCAGATCCTCATCCTGCACCTCCTCGCCGGCCATGGGCAAAGCTGAACCCGGAGGAGCCTCTCTGCAACTCCGGCCATCTCCACGGCGGCGCCTCCTCCTCCTCCTCGCTCAGTTCCCCACCGGTATCCACCAGCGGGGCTGACCCACCACCGCCTCCTCCTCGCCGGCCATGGGCAAAGCTGAATCCGGAGGAGCGGCTCTGCAACTCCAGCCATCTCGGCGGCGCGGCCTCCTCCTCTCTCACTTCCCCGCCGGCATCCACCGGCGGCGCTGACACGCCACCATCTCCTCCTCCTCAATATCTGACGCCGGAGGAGATAGCCCAGGTCAACCGCCTCCTCCCCAATCTTTGCAACTCCGGCCATCTCCGGGAGGCCGTGGCCCTGCTCGACGCCTCCCTCCTCGCCGGCGCGCCGCTCGACGCCCTCCCCGTCGCCGCCGTCCTCCGCCGCCTCTGCGGCGGCGGCGGCGACGACGACGAGCTCCTCCGCCACGACATGACCCACTCCATGGCCCTCCTCAACGCCCTCCTCCACAACCCCCGCCGCCATCCGGCCGCCGCCGCCGCCATCGCCGCCATGCTCGTCGAGACCTACCTGGAGCTCCGCCGGCCACGGGAGGCCCTGAAGGTGTTTGACTGGATGCGCAGGCCAAAGTCTCCATGCCCGCCGGAGCTCCGCCTGTGGCGGGCAATGGTGCAGGGGCTGTGCCGCTATGGGAGGCTGCTGGAGGCGCTGAGGGTGGTGAAGGAGATGCTGGTGGTGACCGGCGCCGCCGCCGTGGGCGGCGGCGGGGTGGCGTCGGAGGAGGGGGTGAGGCAGTGGGTTTACTGGAGCTTGTTGAATGAGGCGCGGGTTAGGGAGGGACTGGAGCTGGATGAGGCGCTGGGCGGTGTCTGTGAGGTGGGTGACGAGGAGGCTTGTGAGAGGGCTGTCCAGGTGCTTGATCGGATTATCAGTAACTGGCGAGATTGACGATGGGGCTTCTCTGTAAGTTTTTAGAGAGAGAAAGAGAGAGACAGAGAGAAATCCCAAAAGAATTGGTGTTGACTTTGATGCAACTGGACATTGCCATCATCTCTCTCTCTCTCTCTCTCTCTCTCTCTCTCTCTCTCTCTCTTTCTCTCTCTAGAATTTTGGCCGGAAGCGACTAGATCATTGAATTTTGACTTCGAATCAACGATCTCATTGAATTACGAACAGAAATATATAATACAAAGGATATGAAGAGGAGAGCGAGAGAAAGAGAGAGAGAGAGAGAGAGAGAGAGAGAGAGAGAGAGAGAGAGAGAGAGAGATTCAACTGAGCTCTATGAATCCGGCGACATCCGCCGAGGAGAGGATGGAGGCTCTTCTTCTCTCCCTCGTGAAGCACCTGGTGGCCGCCTTCAGCACTTTTCCCCACGCCTGAAAGCCGAGAGATTGAACCATATTCCCGAAGTTTAAGTAAATAGTATCTTGCATGTATTTAAAAAACCATGGTTTTTATTTAAAGTAATATGAGATTGAACCAAATTAGTGAAATTATAAATGGGCAAGTAAATGAAAATGTATTGCATGTATGAAAAACCATGGTATTTATTTAAATTAATATGAGATTGGGAAAAAATCGCGAATATTTAAATGGGCAAGTAAATAAAATTTTAAATAGTCTCTTGCATGTATAAAAACCATGGTTTTTATTTAAATTAATATGAGATTGGACCAAATTCCCGAATTTGCAAATGGGCAAGTAAATAAAAATTTAAATAAATAGTCTCTTGCATGTATAAGAAACCATGGTTTTTATTTAAATTAATATCAACCTGGACCAATTTCGCAAAGTTTTAAAAAATGGGCAGGTAAATACAAATTTAAATAAATGTATGAGAAACCATAGTTTTTATATTAATATATCATAAAGTCGGCCTACATGAGAAGGGTTCGGATCAGAAAGTGGAAGGGAAGAGGCATTTCGTTGAACGCCTCACGTGCAAGCAACGGAAAAGAGCCCACTGTTATCTGATTAATGCTCAAATGTCTTTTATTTACTCATATATCCTAGAAAATGGGCATGTTTAGAACATGATATAATGCTGGCGCCGCCAAAAAGGCATGTTTGCGGATTCTAACCTTTCCGAGGGCTTTTGCGAGAAACACTTCGCAGGAGGGGGGGCAGAAGAGTGTTGGAAGCCTATTTATAGGATACAATTGAAAAGGGATAAATATAATTTCAGGGTATAATTATAATTACGAAAGTTTCAGCCCATAGGGGGTCAGATCTCGAGGAGACCAGGCCATGGAAGAGGGAGGAAGGAAAAAGAGAGCATCCCCAACCTCCGGGCAGGAGGCCATCAGATCGGCGCGGAAACGAGACTTCTGGATGGAAAGCTGCTACGAATTCGTAGATCGAAGGAGATTCTCGGCTAAAAACAGCGACAAGTTCTGCAGTGATTTACATTCTCTGGGTCGATCAGGGGGATCATTGTCTTCGTGGGAGCAAGACAGGGGGAGGAACTCGCGAGGAACCATAATCTCTGGATGAAAATCAGCAGCGAATTCGTCGATCGACGGAGGTTCTCGGCCAAAAACGCCATCAGCGCGTGCTATGATTTCCGTACTCTGATGGATCGGAGGGACTGTTACCTTCTTGAGGAAGGGAGCAGGAGAGGGGGAGGAACTCACGAGGAACCCTAATCTCGAGGAGGAAATCAGGCCATGGAAGAGGAAGGAGGAATTATCCTCGTCTTCCGGCCAGGAGACCATCAGATCTCCGTGGAAACGAAACCTCTGGATGGAAATCTGCTACGAATTCGTCGATCGAAGGAAGTTCTCGGCCATAAAACACAATCAATTTACGGTACGATTTCCATTCTCTGGATCGATCGGAGGGATTATTACCTTCTTGGGAGTGGGAGCAGGAGAGGGAGAGGAAGAGGAACCAGTGAAGAGCCCTAGTCCCTTCTTCGCCAACTTCTTCCGGATCTTCCCCTTCAGCTTGCTGAGCTTCTTTCCCTTCGCCTTATCGCGCTCCTCTCGCCGGAACGGCTTCTTTCTGGCGCTGTCGCTGGCAGCGGCGGCGGTGGCAGTGGCGGCGCTCCCTCGGGGGAGAAGCGGCGACCAGATGCCGCTCTGGGAGTAGTCGAAGTCGTAGGCGGAGTTGTCCGGGAACTTGAGGAGGAGATGGCTGGACATGGTCGGCTCCAGGTACTCCACGGTAATTATCCGCTCCCTCACAGCCGCCGCCTCCTTCACCATCGCCTTCTCCCTGCTTAGCTCTGATCCTCAGGTAGAACTGAGAGAGAGAGAGAGAGGGAGAGAGATATTTGAGAGGGAGGAGAGAAGAGCCGTTGGAGTTGACCGTTGGAGGGTTCAAACGGTTGCGACCCGACGTGATCGTGGGATTGACAATTGGCGTTGGATGGACCGGTAAGAACCGTCAGATCAAGAGGCTTCCTTTTAGTGCCATTATCGTAATATCAGCTGGATTCGTTTTGGAAACACTGCCCACTAATGGGTCGGATTGAGCCTGAAAAACGGTATTACATATCAGATTTGAAGTCAATCCGGACCGTCCATTCCGTGAGTCCGAGGCTGTAGTGGTAGTCCTGTAATCACTAGGAGAAACCAAATTCGTTTGACAACAAGAGATTCTCGACAAGTTGATGGGGAAAAAACTCCAGGTTTAAAGCTAATTGTCACAAAATGCTTTTCAGATAAGAGAGAGAAAGTCAAATAGAGAGAGAAAGATCCTTAAAAAAAATATGGGCATCATTAAATCCATATAGTTCTTATTAATTTACTTGCTTTCCATTATGAATATTGATTATTTAAACCTTGTTAGAAGCCTCATATGCAAAAATAATGTTTTTTTTTGGGTTACCCACGAGATAAGAAAAATTGGAGTCAAATCACACAAATTGGCTAATATACAAATAATTCACACGATATTTCAAAATATAAATTATATGAATTTTTAATTTGATAAAGTAGATAAAAAATTAATTAATACAAACATAAAAATAACAAAATAAACAATTTTACATTAATATGTATAAATCTAATTGGCTATTTTATAGGAAAATATAAAAAATTAAAAAATAAGTAGATAAATCCATCTAGAATTCACCCAAAATATTAAATTGCAGAATTTTACATAATAGTTGTATTTGTGGTACCAAAATGTGATAGAACATTAACGATTAAAGCCACAGACTAGTGCATCCCCTCTTTACTTGGAAGAGTGGCCTTGACAACATCACAACAAACATAGTGGCAACAACACCACTACTCAATAGCTTGTTGATGATTAGGACCTTAATCAAAGTCATTAGGACATGTTACATAATAGTTGTACCTATTGTACTAGATGTGATAGAACATTAATGGTTATAGCCACTAGCTAAGTGCATGCCCTCCTTTCTTGGGGTGCCCCTGTCTCAATTAGATCAACTAGTGTGCCATATGAAGGAGTGGCTTCGACAACATCGCAATGAATAATTTAATAGCTTGTTGATGATTAGGACCTTAATCAATACTCATTAGTGTATGTTGGATGAACCCATCATGGCATATGATTTTGAGAATTGAATCTAATGAGAGCGGGTCGAGATTGTGATTCAGACTCAGAGGAGACCATGTATTCCATACTCTTCTACACCACACAAAGAACGTACCCTTCTAACCACTTTAGACAATTATGAAGTAATGTTGGTCTTAAATCTCATTCCTCTATGGAAGGTGTGTCACAGTGACCCTAAACATGGTTTGGAACTCTTAAGAGCAATGTGGAACCACAATAACTTGTAACTAGAAGTAGTTTGTTGATGTGGCATGTGGATCCCAATTGCTCATTATTTTCTTGTCACCTTACATTTCCAAAGGATTGGCTTAAGATATGAGTGAACTATTCTATTATTGAGTACATAATGAATGGTATGGGAAGGTCACAAGTGTGATTTGCTTGCTCAAGGAAGAGCTTCAAGCATGTTCAAATCAATTAATTAAATATATATAATTTCAAATTATAAACCTCACTAAGATATACATTATATTTAAACATCTTGCAACAAAAGTAAAATTTAACCAAATTACAAAAAACCTGATGTGCTCTCTATTTCTCTCTATTTTTTTTCTAAATAATTCACTTCTTTTGTCAGATTATAGACAAAATGTCCCTTGAGAACTTATTCTTCCCTTTTCTATGTAGAAGGGTTTAATAAGGTTTATAAATGCAACATATTGCCAAAAAATGGAATTCACCTATAATAGTTTTAATTTCAAAATTAAATAATGCCATGCAAACCTCTCTCTCTCTCTCTCTCTCTCTCTCTCTCTCTCTCTCAATAACTAATATATTGGTCAAACTATAGATAGAATCTATCGTGGAATCCTAAACTACCTCCAAAGGAAGCAAATCAACCCAAAGATATGACAAATGATAATCAATAAAGAAATGATCAGCTCAAGAATTAGCCCCTTACAAAGCTATGAATCTAGTGGACATTAAGAAAAATAGTTCCTATTGAACCCTCAGCAGGACATTGGAAAGGTACGCCCCTTCTGGGTATGAGGGATCAATTGGATGATCACAAGCTGCTCCAGCTTGACGAAGCACAGTGATCTTCCGTCCGGCCATTGAAGCCGCATTCTGAAAGCAATCAAGGTAAACCCTAGTTTAATTTTTTACTTTGTTCAGAGATAGAAAGATAACTAGTCTAGAAATCATATGAAACTTAGGTGTGTTAATGATCTTGCTTTGATTGGAACCTGGCCCCGGTTTCCATGGGCAATGCTCTTCAGAATCAAGCTCCAGAAAGAGAGAGAGAGAGAGAGAGAGAGAGAGAGAGAGAGAGATTTGGATGGGTTTATGCAAAAATAGTATACCTGAAGAATGTTCAGGAAGATTCCACTCTGGGTCATCGCTCCGGAACAAGAACATGTCATGAGTAGACCACCCGGCCTTGTGATCTTCATAGCCAGGGAGTTGAGGCTTCTGTACATCCCTGAAGCACTTTGAAGGGCCTGGGGAAGAACCCATGTGGGGCCCACAGACAGGTTTATAGATTATAACTATGTCAAAAAAAATATTAGATTTTCTCGCTCAAGATTTTTTCTTTCTTACTCTTCTAGATATAATAAATGTGCCTTAATTAGAATATATTATAATGGGAAGGGAAAAAAAATCATCTTCAAGAATCTATCTGGTCTGCTATAATTACCGTAATTGTTTCCAAAAACAGATTACCTTCCTCCGGGGTGCCAGTTTTGGAGGATCCAAGATCACAAGGTCCCATGATTCCTGCCTTGAAGCAGCCCCTTTCATGAACGCAGTTGCATCCTCCTTCACAAAAGATATCCGGCTCGGATCCATTTCATTAAGAACAATGTTTTCTCTTGCAAGCTCCAGAGCGGGCAAGGAGGAATCAACACCTAGTAGCATCTCACATAAAATGCAGTTGAATACACATGGTCAACTCCTAGTCAGAAAATTATGAAACTGAAAGAATATAAAATATACATCAATTGATGCTTTCATAAGAATAATTATAATAGAGAGCCTAGATATCAGGATGACACTTGATACAAATATGTTAAGGTTGACTTCCCCACATTTGAGGTGAATTCTTCCTTACCAATGACATCGATTGCACCCCCTCTCGCAGAGTTCAGGGCAAAGCCACCGCTGTAGCAGCAGATATCAAGAACCCTCTTGCCCTTTGAGATTGATGTTATCAGCTGGCGGCTTTCTCGCTGATCGGCATAAAATCCTGTTTTCTGGCCCTCCAAGGAAATCGAGTACCGGATGCCATTCTCCTTCACCTGGTTAGTATATGGAATGCATCAGGAGCAGAAATAATGTGATCCGCCCCCTTAGAACCTGGGCACCTCCTGTGATCCCCCACTAGAAACTTCAGAACAGTTCAAATATATGGGCCTACTTCAGTCATTGTATATTGATTTGAGCCCCCCGACTTGATTCTTTACCATGACATATCAGAGATGATTACATTGTTTTACTACCATATTTAGCATCTACATGCATATGCGTGCAATATGTTATGAAATTCTCATCATGAACAGGGTAAAAAAAGTCACGATTGAAGGAAGAATTAATAAAATGAGAAAATACGAAATAATAAATGAGCATGGATATGACCCTGAGTAAACAGCTACAGAAGCACCGGTATAAGTGAACATGTACTCATTATTCAACTGTGGTCAACAGCCTGTGCATATCATTAACGGGGATGATGTGACACTGAGAAAGCCTCCCTACCTTCACTGTTCCAGAAATGTCAGAGGAGCTGGGATCACTTTCATCTAAGATATTCAAACCTTCTTCTTTCAGAATTTCGATGGATGGTCTCCATCTCACATGCTCTATGCCACTAATCTTCCGAATGCAGAGTTCTATTTCTGCTCTATATTTCTCAACCCAAGCAGCAGATGATGCTACAACAGCAACATTCCCAAAAATATCAACTATCAGGCCTGACAACCTGCCACAAATAGTAAATGTATTCATAAATCACAGAATAAATTCATTTCACAAATGAAACAATAAAAGATTACAGAAAGGAGGAAAGGAGATTCATACAGTGCACCTGACTATTTGTGAATATATAAAAATAAAATATATAAATTCTATCTTTCTCTAACAAATTTGGTTGGTCTCCTTTCTTCATATATATGTGGTATCTGGTTTTGGTTTATCTGTTCATTTCAATCTACACGCAGGATACTAATGTGGCATTTCATCTCAATCTGTTGATGGCATTCGTGATAGAAAATAGTTGGAAAAAGTTTCCACGAGGAGCAAGTGGAGCACAATGATTTGAAGGTTTCCAAGCAAAGATATAAAGCAAAAGCATGCTGAATTTTTTGACATAAATTGTTAGAATGGACCATGATGAATGTGCGCTTCTCCTCGTGGATACAATACCTTTAGCTTTCCAAACAATTCAGCCCCTTTAGCCACCAGCATGATAGAAAATAAGAAATTGAATTTAAATAATTGATTTCATAGATATTTTAAAGAATTAAATGCAATATATTATATGAATATTATATTTTCGGAATTAAAATAATGAAATCTAAGCATATGATATGTACTAGAGTCGAAACTAAAACTTCTTAAGCCATAAACAAATGTTCAAAGCTTAAAATGTAAAACTAAGGTATAGATTGGCGTCAGAAAACATATAGCTACAATCTCAATAGAAACTATAGGTATAGTAAAATCTTGCAGATTAGTACCAACATCTCTCATCTGTGTATAGGGAGATGCATCGGAAGCACCCATGTATCAGTCTACTCATATGAATGGACATGGAGATAGCTCCACATGGTCAATACATAGAACAAGTGTGCATGACAGAAGATCAAGGGGTTATGTTCCTGCATGTTTACTGCACTTTACTTACTATCCATAGAGAAGGTGAATCTGAGCATGAACTACATAAAAATAGGCTGTGATATACTCCATGTAAAATATTGGAAAAAAATGTGTTCATTAAATTAATTATGTTACATTTCTTACTTTTCCGTCACTCACATCCATGTTTTTACCATCTCATTGGATGTAATAATTTTATTTTTAAAAGTCTCGCACAACAAATGTTAAACCAAGAAGAATAAAGATCCAGTTTTAAAAGGGAGAATCTAGCTCTAACGTATTTAACCTAAACAAGAGCAACCACCTAGCCAAAAAAGGCAAATCCAACTTGAAATACATGACCCATAAGGAGATATTTCTTTAAAGCAATTTCATATTATGATCATCTGATCAGAGCTTCATGAACCAACTTGCTTTGGGTGTTTCCAAGAAGCGTGGAGACTTTGTGGGACAGCTTCGATGTACAATGTAAACATGAGGAACTTGCCATCAAAACCAAGTGTGATCTTCAAGAGACTCTCCCTCATGCCTACCATTCCAACACTGAAAAAACCAATTGCGACAGAGAGAATCTCTTGCCCATCGCATTAAACAAGCCAGACAGCTTCATTAATATTCTCGTCTCCATCCTTTCATGATTTCTATAATGCATGACTAGCAATATTATTTCGTCATTGTAATATATTAAAGCAATCAATAGCTCCTGATGACAAATATCATTATAATCTTATCATCATCTCGTACCTCCACTCCTCGGCTGACATGGGACCAGACTGAAGCATAGACTCTGATACCATTTCACTATCTAAAAATAAATAAAAATCCATAATTTCCAATCATGATGTGGAAAGCCAAAGTTTGACTCACTTTCCCATACTGGGACTATTCTCCTTCACTCAAAGGTCCTAATACCACCCTTGATCATAGTTTGTCCATTGAAGGACTGCTAGAACAGAAAGACAAGGATTGCTCAGAGGATTCAAAGTTTTCAGATTCCCCGTCACATGTTGTTCATCAAAGTGAACAGAGACTTCTGGAGGCCTAATCTGCAGGCGGCTGGGAGCAAAAGGACCATGAGACCAATGGATCAACGACCAGTAGTTCACATGCGGATACAGTGGCCATTTTCATGGTGACAAGGTAATGGTGTCAAGGAATCCACTCAGAACCCTGGCCAGCAGAGGAGGCAGGAGATAAAAATACGAAGAGCAAAACTTGGGATTGGGAGTGATTGCAAAAGTCGTAGGAAAACATGTTAATATTAGCATCTAATAAAGCAATAGAGCAGTGATACATGCACCACATACTAACGGCTAATCTTGAAAAAAAATCAAAAATCATCTCTCACTTCTCAACTCCCCATCAATCTTACATCCATCACACATCAACCATGCTTACCATTAACTGTGGCATCCAGTTTCAGGCCTGGCTGTCAGACATGCAGACCACCGGGGTTGGAAACGTGCCTACTAACCATACTGAGAGACTTTAACAGTTTTTATTTGAATATTTAATACTTATCATTAAAAACTAATCCTAGATTATACAGTTTATACCAGTCAACCCAACATACAGCAAGTGTAGTTTTAGAGAGAGGATAGAAAAAAGATAAGCTAGCCTAAAAGCTAGAGAGGTAATGGAAGAGGACTCACCTGTCTCCTTCACTGTTAACAAGGCGAAAGGCATCTGTATCCATGGAGGGAAGCCCCATACTCCTACGCAACTCGATTGCCTCAACCATTCTTGCTTCAATGAGCTTGTCCATGTTCAGCACACAGCACGGGTCTCTGAAAGAAAACATAAAAGTGCCTCATCTGTGAAGAAAAAGGTACACGGTCTAGCGATCAGGGAGATAGAAAGAAAGGTCTGTGAGTAAAGCTTCTACCTGGCCACCTCTTCTTCTAGCTGCATTAGCCGTACACAAAACATGGAGACTGAGTTATACAAACCCCATCCAATGGGCTTCTCTGATCCATCTGCCACAAGCACTGCATCGCCAGTCTTCGGAGGTGGTCGACCAATGATTCTATCAACTGCACCACTGTACACCATGGGATTTCCATCACGAAATAGCTGTGTTTTGCCCTTCTTCAAGACAACTCTGGCCAAACCTACAACATGGGCTATGTGGTCAGTATCAAGTACAGGGTCATAACTTAAAATTATCTTAAAAGACTCAATGGGTCTTCTTCTCCTTTTCTAACATCTCGCACAGGAGGCAGGCAAATATAGATAGTTGACTTCGGCCGAGCCAGGTGGTGCCATTCCAATTTGCCATGCCTAAAGAAGCTATGTAGGAGAGGGTAATGAAAGAAAAATTCTTCATAAATTGAAAAATATGGTCCTTAGAACTCATATGCAATCCTCATTTTCCTTTTCTTTTAGATAAAAGTTAAAAAAAAAATTACCAATATGCACATAATCTTATGAGCATCAACCACAGGACCATCATTAATCTTCATTTAAAAGGCAGACCAAAAATAAATAAAAATCTAACAAATACCACAAAAGGGCAGGAAAATATAGATGGTCTACTGTGGCTCAACCTGTCACTGCCCATTGGTGTTCGCTAAAGGAGTTAGGTAAACTAGGATAATGAAAGAAGCTCTATTCAGAAATTGAAGAAAATGGCCTTTAACCTCACTTACGTCCTTATTTCAATTGAAATATATGTATATATCAACACAGATGATGTTTTATCATTACCCACGTAGCATTAAGCACAAAACGGCGAGCATATTCATCTTCAGAATGTTCAGGACACCTTCAGACATTTTAACTCAGATGAGTCTATGTAAACAGGAACTTTTAGCTCATCGGATCTAAGAATATTCTAGGAAACCTTGTTTAAATATGATTCATCGAAAAGAATGGTGTTCTCATTTCTCCACTTCTAAAGAATTTTGGCTTGAACTACACCAAAAAGAACGAATGTGAGACAACTCTTCATCACCCCACACCTGATAACTTCGGTGCAACGTAGCCTCCATACATATTTAAATAATCCAACTCGCATTGTCAGTCAACTCTGATACACTCGATGGCAAGCACAATTGACGAAGTCCTCCGATAAACTCTTGATTCGGCCAAAGCCTGAGGGTAGAACTACCATTTCTTTCTTCTGAAACTCCCAGCTAAAGGCCCTTAAACGCTCGTAGTTACAGCAAGCAGATGTCACTCATTGAGGCCATGGTAGATGCCTTAGTTCTTAAGGATTTATCAATCCAACTCCCAGCAAGCGGCAGAAACCACAAGGGTTTTCAGGCAAAGTATCCACCAAAAACCCGAGTTGGGAGTCTCTGATTGGGTCGAAGAAGGAGCTCACTGGAGAGTGGGAGCAGATAAAGACCGGATAAGCGGACGAGATAGAAACCTCTCCGTGAAGCGCCAATCTCTTCCAAGGCCCCGGTGGCCGTGGTCGGGGCGGCGCCGGCGGCGACGGAAGCGGGGAGAGCGAGAGACTTGACGAGACGAGCTTGAAGGTGCACTTTGAGCATGATTCCCGCTCTGGGCAAGCCCAACGCCCTGCTGGAGCCGGCCAGCAGCAAGGCTCTGTAGACTCTATAAATCCATACACTCACACCTACTGTGAATCTCTAGATTTCCACTATATAAAATTATTTTGCACCCAAAAAATTGGACTTTTCGTTCCAAAGTCTCAAAAAGGTTAAACCCAAAAGCGATATTGTGGGAGAGCTATCCAAAAAAGGATTCCCATGCTAAAATTGGAGGGCGAGAGTTCTTCACTTTGTTAAAATGTAGCCCTTGATCCAACGTGTTCATCTCTCTCTCTCTCTCCCTCTCCCTCTCCCTCTCTCTCTCTCTCTCTCGCTCTAGAACGATAATTATTTCTTGAACGCCAATTTTTTATTTTTGTTGCCTTTACCCTTCTTCTCTTGATAGTCAAATCTTTGACCAAGTGGAAATTCTATGGGCGTCAACTCCTCCATCCCACTTCGCATGTTGGAGTTGGGTTGGGATTATATGAAGACTTTCTCCTAATTGGGTCCTAAGCTTATCCTTCCATGGTTGACTTTCTAGCACAATAGTCAACTCAATTTTCATCAAAAATCATGTCCGTACCTCATTCAAGTCTCTACATATCCATCAAATAAAATTACCCCACAAAATAAGACCTTAATATTAATAAATTAAGGAAAGAGGTGATAAATTTATCCCCAAATTGATGGTTCTAATTATTATTATTATATTTTTTGTAAGCTTTTCGATCTCAGCTATTAAGAAGCTAAAGATCAAATCATGCTCAAGGAAGAGGTAATAATTTGATCCCCAAATTGAATGTTCTTAATTATTATTTCCCTTTTTTAACACTTTTTCCTGAAGTAGAAGTTTTTAATGTTCTATTATATTAAGAAAAAAAAACGTCCTTCAAGATTCTTGGGTCAAAAATGCACAAACATTGGTATCTACATATTAATGATAGTAAAGGAAATCATGCAAATTTATACTTGAGAACAGTTCTACTTAAACCTATTTTTGAAGGGTTTTCCTCTAGGCCTAGTCAACTCTCTCTCTCTCTCTCTAAGTTGGGTCAGTAGGGCAGAGCCCAGCTTTGATAGAGAGGGGGAGGGAAAGAGAGAGAGAGAGAGAGAGGTTAGGCCAAAACCGTTGACCTACTAGTAGGTTGAGTTAAATTGAGAGGTCTACTTGTTTATTAGATGAGTAACGGGGGGAGGGGATGTGGTGGGACCCACTTCTCTTTTCTAGAGACTCAGATAGCTGACCACACGTTTTCAAGCTGATGGGATATTCGGTCAAATACCAACATTTAGTCAAATCTCTACGCCGGGCCAATTCATGTTTGACTATAGAGGCTTTTGTGCAAAACTCATTTTAAAGAAGGTTAAAACGTAGTTTACAAATAACATAGGGGTACTCACGCAAGAAGAACCCACGCCTAGTCTCCTTACTCCCGCGTCTGACGGCCCGTGTCTGACGCTGACCAGTCAAACATCAGCGCCGCCGTCAGGATAGAAACAGTTTGAGAGACAACAGCGTGTCCCTTCCCCATCAGCACTTTAAAAGATTAATATATAAATACATCTCTATTTTTGTAAATATAAATGAGTTTCCCATATATATATATATATATATATATATTCTAAATAAATTAAATTAGTTGTAAATATAAATTATTATGGGATTATTTTGTTACATCATCTTGTTAAGTCGTTATAAATTATATGACTATTACTATTTTCTTCCTCATTTATTTTTCATTTTCGTGTTAAGTATATTAATTTAAATTTAAATTTTCTTCTTTTGGAAGATAATAATGCCTTCTTATTAGTAGAAAATTGTAGTTATTTTAAAAAAATATGAATCTAATATGCATAAATGATATCTGCATAATATATATCAATTAAACACGGTAATTCATTTGTGAAGTTTCAAAATTTAATAAAAATTATATTTATTTCATAAGTTTCAAGGTCACCAGCTTGTTAATATTCTCATCTAAAGCCATTTTTTATTGAATATTTGTGAACAAAAGGCTGGTACTTATTTTAGAAAAACCTTGAGCAAGTAAGGGATTGTAGAGAGAGAGAGAGTGGAAGATAGATTATGATTATATTTTAGATATTTTTAATTTTAATTTTAAAAATAATACAATTAAATATAAATTCTTAATTATTTTTCACGAGTGAACTTATTTGTTTTTCTCTCATAAAATCTATATCAACTAAAAAAATGAACCAGTAATTCTTTTCCCCCTCCAAAAAAGACTCCTTGAGCAAGTAAGGGATTGAGAAAGATTATGATTTTATTTATATATTTATATTTTAATTACAAAATTAATAAGGATGAAATAGAAATAATTAATTATATTTCACGAGTGAACTTATTTATTTTTCTTTCATAAAATTTATATCAACTGAAAAATGATCCAGTAATTATTTTTCTCTCTCTCTCTTATTTATTTTTAAGAGAGAGAGAGAGAGAGAGATTATGTTTTTCTTTTATAGAATATATTTTTCATAATGAAAGTAATACAAGTTGAGTATAATTAGTGAATTTATTTATGTATTTATTTATTTGACTTCAACGGAGGCACAGCCAGGGCGTCAGTCAGCGTCGCACAGGGTCTTAGGAGGAAGGGGGGAAGAAGACGTCTTCATTCGCCGGCTGCCCAGAGAAGCTTCCTCCCCCCCTCCGCCGGTGGCGTTGGTCTTCTGCCGCTCTTCCTCTCCCCGCCTCCTCCTCGTGGAAGTTCTCCGTCTGCCCAGGTGGTCAAGCCCAAGGAATACCTGGAGAAGGCGAGATAAGAGGTAGGGAGGGAGGTAGGGAGGGAAGAATTTCCAGCTGCGGAGGCCGCGTCGAAGCTAGGGTTCCCCCTCCTTTAATCGGAGAGATCTGATCTCTCTCCTACTGAATCTGTTTTTCCGCCGCCTATATCGGAGATTCCTCCTGTTGTATATCCTCTCTCTGGGGCCGATTCGAGATGATGAATTCGGGGGACGGTGGCGGGGCTGTGGCTGCGGCTGCTGCTGTTACCGCTGCTGCGTCGACCTCGGCGGCCAACGGATCTGCCGATGCAGCTGCTCCGAGGAGGAACTCCAAAAGGCCCAAATGTATGATCAGGCTCCCTGGATTTCGTTTTTCTTCCCTCTTTTGTGGCCTTTAATCGAATCTCTCAATCGTCGAGTTGCAGAAGAAAATAGGGATTTCTGGATGGGAATATTAGATTTCCCGGTGAAGGCCTTGTGCTTTATGAAATTAACAGGGAATAATCTTCTGTTTCCCCTTTCCCTTCAGATTCGAGGTTCACCCAGCAGGAGCTTCCGGCCTGCAAGCCGATTCTCACCCCACAATGGGTAAGCGTGACCTTCCTGCTATGGAACAGCGGCCGCCTGTGGCTATCGATCCCGATCTACTGGAGAAAAAATTTGCCCGCCGTTCTCTCGCATGACGAATTTCTCCTCTACTTCTCATCTCAGGTGATCTCAGCCTTCGCAGTTGTGAGCATCATCTTCGTCCCCATCGGCGTGGCTTCTCTGCTTGCTTCCCGCGATGTGAGTCTTGCCTCTAAGATTCTCCATTCCGTCCCACTACCCATCACGCGAACAATGCCCTTCTCCAGTTGCTCCGAATCTGTTCTGAGATCATCATCCTCTTCCCTTCCCTCAGGTTGTTGAAATCGTCTACCGATACGATTCCGACTGCGTTCCTGCAAGTTGGGCCAGTGATAAGCTCGCCTACATTCAAAATCCAAACATCAGCAAAACCTGCACCAGAACGCTCACGGTAAGGACTGGCTCCGTGATTTCCACGATCCCATGTGAGATGGGTATCTGATCAACTCCATGAAGAACTTTTACCATTTTAGGTGATGATCATGGGGTCGGATAATTCTGATCTTTGAATTAACATGATAAATAATTTGAGATTGCTTCAATCGGTGATTCTGTGTTCATCCATGTGGGTTAATTTGCCCCGTTTCTAACTTGCAGGTGCCTAAGCGCATGAAAAGTCCTATTTATGTTTACTACCAGCTTGACAACTTCTACCAGAATCATCGAAGGTACCAATTTCCGAGCAGAATTTAGACTTCAAATTTATGTTATACAGCTTTAATTAAGTTGGGACTCAAAGGTTTCTGTTCGGATCCTTTTTGACGATTTCCATTGAAATGGCCTTTAGTCTCTATCTTAAAACCATTTATATAATATATGTTCCTTGCCTTATCGTCTCCTTTCTGCCACAGGAAGTTCCGAGTTCATGCTTCATCCTTACTTCGCCCATTAGCTGCTTTCTGGTTTTCTCTGGGTGTTCTTGCTCTTAAAAAAACTCTATGTTAAAAATAAAAAATGTAAAAATATAACTAGATATTAATTAATATTCAATATTTTTTGACTTTGGGTTGCTGTATTCTTGGATAATCTTGTTGAAATTTTTATTTCTCTCGCAAATCCAGATACGTGAAGAGCCGGAATGACTGGCAGCTGCGTGACGCCAGCAAGGCAAACGATACGAGTGGCTGTGACCCAGAGGATGCCGCAGGAGGCAACCCCATTGTTCCTTGCGGGCTTATAGCATGGAGTTTGTTCAATGATACATACAGATTCACCGTAAGCAACAGCAACCTGCCTGTGAACAAGAAGGGAATCTCCTGGAAGAGCGACAGGGATCACAAGTTCGGTAAGGACGTGTACCCACGGAACTTCCAGAATGGAACAGTGATAGGTGGTGCGAAGCTCAACTCAAGCATACCTGTAAGCTTCCCCCTCCCTTTCTCTTCCTGGGTGAGAGAGAGAGAGAGAGAGAGAGAGAGAGAGAGAGAGAGAGGGTTAATGGGCCCTTCTTCTTCCGATTTGTATTGCGGCTGTCATGGTTGTGGCATATCTGAAAGGTACTTCTCCTCTCTGACAGCTGAGCGAGCAGGAGGATCTCATAGTTTGGATGCGCACTGCCGCCCTCCCCACATTCAGGAAGCTCTACGGCAAGATTGAGGTTGATCTCCAGGCAAACCAGACGATAACTGTGACCATAGAGAACTACTACAACACCTACGAATTCGGGGGCAAGAAGAAGCTGGTGCTTTCGACGGCAAGTTGGCTTGGAGGGAAGAACGACTTCCTTGGGCTCGCATATCTCATAGTTGGCGGGCTCTGCTTCTTCCTGGCTGCAGCCTTCACCATCATCTACCTGGTAAAGCCAAGGTGAGATCTCTAACATTGCCCATTGAATAAATATTCTTCATCATCTTCATCAAAGTGGTTAATATATTTCTCCTCGATGAGCATAAGTTAGGGACGTATTTGATTTATTTAGGCTTAGAAAATTTATTAACGTTTTTTCTCCCAATCTATGCTGGTGCATGTGAATTGTTCTTGAATGCATTTGATCAAACCAAGTTGAGAGGATATTGGAGTGGTGTTTAGATACTCATCTCATTGTATTTTGATTATTTGTTTTGTTAATTTCTCCAGCAGCATGATTATTATGCTTCTATTTTTGAAAGATCCTCCGAAGGCTCTAAAATGGGGGAAAATATTGTGGATGATGAATAATACTTCGGCAGGTTGAATGCCTACTTACAGCTTAGGATCATCATCTTGGGCTTCCTGGATGCCTAGGCTTTTCAGTAATTGGTTGAATCGAAGGTGTTACCTTTCTTGGTCTGTATCATTAGGTTGAATTATCTTTAGACCATTTTGGAACCCTAAAGGAGGACTTTACATGGTTCAATGAAAACCATAGTAATTCTGAGAATACATGCTATGATTTTGCCCCTTTATGTGAAGATTTGGAAGTAGTTGAACTGTGGGACTCCAGATTATGCGACCATCCGAACTATTCTGTTCTTGAAATTCATTAAAAAACCCTTTTTAGTGCCAGAAACAGGGGTTGTTTGTCATGAGCTACCTCCAGAAAATAATCCAGTTTACTTACTGTCAGTTTCAGAAAGCACCTTTTCTGCCCATCAAGGTCGTAGGAATGGCGTTTTTGAGAACCCTAATTTCCTATACATGAAGTTTGTAGATCTCGCACTACCTTGATCTGTGGGTTATATTTCTATTGAAAGGTTTCTGCCAAGTAGCTGCTCTCTGTTGCCCTTCCATCTCTCTCTCTCTCTCTCTCTCTCTCTCTCTCTCTCTCTCAGTTTTGGTTAATGTTCTCTGTTTCGCTCTCTCTTGACTCGTTCAAACCTCATGGGAGTCCCAAGCTTTACCTCCATCCTCTCCCATTCTCCCTTCTTCTTCAATGTCCTTGAGGCTCAAGATGATCCTCTTCTGCTCTTTTCTTTTCTCTTCTGCTCTCTACCTGACTGGACTAGTGCTTCAGCAGACTGATCCGTCGAGTGCTTCCAGCTCAATCTTGCGTCATTTTTTAAATATTCTAAGGTGGGTTCTTGCTGATCCCAGTCCAGATTACCATAACGCAGAACTGAATCCTTCAATCCTGTGAGAGAGATGTTTGTGGTCTTCCCCACGGCCCTGTATCTAGTACTTGTTTGGTTCCTTGGTGGGTATTTGACATTTACTTCTCAAATCAATAATCAACTGTGATTACTCTTCTGCCATCAACTCTCTCTCTCTCTTTCTCTCTCTACAGTACACGCACCTCTCTCCTACCATGAATGAGACCAGTGTTTGGTGTTTCCTCTTAATGGTGTTTCTTCTAATTATTTGGTTCCCAAGTAGGTATTTCATTATTCAACTGTGATTACTCTTCTACCATCAACACTCTCTCTCTGTTTCTCTCTCTACAGTGAACACGCACCTCTCTCCTGCCATGAGTGAGACAGCAGTTTTTGGTGTTTCCTCTTAAGGGTGTTTCTTCTAATTATTTGGTTCCCAAGTAGGTATTTCATTATTCAACTGTGATTACTCTTCTGCCATCAACACTCTCTCTCTGTTTCTCTCTCTACAGTAAACACGCACCTCTCTCCTGCCATGAATGAGACACCAGTGTTTGGTGTTTCCTCTTAATTGTGTTTCTTCTAATTATTTGGTTCATCAGTGGGTGTTTGACATTCGCTACTCAAATCATTACTCAACTGTGATTACTCTGTCATTAACTCTCTCTCTTTCTCTCTCTACTGTAAACACACACCTCTCTCCTACCCTGAATGATTACTGTTCTGCTATTCTCTCTCTCTTCCTTAGCATGCATGAGAGAGGATTTTGGTTTTCTATGTAATTGCGTTTCTTTTAATTTTTTGGTTCTCTGGTGGTGTGTATGATATTTGCTGCTGTAATGTTATTCAACTGTGATTACTATTCTACTACCTCCCTCTATCTCTCTCTACTGTAAACACTCACCTCGCTTTCTCTTTCTCTCTCTTCCCACTGTGCAGGAAGCTTGGAGATCCCACGTACCTCTCATGGAATAGAAATCCAGGGGGACACTAGCGGCCCTGAGTGGGCCCTCGTTCATACCTTGGTTGTTGAATTATTTGTAGCATTCCTGGCTTGCCCTCTCTCTCTCTCTATATCTCTCTCTCTCTCTCTCTCTCTATCTCAGATGGCCTCTCTGCCTATGTATCATACTTCTCAGAAATTCTACGGGAATAACATTTTTTGGGTTTTTCTGGGCGTGCTTAGGGACCTCAGAATGAATTCTATGTTTAATTCGGTTTGGCTTTCCATCTCTGACGATCTTCCTCGGAATGAATTCTGTGAATTTCCCACCTCCTCCTGCAACCCTCCGTGAAGAAAAGAAAGACATATATATATATATATAGAGAGAGAGAGAGAGAGAGAGAGAGAGAGAGAGAGAGAGAGAGAGAGAGAGAGCTGGTAGTTTGCAGTTTATTAAGCTGTCCCTGTCTCTCTCTAGAAAAAAGCGACCTCCGCTGCTCTATTCTAAGGATAATGGCGCAGGAAGAATTCTACGATAAGGTTATTGAAATTTTATGCGAGTATAGTAGTCTACTCTCTCTCTCTCTCTAGATCTGCTTTCTAGCTTTGGAAATCTGCCACGTTTGACTTTGTCGCCAAATGCAGAGCCGTCAACACAACCATTGGCTATGAACTGTCGCCACAGCATGCTCTCATCTGGAGTTGACTTTGTCGATTGTGGTGGGCCCATCAATTGACACGTATCTACACGTCGCACTCAAGACACCTGGAGCAGTTGTCGATGGCGGCGACAAGTTTATGCAACATATACGTCCGCTCCCTCTACAAAAACTCGCAGATAGCTGTAGGTTGCGGGGACCAATGGACAGACCTTCTTCCGTGCTCTCCTCCTTCGGCGGAGCCTCGCCGTCGGCCCCAGAGCAGGCCGCCGCCGTGTCCGCCCTCTTCATCTACCCCATCAAGTCTTGCCGCGGGATATCCGTCCCCCAGGCATGCATCTCCTCCACAGGTTTGTTCTCATCATGGCGCGACTGTGCTCTCTCTCTTTCTCTCTCTCTCTCTCTCTGTGTTCACTCTGCGTCTCTTCCTCTTTGATTCGAAAGAGTTATTTATGACGCATATTGTCCCTGCCGAGACTTTGGATTCAGATCATCGTTGTTTTCTTTCACCGGAGTGACTCTGGAGGAATTTCTGCTGCTGTTGTAAATTTGGAGTAGTCGACGTTGGCGGCCGGGGTGTGCGCAGATGGATTCCAATCCATGGCTACATTTCCGAGGATAGACTGTTTAGGCCAACACTGTTCTGGTTTTTTTGCCTCGTGAAAAATTCATGTACTGCAGACATTAACACGAACTGTAGGATCTGAACGAGTCATAATTTCTTTGCGGTGAACGAGGAGCACAAGAATAAAGAAGATGGACAACGATGATTCATGATATCATATGGCGATTGCAGACGGATTTTTCTATCAGAAGAAGACGAGTGATGAGACATTGCATCACCAGGGTCTGTCGCAAGCTTATTTCTGTAGTACTTGATTTTAGGAGAACCCAAATTGGGCTAGGATAACTTTGACGTGTATCAAAATTAGAAAAGATAAAGTCATGTAAATAAAAATCAATATAATGATCAAGGAACATGAGGAATAGCTTTTTAATCGAAGAAATAGATATATATTTTGGTTTTACCATAATTTTATCGTCTGATTGCGGTTTTTAGTTCGTTTATCTAAATTTTCACTGATTCTAATAATGATTCCTTTGTTGGAGGTGTAATCAATGATTATTACACATCCGATAGCTGATTCCATTATTTTCTTAACATGTGCCATGCAAAAAGTTCGATCACCATGGAGATAACTATTTCTAGACTGTTTTGAAACTTTAGAGGTCAAATGATTGCAGACTATTATTCCCTTTGCATCGGTTCATGCCAAGGAGCCTTGATCGTCTACTTTGTTCTATATATTGACATACTCTTCTAAAGTTATATCAATTCATGCTTTGAGAAAAAAATTACCTGGTTATTAAAAAACAATGTGGCAAAGTGATTCATGTTTCCCATATCCACTATTGTTCTTCTGACGTACCGACTTTGGCAGATTCCAATTCTTATATTTTTCATATATTGACGTATTTGATCAATTACAGAGACATGCGACTATTCGAATGGTTCATTGGATGACTATATTAATTACCCGCATGTTTTAATTATTGGCTTGTCATGATTGGTTCATGTATCCAGCTGAATCATAGTTGTTGACCTTCTCATAGATTTTATCATCCATCTTCATTTCTTTCTTTTATTTTACTTTTTAGGGTTCAGATGGGATAGACAATGGATGGTTGTAAATTCTAAGCGAAGGGCGTTAACACAGAGAGGCCAGCCCAAGCTTGCACTTGTTGAAGTGGAGTTGCCGGTGGAAGCGTTTTCTGATGGCTGGGAGCCAGATGAGGGGTCATTCTTAGGTAAACTGGCCTTCATTTTTATTGTCCCGCTGATCTTCTAAGTTGTGCACAGAAGTTCATGCCAACTAAAGCCAAGGCATCATGAATTAGTAGCTGGAAGAAAATTTTCTTTTGAAGCGATGCCAATAAATCTAAGTTGGGAATGTTCAGGAACAAGGACAGTTTCTTTTAGAACTCCTCATACTCTTGAGTTGAATCTTTGCGGCAAAATTTTAGGGAGAATCCTTAGTTGATAATTTAATGGGAAAATTTTAATATCTACTTTATTATTTTATCTGAAGAGGGTGTAAATTCATGGGGAGCCCACATGGGTCAATCATGCTTCCTTCCTATAATTTATTGACGTGATACTCTATATACCTTGGGTCACTGCATCCTCTCCGTCTCTGAGCTTTTGCTGGATTTTTTATTCCTCTGTAGATACATTTCACAGAAAATGCTTTATTATTGCATGATTTAATGGCGAATAAATGAAAATTGAGTAATGCATTGTGTGATTCTTGTGGTATCCCAAAGAGCTCTTGTTCTAAATCTATTTGTTTAATTACTCCGGTTTTGTGGTGTGCTTTTTGCATCTGCACCATGTATGAAAATAATTTTAGAAACTAACACCATATTTTTGGATGTAATCAATTGAAGGTCCATCAGATGTATTTGCTTCAATGCATCATGTTTTTTTCCCTAAAATGTTTATCAGTTCAGCGAACTGTAAAATATGAATCTCTGAAGACTCTCCATTCTTCCTCTCATTCTTTTACTACGTACAGGCTATAGGCATTTAAATCTCCATTTTCTTAATGAAACGTCCTACTATTTCTTCGAAAAACAGAAATTGCTTTTATTTTCTTAAATGTGTTCCTGCTCCGAGATGTGATTATCCGTCTCTAATTTATTTTCTCCAATGGTTTTTTTTACTTTAGTTTTTTTTTTAAAAAAATTATTCCATCTTTTGGCTAATGTTAGAATATATGGTTAACGCTGTAATTCATCTCTAATAGTCAAGTTCTCGTTGTTTTTCAGTAATTAGGGCCCCAGGAATGCATGCGCTGAAGGTACCACTGAAGAAAACACATGACGTAGTTGATGGTGCTTCTGTGTGGGAGTGGTCTGGTTCTGCCCTGGATGAAGGTGCTGAAGCATCTGAGTGGTTTTCAAACTACCTCGGGATCCCATGCCAACTCTTGCGGTTCAACTCAGGCCAGTCTCTTATCTATCCCTTTTTTGCCCATCATTTTTTAATATTATTTCTTGCATTGACAGAAAAAAATGTGTTGAATTTCGTTTTTTATATATGTTCACTGGAACTTGGTCTATCTAGATATTTTTAGGATGAGGCTCAAACGGAAAACATGAAATTAGGTCAGATCACCCTGGGCAAGGCTCACTTAAGGTCTTATTCGATTTAAACTACGAGGTACAACAGCCACATAAGGTCTTGTGGATCCATTATCATCAGGCCATGGTCTAAGAAGCCGTTAGAAGTAAGGTTCACATTTTTTCGTGCAGGATAATTATTTTCTAATCGGGATAATGAGCCGTAATTAAGATTAGATCCTTAGCGCCACTAATAATGGGTATAACCATTGGATAGATAAAGGCTTTGTTCTTCTTTTTTGTGACTTCCGGACTTTTTTTATTGGACTTGAGTTTCTTCAGCTGGGGTAGGCATAAGCTTCTTTGGAGTAAGTCAAAGGGGTTGACTCGTGCGGGGGTGTAACACCTAGCCCTTATCTTCTTGGAGTAGACTCATATTTTGAAAGGCTGAACTGAGATCTTAAAAATGAAAATGCCAGTACTTTTTCTGCTTGCTGCTTTATATTTCTATCCATTCCTTTTATGTCGAGACATTAAAAGACAAAACCAAGTTTACTTTCAAGGTATGTATAGTTTTTTAATGATATTTTCTATGATGAAATAATATGACAGCTTCTGACGTCAGGCCCGTGGATCCCAATTATTCTCCTGGACACAAAACAATGTTCTCTGATGGGTTTCCATTTTTGCTGATCTCCCAGGTTGCTTATCAACCCATTCACTTTGCTTTCTCATTCACTTTAAGAAAGAAAAACGTCACACGGTTTCAGTATCCTTTTGTGGCCAGGGTTCACTGAATGCACTAAATCAGCGCCTCGAAGATCCATTGCCGATAAACCGTTTCAGACCAAAGTGGGTTTGGTTCTCTTTACTTGTCATCGCACAAAGTCAACTCATTGTCATGAAATTCTAGATTATCAGACAGAGAATGATTTTTCATGGTTTACGATCATAGTAGAGTATGGTCTTGATATATTTATCTTCCCTGTTTGCTTTGAAATGGGCCACCAGATTTGTTTCCTAATTATGGTAATGGCCGATCTTTAATATTCATCGCATAAAGTCAACTCATTGTCATAAAATGCTACATAATCAGACAGAGAATGATTTTTCATGGTTTACGATCATGGTAGAGCAAGCTCTTGATATATTTATCTTCCCTATTTGCTTTGAAATGGGCCATCAGATTTATTTCTAATTATGGTTAATGCCCGATCTTTACCAATCAAATCTGCATAGTTTCTTTTCTTACATCCGGAGAAGATTATCGCAACCAACTATATGCCAATATTTTCTACTCATGAATGTGTTGAGAATACATACACAATAGGGATGAACCCTACATGCGCTTTCCCATAATACCCTTAGTCTTTTACAATATTATCCTTAGACCTTCTAACAGAAGGTAGACTAAACTCCTATACCATCTCCATTTGGATCTTGCAGCATCCTCATTGATGGGTGTGAACCGTTCTCCGAGGACCTCTGGACGGAGCTGAAAATAAGCAAGCTGGAGTTTCACGGTGTAAAGCTCTGCTCTCGCTGTAAGGTGGGTACATTCATGGCCTCATGTTCTTCAAGATTATAATTTATCTCCTCTTATTTTATTTTTTATTTTTTTTCTATCTTTCTGCATTTAATTGTGGAAAACCTCAATCTGTCTCTTTTATGGTACAATCGGGGATTCTAAATTGCGAATTAATTGAGAAAAAAATTGAGATGTATTTTCTGAAATTTCTGAAATTCAGATAATTGAGAAAATATATCCATCGCTTTTATGCTAAAATTTTTCTTCTCTGACTCTGTTAATTTCTTCCTTCACAGTGTGAACCCACCTGTCATGATTTGACGGGTGATTATGCTATTTTTAGGTCAAATTTTTCATCGGAGAGTCAAACATTTGTGGGGTCCATTTACTCAATCTGCATGAACACATCCGTCGTAATCTGATTGTGGAACTCAATTTTTTATAAGATTATGCTTCTTTCTCTTGATCGTATTTTCATTTTTGAAGTGGTTTTTATCTGTTGAAGATATTATTTTTCGAGGAAAGCACCTCGGAAGAGATTAATTATGTACAATTTAGCTTCTGTCTTTACTATTTTTGGGCGTTTTTTATTTCTTGTAGATGACCACGATTAACCAGGAAAATGGAGTCTCAGGCGTTGAGCCTATTGAAGCGCTCTTGAAGTTTCGTTCAGATCGCATCTTACGTCCTGGCAATAATCCCAAGGGAAAGGTAATTTCTGCCCCCAGAACCATGTTAATTTATGGTGCTTCCCAACTTCATCACATAGAGAGAGAGAGAGAGAGAGAGAGAGAGGGTGTAGACATCGGGCCCGGCCTATTTGGATCTGTGCCCGTTGACACCTTTTGGGTCATCATCCTATACGCGTTGACTTTGGGGGGGGGGGGGTAGAACAGTAGAGCTGACTTCTTGGAGCTTTGCAGGTATATTTTGGGCAAAACCTCGTCTGCAAGGAGTCCCTCTCATCTGGGAATGGGCACATCGTCAAGGTCGGAGACCCTGTTTATGTCTTCGGAAAGGTCTCCTCTCCTGCCCATGCGGCTGTCTGATCCCCACTGGCTTAGAGAGAGGAAAATATAGTGAAGGAAAGGTGGGGGACGAGAGAGAGAGAGAGAGGAGGGTAATTATGGCTTGCTGTGAAACTGTTATATGGTAATAAAAATGTTCCGTAAGTTCCAATGATGCCCAGATCAGGAAGAGAAGAGCCAGCCGCGGCTGCCATTGTTCAAGGAAGAAGAAGGCGGCGCCGTAAGTTTGAGGTTCTGACCCTCTCTCTCCTTGCCTCCCTCTCACCTTCGTGGGTTTCTCAATATGTGTGTGTGTGTGGGTGTGTTTCTCTCTCTCTCTCTCTCTCTCCATTATCATCCTGTGCAGATGGCGCTGCTTTCTCTCTCTCTCTCTCTCTCTCTCTCTCTCTCTCTCTCTCTCTCTCTCTCTCTCTCTCTATCTATCTATCTATCTCTATCTCTACCCCTCTTTGAACTTTTCCATTTTGTCTCCTCTTATTAGCTCACTATCTAAGGTTCCTTCCTCCCCTCTTGAACCTCTCGTCTCTCTCTCTCTCTCTCTCTCTCTCTTTCTCTCTCATCCTGTGTGACTTCAACTCTCCGCTCTCCGGAAATCTCAATGATCGTACGTTATTCTGATGATTTCCCATGTCCAGGACATTACTCAGATGCTCTCATATTATTCATTCAAACACCTAAGCAACTCAAAAGTTTCGCCCCCTCAGTCCGTCCACTGTAAGCTCGAATATCAAGGACACTGCATTGGAAGAGGTCAAACTTCTCTAGATGGGGCCCACGAACGTAGGGCCCAGCTAAGAAGGAAGCTCAGTGGGTCCACGTGGATGGGTTCTAGTCACCCCCCACAGGCTCCTCCATGATGGTCACATCTAATCCATTCTCTGATCTTATTTTTTAGTCAAAATACAGGAAAAGTAGTTTTTTTTAAGACTGGTAAAGTCAAAAGACCCCACTCGTTGACAATCTTGGAATTCAAATGCTCTAGAGGTTGCTTAAAGTCAACTAGAAACCAATTTGATGTGATCTTGATCGGAATAGGTTATAGAAATGATCGCTCTTGTGGCTTTTTTTTAACTTTTATTACAAATGCTTATTTAATTATCATTTTGAAGTTTCTTGATTTAAATTAAGATTAATTTACTAGAAATATAAATTTATGTGTTAGTTTTATTGTTAAATTCTCATCTTAAATCGATTTAGTTCTTGAAAATATGGTTAATTTTTTTTAGTTCAACTCATATTTTTTAAAAAAACTAAGCCCAATTAGAACCTTCTATAAATTCATGCGTTACTTTTATTTTTTAATTTTCATATTTACATTGATTTAGTTCTTGAAAATATGGATAATAATGTATTTTTTTAATGAAAACTAAGCCCAATTAAGAACATTCTATGAAAGTTTTTACTTGTTATGGTTGGAAACTTATTGCTTATTTAGGAGAACAAGAGATTCATTGAACTCCATTTACTATTTAATTAATATAAAAAATTATTCCATTCACATTTTTGAAGTAAAAATTCTTTATATATAGAGATGAATGAAATCATGACGTGGCTGTGGATAATATAAGAATGGATTTTAAAAATGGTGATATTAAATGGTAAACATATATATATATAATTAAAATTATGACGTAACTCATGAAAATAAATGATTTCTTATTTTCACCATCTTGTATCATAATTTGACAACCTATTTTCTATTTAAACAGGAAATAATGAAAAATATAAAAATAATATTTTTTCTTGCAGGAAAAAAGGGCATTGATGGGGTAACATCTTGCCACGTGGCAATAGCCCGACGCATCAGGGCATTGATGTGGGGGAGAGGGAAAGAAGGATTCCGTCCTTTTCCCACGGGTGAAGGAGGCATCTAATAATCCCACGAACCAAACGAGTCGTAAAGGGGCGGGAATGGATATTCCCATCTTTTCCTACACGGAAAGAGGAGGACGTGGAAATCCTCCAACCAAACGCTCCGTAGAGGAGACGGAAAGTCGATACCCACAAAGTCTTGCGTTGGAATAAGATATTCCTGTGAACCAACCTACCTGATTCCGTCGGAAAGCGCGGATTTCCAAATCCTTCGAGAGGCATCCCGTCCCCACCGTTCCCGCCGGCAACTTCGACGGACGGCCACTTCCCGGAATTCCGGCGAAAATAAGCCGACACTGATTCGGCGCCGCCGCCGGTTCCATTAGTGGCGGCGGCGGGGAATTCCACCTCCGACTTTCTCGAGGGAGAATTTATTGTCGGCGGAGGTCAGAGAGAGAGAGAGCGAGAGAGAGAGAGAGAGAGAGAGAGAGAGCGAGAGAGAGAGAGAGAGAGAGAGAGCGAGAGAGAGAGAGAGAGAGAGAGAGAGCGAGAGAGAGAGGAGCTTAAAAGAGAGTTTAAATATTGGAGGGGGTTTTCGTGTATTTGGCCATAAAAGTTGAGAAGAGAGAGAAAGAGAGAGTGGGTTAAAAGAGGTTTTTGAAAATTGGAGGGGTTTCGTGTATTTTATCATCATAGTAGAGGAGAAGAGAGAGAGGCCCTTAAAAGAGGTTTTAAAAGTTTGATGGGTTTTTTGTGTATTTGACCATCAAAGTTGAGAACAGAGAGGGACTTAAAATAATTTTAAAACATTGGAGGGGGCTTTCGTATATTTGACATCGCGGTTGAGGAGGAGATAGAGAAGGGCTTAAAAGAAGTTTTAGAAATTGGAGGGGCTTTTGTGTATTTGACCGGTCAAAGTTTTGACAGAATGGAAAAGAGGAAGGTGAGGGGAAGGTGGATACTTCTAGAAGGGACCCTTTTAAACATTTTCCACTCCCGCTTTCGGGGGTTCAACTCTAATAATATTAATTTTGAGGTCTTTTCAAACATTGACTAATATAAGTCAATGAAGGAGCAGGAAGAAGGTGAAAAGAGAATGGGAAAGAAAGTGAAGTGTAGAAGAGGGTTCTTCTAGAAGTGTTAAAAAAATCGAGGATGTTTCCGTAAAATCGACATCTGCTACTCTATAAATATTTAAACTTTAATATTAAAAAACATTAACTCCATTGAACAAGTATGAAATAGGTAGGGGATTTATTTCCGAAAGTTTTTTGGTTGACCAACCAGTTTCTGCCACGTCATTCAAGTCCAGTCAACGCAGGCAGCCTCGTTTTTGTTAAAAAAAGAAAAAAAAAAGCTGACCTTGCGAAGTCAGGGCGGCCTCACCTTGGTAACCGCATAGGCTGGTACATTTATTATATCAGATCCTTATCGGGTATATTTAACCACTTCTTTTTCTCATATCGGATCAAGCTAATACATTATATTATAGATAATAAAGCTTTAAACATATGCTTTAAATAATGATTAATTTCAGTGATTAAACATTATTTAAAGCATGTGTTTGAGTAATTAAATCATTATAATTACTTATTGAATTTAACCACATAAATTAAATTTAAATAAATAAAGCTAATTACGATTCGTACGAAGTCTATCAACCAAGATGTATTTTATTTAATCTATTTTTTTTCTTATGTTAAAGTAAAAATGATATATTTTTGGTAAATTTTATCTGAATATTTTGTATTATAAAGTAATATCTTATATTAAATGGAAATAAATATTTTACAAGGCTCGATATGCTTCGCGGCACAAAATATTATTTAATATTTTTTTCTAGTAAGACATATAGAATTAATGCACTATTAATTCAAGTCTCAACCCACCTGAGTTCTACCCCCTCTGTCTCCCTCTCTCTCTGTCTGTCTGTCTCTCTCTCTCTCTCCGGACTGTTCGTCTTCCACTTGTCATAATCGAAAGCTTTCACCACCGCAACTGCCATTAAAACCCCAAGGCCGGCTCTGTACCGCCAGAGGGACGCTCGTCTTCTCTCTCTCTCTCTCTCTCTCTTCATTCCTTCCTGCCGTGGAAGTTTCAGACGCTGGAGAAGGGGAAAAGCTCCGGGAAATGGTGGTCGTAAGGTGGGGCAATGGCGGCGGCGACTGCTCCCCTCGATGGGGTGTATCCGTCGTCGTCGCCGCCGTCCTGGTGGCCGTTGGCTCTGCCCTCGCCGGAGCTGACGCCGGAGAGGTGACCGTTGCGGGGGCGCTTCCTCGGATTCTCCACGCCCACGTTGGGAAGGTCCACCGTCCCCGGCCACCACATTTTAGCCCGCCGAAGATCGCCACCGACGGAGGTCTCTTGCTGCCGCCGGTGAGACTTCCTCATCCTCCTCCCTCGTTCTTGCCCACCCACAAGCTTAAGCATTCAGTGCTCTCTCTCTGTCTCTCCCATTCCTTCTCTCTCTCTATCTCTCTTTCTCTCTCTTATTCCTCTCTCAGTCTCTAGCTCATTCCTTCTCTCTCGGTCTCTCATTCCTTCTCTCGCTCTCTCTCTCTCTCTCATTCTGTCTCTATATCTTTCCTTTTCTCTCTCTCTTTCCTCCTCTCTTCCTCTCTCTTATTCCTTCTCTCCCCTTTTCTCTCATTCCTCTCTCAGTCTCTATCTCATTCCTTCTCTCCGTCTCTGTCGTTGTCTCTGTCTCTCTCTCTCTCTTATTCCTTCTATCTCTATCTCTATATCTTTCTCTGGCTAGCTACGTTAATAACGCAAAGCTTTGTCGCAGGTCTCGCCGGCGGGGACAAGCCGGCCGTCGAGGGTCTTCCACGTCACCGAGTTTGGAGCCGATCCTACCGGCACGAAAGATTCGACTCAGGCGATCTCCGACGCCGTCGCTGGAGCCATGAAGGCGGCCTCTCCCGGGCGGACCCTCTTCACCGGAATCGCCGACCTGGGCGGTGCCGAGATCCACCTCGACGGCGGAGTGTACATCCTCCGCCGTCCTTTACGCTTACCCCCCAGTATCGGTAACCTTAAGGTACCCTCAACCGCGCTCCACCCATTTCTGAGCACGTCTTATTTCCTGTTAGACTCTATTTTTTAAATATATAACGTTGTAATTTCTCATTTTTTTATTAATTCACCCTTTTTCATGCAGAGTTCTCGATAGACGTTATTCTACCAAAATCATTTTTTTTAGCCTAATTTACGGATTTATTTTGGCGTCATAATTCGGTCAGATCTCTCACAGACTATTTTTTTTTACATTAGAATATTGAAATTATAAATAAATTATTATTCCAGAGACTACCCATTTTTCCTGGAGATTTCCCAATTGATGGTATTCTACCAAAATCAATTTTTTAACACAATTTTACGTTTTTTTGTGGCGAGATAACTCGATTGGATTATTTATAATTTATTTTAGAAAATATGGACCACCCATTTTTTCCACCAAGATCACATGTTTAGCATGAGTTTACGGATGCTTTTTCTTTTTTGTGGCGATATAATTCGATCAGATTACTTTGAAATTATTTTCTAAAATATATTTTTTTATTCCAGAGAACACCCATATTTTCTGAGGTTATTTTACCAAGATCATAAAATTTAACATAATTTACGGATTTTTTTAATTTTTTTTGGCGACATAATTCGATCAGATTACTTGGAGGCTATTTTTTTTTAAAGTATAACGTTGAAATTATAAATAAATTATTACCCATTTTTCCTGGAGAGTTGTTAATAGATGTTATTCCTCCAAAATCAATTTTTAATTTACGGATTTTTTTTCCTTTTCGTGTGGCGACATGATTCGATCTTCAGATTCACGGCGGGTCGCTGGTGGCGGCCGACGACTTCCCGGCGGAGGGCTACCTGATCGAGCTCTCCGCCGCCGCAACGAACACCTCCTCGTCCCAGCTCAACTACGAGTACATCACCCTCAGGGACCTTGTCCTCGACGCCAACTACCGCGGCGGAGGCGCCGCCATCGTCAACTCTCTCCGCACCACCGTCGACAACTGCTACGTCATCCACTTCGCCACCGACGGCGTCCTCGTCCGCGGCGGCCACGAGACCTTCATCCGCAGCTCCTTCCTCGGCCAGCACATCACCGCCGGCGGCGACCCGGCGGAGAAGGACTTCTCCGGCGTCGCCATCAACCTCGCCGGCAACGATAACGCCGTCACCGACGTGGCCATCTTCTCTGCCGCCACCGGGGTTCTGGTTACCGGACAAGCCAACATTCTCACCGGCGTCCACTGCTACAACAAGGCTACCGGCTTTGGCGGTGTCGGTATCCATCTCCGCCTCCCGGGGTTGACCCAGACGAGGATCATCGGCTGCTACCTCGACTTCACCGGCATCGTCGCCGAGGACCCGGTGGAGCTGCTGGTGGCGGGCTCCTTCTTTCTCGGAGACGCGAACATCGTCCTCCGCTCGGTCAACGGGGTAGTTTCCGGGGTCAACGTCGTGGACAACATGTTCTCCGGCAGCGGGAAGGGGGTGGAGATTGTTCGGCTGGATGAGTCAACGCGGAGGTTCACGGCGGTGGAGCAGGTGGTGGTGGGAAGGAACGCCGTCGTGGGGATGAAGGAGAGGGCGACCTTCGCCAAGGGCGTCGCCAGTGGGGAGGGGAGATCATGGGTCGTTGATTTCTCGTCGCTGCTGCTCTTCCCGGACAGGATTGAGAGCTTGCAGTACACGCTGGCCGTCACCGGGGGTGCCGCCGATGCTCCGCCGCCAGTGCCGTTCACCGCGCACGGCGTGCGCAACGTCTCCGGCAACCGGGTAGTGGTGGAGTCGCAGGTGCCCGTCTCCGCCACGGTCTACGCGTCCGTCGATCAGTTCCTCGGGGCCTCGGGGTGACGGCGGAGCCGCCATTTGAACATACAAGAGTCAACCGCCTGCGGCTTCTCTACATGCCGACAAGATCCCACGACCCCCCCTTGACTGGAGAACTTCTAGATTCGAAGACGTGGTGGGGGACTGAATGCCCATCGAAGATGTAGATTACCAGATATGGGGATGGCTTTTACTCCGCTCCAGTTCATCAAAACACAGAAAAAGACGAGGACTTCGCAGTTTTTTTGGAGGAATATCACGCCTGCCATTTACTTTGACTTTCAATCTGATCAATAGGTACATATATGTAGACAAGTGAATTTTGTGTTCCTGGTCTTTAGGGTTTGTAGTGGATAAGTAGTCTCTGACCTGATACCTAAGAATGCTAGGCTGAAGTTGGGATGCTTGGTTGACTTTAGGTTTTGAGAAAGCACAATATGAAGGCTAGGAGATTATTGCATCTCTTTTCATTCATTTTTTTTTGTTTAGGTGGTAAATTGACCACCTAACTTTGGAAAATATTGTTCAAATGTTGGCACTAAGAAATAGTTATATTATTTTTATAAAAATAGATGATGAATTTATTTCAAGCGTCATGTAAATAGGGAGATCATAGTCTCAACTTTGCTCAATCCCATAAAATGCGTAGACCCTAAGGAGTTTTGATTATCTTTCTAGAATGATGAAATAGTTATACTCCTTGGAGTTATTATATTAGGTCTAAGTTGAATACTGGTGATGCATTCAAGGAGAGGACAAAAATATCCCAAAAAACTTGATAGATTTTTGGCTTGCGAGTTGACCAGTCTTGATTGTCTTTCTAGAATGATAGTTATCTATAAAACTTAAATTTAAAGTTAAAAAAATGGAAATATGAATACAATGCTACTTTCAAAATTAAATAAATGGTCAATAAAATCCAATGGGAAAATAAACAATAAAAACTTTAAATGAATTAAATTTGGATTTTTGTGAGGGAACATTTAGAAAAGTTGACTATTTTCTCCTTATTCTCACCCTCCTATCAACAAAAGTTGACCCTTTTCATGTTCCAAGCTAATTCCAACTGGCTCAAAGCTAAAGTTGCCCTGATCCCATAAAGATTGACACCCACTAGAAAAAAAATTTATATCTTGTAAACTAGTGCACATTATATGCATTTCAAGTAATTAAATAAAATTTAAATTATAATTAGAAGAATATCACCTAATTTTAGGAATGAATGGGTCTATTCTTTCTTGATAATTTAGGTTTTTTCTATTTAGTTATTTTTAAATTTAATATTTTACGAGTTCGTGGCTAAGCAAATTATCCCTTATTTAAATGAATTAAATTGAAACTTAGATGAATAACATATACTAACCCAAGTTGCTTCATTAGTGAGCTAAAAGTGGTTATATGTTGGCATGGAGTCCCATGCAAGCATTTGATAATAAACTTTTTTAAAATTATTCTCAAGGTGTATTAATTACCAGGCCATATTTTGAAATCATATTAAATTAGGAATGCCCACTACTCGATGCGTACTCGCCACGTCACATGACCATGTGGAATGCCACGCAGGCGCCTCTGCCCGTCACCTAAATCAAGTTTAGCTGAGCCACACACCGTAGGTGAGCGTACTCTCTCAGTCACCGCTCACCGCCCTAACGCCTGTTGTCACGCGTTGGTCAAGCGAGGGGTCTCGCAGGTCTCCCCGCATGGAGGCTCTAAGGCTCTCCATCATCCTCTACCTCTCGCCGACGCTATGAGAAGCCCACCCACCACCCAGAAAAGGAAAACCTAAGAAAAACCTCCTCTGGAGTCCCTGCCCCAGGCTCATATCCTATTCGACCTGTGCTCACCCGGCGATCGATTTCAGGAACCCAGTTGGCCTTTCATGACGGGGGGACACCTTGCGGCGGTGGTGGTTCTCTTCACGGTTCTAGTGATCCCTTTTCTGGCCTCCGCCGGCGACGAGAACACTGGGGACGCCGCCGGCGGCGAGAGCACGGCGGCGCTGAGGCTGAAACTAGTGGCAGTGGCGTCCATCCTCGCCGCTGGCGGGTTGGGCGTGCTGATTCCCGTTCTGGGCAAGTGGGTTTCTGCGCTCCACCCCGAGAGGAATGGCTTCCTTCTCCTGAAAGCCTTCGCCGGAGGGGTGATCCTGGCGACGGCACTGGTTCATATCCTGCCGGCGGCCTTCCACGGCTTGGCTTCTCCCTGCCTCGCGGAGACGCCATGGCGGCGCTTCCCCTTCGCCGGATTCGTATCCATGGTGGCGTCCCTGGCGGCGCTGGTGGTGGATAGCTACGCCACCGGGTACTACCGGCGGTTCCACATTAGCAAGGTGCGCCGACTCGCCGGCGGCGCCGCCGGCGCGGATGAGAGCGGGGAGGAGCAGTCCTCGCGCAGTCACGGCGGAGGTGAGCCGCCGCCGCCCGGCGAGGAAGAGAACGCCGCTTCGCAGGACGCCCGTCGTCGCATCGTCTCCCATGTGAGAAGAATCCCTGGGCTTATCCACCTCTACCGACGGACCAAGCTCTGAAGCTCTCTCACCTTGCTCAAAACCTGCTTCCACAGAGTCGTCATCTTCGTCTTCCTCCTCGATCCATTGAGTCCTCCCGGCCGCCAATGAATCCTGTCTGCGGGAAGAACGGGAACCATTCAAAGCTTCCTGGTTCAAACCCCCCACCGTTCACATTACCGTCTTCCTGAAACAAAACATTTCCACAAATGGCAGACGAGACTAGAGAGAAGAAATCTCTCTAGCGGCCATCAAGATCGGATATTTTTAGTGATCTGAGAGGTGGGTCGGTGACCACTGTTGAGTTCCCTCAGGTGCTGGAGCTGGGCATCGTGGTGCACTCCGTGATCATAGGCGTCACCTTGGGAGCCTCCGTTCATCCAACAACTATCAAGCCTCTCCTGGTTGCCCTCAGCTTTCACCAGTTCTTTGAAGGAATCGGCCTCGGCGGCTGTCTTCTCCAGGTAAGCCAGTCATCCCCGCCTCTCCACCTCCTCGTCACCTTTTTAACTAACGTGCACCAACATGCACATGACTGCACCTTCCTCAAGTCCTTCACCGAGTGCAGCTTTCTAAATAGTATATACATCACATAATAAGTGAGTCTACGTACGTACATAAGCTAGGGGGTCTATGTGAACATTAATACATCATTCATTCATACATCCATGGATAGCGATACTATGTATGGTTCATTGCCCCTCTACAAGACGTGTACTTTATTAAGCAAAATACGATATGAACCCATTACTTACATCCCATGTTCAAGCTGGTCTATACTCGCTGACTTTGATCGGATAATCAATGAGTACACCATGTTTTTTCTTCATCGAACTAGATATTGGTTGACAATTGTTCCTTGAAAATGGTGATACTGAGGTTTGCATTCGAATGGTCAACGCTCAATGGAACTGAACACGATATGCACCCATCACTTGCATCCTATAGTTGACTTCGATTGTGTAATCAATGCGAACACCCTCTTTTTCTTCAACGAACAAGGTAGTGGCTGACAATTGTCCCTTAAAAATGGTGATAATGAGGTTTCCATTCGAATGGTCGACGCTAAATTGGAATTTTTTAAAAGAATATCTGGAGTTTAGATGGTGAAATGTACTGGGTGCCGGTTGAAGATTATACTCTGCATGAGAGAATGCGTTAGAAAATGTCTCCCCAGTCTTTCCTCTCTCTCTCTCTCTCTCTCTCTCTCTCCTCCATGCTTCTTCGGTGCAAGAAACCGAATGCCCTACGTTCATCTCCCCTTTCTTATTGGCGAGCTTTCTGATCACAGGCCAAGTTCAAGACCAGGACGATGACGACCATGGCGATGATCTTCTCCCTGACCACGCCGGCAGGCATCGCGGTGGGTCTGGGGATATCCTCCCGGTACGACCCCGGCGGCGGCGCCGCCCTCACGGTGGAGGGGCTCCTCAGCGCCGCCTCCGCCGGTATTCTTATTTACGTCTCCCTCGTTGACCTCCTGGCGGCGGACTTCATGAGCTCAAAGCTACTGAACAATCCCCCGCTCCAGCTCTCCGCCTACATCTCCCTCTTCCTCGGCGCAGGCTTCATGTCTCTTCTGGCAAGGTGGACCTGAAAGTGGGACGTCCTCGCCGCGGCGGCCGCCACCCTCCGCCGACGTCCACGGCGGAGCAGGCTCAATGAAGACCCACTCTGCCGGTCGTCTTCAAGCTCCGGAGGCTACCACCACGGCTCCATTACCTTCTTCTCAAGGCCTCTGGAAAGAACCGACGACGCCTTATGGGGGGGAATTTCAACGGGTGTCTACCCGCAACGCCCCCAAAAGCTGTTGACCAGCTGATTTTCAGCGGTCAACTCGTCGTCTCTCCTCGTGGGAGTAAATAAAAATCTAGGGTATAAAAGATTGAGGATATTTTGAGACAGTTGTCTAGGGTTCTTCACTATATAAGGGGTGTTAGAGGTGAATGAAGAGTGAGACAGTTGTTTCCTCTATCCTCCATACCAAAGGGAGGTTACTCTCCCTGTTCCTTTGAATTTCTATAACTATCTTGACAGATTTCAAAAGAATAAGATCTTTGTGAGTGCTGCTCACTTTGGTAAACTAGAAGGGTCAACTCTAGTGGTGCTAGTAAGTGACAACAATGAATCAAGGTGATACTAAAAGGTTTTATTTCTTAAAATGTGGAATCAAAGACGATATATAGACCAACATCAGAATATTTGAGATGCTATGTGCAGTGTGTATACAAGTGTGCTTGTATGTTGATGCATAGAATACCAATTCAAAGATGACAACCTAACACTCTTCATAGTAATAATTTATAAGAATATAAGGCACATATCTCATTTATAGAGCCATAATGTCTAGGCTGCTTGATGCGTTCAGTGACTACCACATTTTCCTAATAAGGATGAGAGTGGGCAGGGGGAATGAAGGGGGTAGCAGGATGATAAGAGAGATGGACAACTAAAAATAGAAGTCAGACTGTGTTAATGATAAGCTGACAACTATTCCTTGACCAATTGGCAGTGGTAGCACATCCAAGGTTTTCAAAATTTCTTGGCTGAAAAAAGCCACAGCCCTCAGGTACTAATGGGGATGAATATCGTAACATTATCAACTGATATAGTTTTCCTGTAGATCAGTGACCTGCACTAGTCTTATAAGTGACTAAGAATAAAGTTGGATAAATAATAAAAAAATGCAACTAGGCCTGCATATTTCTAAAATTACAAAAAAAAAAACATTATACTGTGCTTATGAAATGACGTAAATCAAGTAGAAGAATTCGATGCAAGGACAATAATTCCCAGAAAAAGGTAATCCTCATGTATTCAATTTGCTTCATCTTCGATTCAATGGGTCAATCATGATAGTGATTAAAGGTATGAATGATATTAAACCTAATAAAACAGCATTTTATACCTTTTATTCTGTTTGATTATGATAATTGAGTTATATCTTTCAACAACGTACAGATGATGATGATGGATGAGGGTTCGTTTCTAATCCACTTTGTTGCGATCTTGGACATAATCATCTCTCTTCGTTGTTACAGGCTTGCTGATGCTGGCTTTGGCATCTGCTAGGAAAGCTGGGTCTGGCTGAGGCTGACTGGTTGAGGGCTCCTTCATAGCCATGATAATATAGAACACAATCACCAAATTGACAGATAGAACAGCCAGGAATCCGCTCAAAAGAGTCTGTGATGACGATGAAAGTTCGCTGGATCCTGTTATGAGAAAAGAAACTTTCTCATTAATAGAAAGATAGTAGAAGAAGATGTCAGAGCAAAATAAGCAAGTAAATAACAGGTGTTCTGACTGTGAAAGGCCTGGGGAGAGAAATCAGAGAGAGCCTAGAATGCAGATAGGATAGTTGTAGAATTGGATAATCAAGATCTTGATTAGTCGGTGGTCTGGTACAGACTGTGATCTGGGCTGGCAGCTGCTGATCACATTTCGAGAACCATTCTGACCTCCCAGGAGTGTATATATATATATATCTATATATATATATGGAGAGAGCGAGCGAGTGTGTGTGTGTGTGTGTGAGAGAGAGAGAGAGAGAGAGAGAGATGCACACACATGTGAATATTTTGGAAATAAAGGAGCATAAATTAAGCCAAATTTTGATACGTGAATTTGAACAAAGAGGGAACTAAGATCGGCTAATTTTTTCTTCAGGAATTCTTACATTTCCTTGCAATTAGTTGCATTGGCTCTAAGAGGGAACTCAAAAGACTCTATGAGTATAGAATAGAAGTATGGTATAGAACAGCCTAAATTATCTATGGAGATAATGACTCCGTGCATCTCCAGTATAGTACAGCATTATAAGTCTAGGACATTTAAACTCTGAATAAATTCCTTTATATAAGCCCTTGCCGTTCCTAATAAATCCCCATAGAATTTTAAGCCTCAGATTAGTGTGTCCCTTGTAAACACACAGTATTCAATGTTAGTCCGCTCAGGTCTGTTGAATTTACCAAAATGAGCAGGACTACCCAGCTTGGGCTAGAAAGGTGGGGAATGTGGGGAAATGGAGCAGTGAATGTTGAGATGAGGAGAGGGAAGGTTACATAAGACTGCTGGAGTAGCCCACTTGGTGTGTGGTGTATAAAAGCCCAAAAACTAAGAGATGCCAATTGATCAATGCAGCAACTTAACAAGCTACCACAATTGGTATAAAAGAAAAAAAAACAACGCATATACCTTCAAATTAGGCATATTTTTCTTTAGTAAAAACAGTAAAAGCTCACAAATGAAATAAAAAAAACTGAAAGAGAAAAACATATTTTTAGTCTTCCTGTGTTTTGTAGAAATAAGAAGCCATATAGAATCACGAAGATATACTGAAGATATAGAAATGGAAAGTTTCTTTGATATTATAATTAAAAACCATTAATATGAAGTTTTCTAAGCAATCATATACGTTTAGTGACTGACAAAAAGATGAGCCAAAAAAGTACATGAAACAGTGTGCTACCTGGTAGAATTTTATGATTGAAGGCATATAGAATTGCAACAGGTGCCATCCACATGGCTGCTGACGCAAAGAAAAATTTCCATATTACCCCTGACATTGCTTACCGTGATCTACAAAAACAAAGCACAAACACTGAATCAATTTGAAGCTTTCTTGCTTCCTCAGCTGAATATCAGATAATTGAAATTATATCCGCCGGCATATAAATTGGGGACTCAATCTGAGGTGATCATATTTCTCATTTAAAAATTTAGATATAAAACCCATGAGGATACTGAAAAAGTGTTGAAGCCTGGGGAGCCAAGATTGTCTCTGGTAGAGACAATATGCATAACCAAAGATTTTAAAATATATACTTGCGAGGCAGCACACTATTCTCACGGGATCTTTTTTCTAAGTTTCTTGTGATGAGAATTTTTCTTACTATCCCATCCTAAAAAATTGTGTTTCACAAATAATAGCAGATGATATTCCAAACCCACGATCAATTTTTCTGCTGCGGCCGTCGCCCCGGCGTCGCGCCGTCCACTGCCGTCGTCACGTCGCTTGCTCCCGCCGTCGCCACGCTGCTGTCGCCACACAGCCGCCGTCGCGCGGTCAACTGCTGCCCACCGTCGTCGACACACCGTCTGCCTTCTGCCGCCGGCCTGCTGTGTCACCCAACAGGCCTCCACGAACAGGGGAGCAATCCGTGCCCTAGCTCCAGCCGCCGGCCTGCTGTGGCATCTAACAGGGCTCCACGAAGAGAGGAGCAGTCCGTGTTCATTCTCTCTTCGGTTTAACCACCCCTCCTACTTAATGGGCTTTCGTCATGAGTCTGTTGTGACTAGCCCATTAGTTTTTGGCTGCGAAAAAAGGAAAAGAAAAGCCACCAAAAAATTTACTCCCTAGGCCATGCTTTACATATTGCATTAAATTCTAATCAAAAGATAAAAATAGAATTTTCTCAAGGTAGTGAATTTAATCAGAAATTTATGAAATGACATAAAAAGACTGTTTTTATGTTTTTATTTCTATTTCATTAACTTTGGTTATCTTAAAAAATTGACACACTGACACTTGCCATATAGGAAGACCCAGTAGTGTTAATTCATTTTCAATAGAATCTTTCAAGGAACAAGGAATCCTAAGGAGACAAGGATGATAATATCTCAAATAGTAAGAAAAATTTAATTAGAAAATTGAAAAAAAAAAGAAAGAGAAGAGCTTCATAGATCATTGGAGCTGATTTTCAACATGCTTAAAAAATAAATGCTGCATTAGCTTCTCCAAAGCTTTAAAGAGTTGAGATATCTAATGATTTCACATATAATATTATCAAATGATGCTCAGTTGGCTTACTTGATTCTAGAGAATATTTTCTATTAGTTCCTCTATATGGATGTAGAATGGTGAGCTCACGAGCGATGGTGCGTCGACAGACCCCCCAAGCACCCTCTCAACTGATTCATTGAAATGAACTGAAAAAATCACTTCAAAGATTCTATTATTGTTATTGATGCTAGATAAAGATTCATGCAGTTAACATCTCAAACTTAGTTGAGATCCACTCAGATTCTTCGGCCCAAAAATGGTATGAATATTACTCATCCAAATGAAACATAGAATCATTGTGATTTCTAGTCCTAGAATTATTGAAGTGGCACCATGATGATAGAATCTACTACCACAATTATTTCTAGAAAAAATCCATTTAACATGAAAAATAAAAAAATATTATTACGAAAAAAATCACATAAACCATAAAATTGAAACTTGATTGGCCCATTCTTCCATGATTGACCTATCCACAACCCCATTTCATGAGTAGAGGAAGGCATGTACCTTAAACTAAGGCCTCATTGATAACATAAATCTATACAGTGGCACCTAGAAAAAAAATATACTAAATGGAGATGAGAAATCAAGAGGAAAATGAGATATGAATCTAAAACAGTGAGAGAGAGGGAGTAGCTTGAGGAAGGAGATAACGTCTCAAATTGGCATTATCATTGACATCATTGAGCATTCTATTATTGTGCCTTATGCTAGATAAAGATCCATGTAGTTAACATCTCAAACTCAATTGTGATCCACTCGGATTCTTCAACACAAAAATGATATAATATTACCCATCCAAAATGAAATATATCATCCTTGTGATTTACAAAGCGGCACCAACAATGAAATCTAGAAAAAAATAAAATTAAACATGAAAAATAAAACTAATGATCACGAAAAAATCATGGAAACCAGATAAATTAGAACTCAATCGGCTCGTTCTTCCATGATTGACCTATCAACAACCAAATTTTGTGAGCGGAGGAATGCTTGTACCTTAAAGTAAGGCCTCATCTAGACCTTGCTGATAAGAGAAATCTAAGGGGCCTTGAGAGAAGATATATGGGAATCAAGAGGAAAGTGATATGTGAATCAAAAACAATGAGAGGGAGGGAGTAACCTAAGCAAGAAGGAGTTAACATCTCAAAGTGACATTGCTGTTGACATTATTGAACATTCTATTGTTGTACCTAATGCTAGATAAGGATGTATATAGTTAGCATCTCAAACTTAGTTGAGATCTACTCAGATTCTTCAACCCAAACATGATCTAAATATTTCTCATCCAAAATGAAACATAGCATTATTGTAATTTTTAGTAGCACAATTACTGAAGTGCCACTAATGATGAAATCTAAAAAAAAAAATATTAAACATGAAAAAAAAAAAATTACAAAAAAAAAGCAAAGAAACCATAAAAATTGAAACTCAATCAGCTCATCATTTCATGAGTGACCTATCTACAACCCCATTTCATGAGCTGAGGAAGGCATGATGTATCTTAAACTAAGGCCTCATTTAGATCTAGGCCTTGTTGATAACATAAATCTATACAGGGACCTCAAGAGAAGATATACAAGATGGAGATGAGAAATTAGTAGGGAAAATTGAGATATGAATCGAAAATGATGAGAGAGAGAGGAGTAGCTTGAGGAAGAAAGAGTTGGTCCTGCACTTGAGAAGACCAAAGCTCTCTTCTAGCAGCAGAAACCTGATCCAAACCTCGAGACAGAGCAACCACTCTTTCTCAAGCTAATTTTCATTCATATTTAATGCCTCAATAAAGTATTTATATTTGAAATAGAAGCAATAGTACTATTATTATATTTATATCCACACAAAAAATATATAATATCTTCATTCCCTTACTACCTCTTTGAGAAAATAAATCACAATTAAGAGATTTTCACCACAAGAAAATTACCATCAGTTCATAGTTTAGTTTCCACTATTAGTCCTTGGTTAAGCCGACAATTTAATCCAAACCCTTGACTTTATAATATTTTTTTAAAAGGTAGAAAAGTAAAGGCACACTCTATAAACTGCTAGACAATGTATCAATATCTCCTCAATAATCTTAAGCTAGTTTGACCCATTTTTGCAAATATTTTTGGCCATAAAAATTATCATTTTTGCCTTGGATTTAAACATATGCCCCCATGCCCCATGTAATGGCCATAAATGCATAGATATGGCAATGAGGTAATTGAAATTATTTGGGCTAAAATTACTTCTAGAGCTGATTATAAGGTCATAATTTTGGTAGATATGCAGATATAAGGATTTTGAGAAAACAAAAATTATGCGCGGGGGTAAAAAATAAATATCTTATAAGGGGCGGAAGAAACTTGAATGGAAAATAAATGATGAATTTAGTCCTTTAAATAAAAATAAGTTGGGGAAAAGCCTTAGGACTCTTGGTTTTAGACAGGCGGTGTGTATGTGGCTGACTCGGCCGAGTGAGCTCGGAGTCGGGACGGCGGGTCAACTCGGTCGTCTTGCCCTTAAACCCCTACACTGAACCCGCGAGGTCTCCTCTCTGCTCAGCTTCTGCTGCCGCTCCTCTGCCGCCGGCCCCCCAAAACTAGCCGTTGCGGCGGCGGCGGCCGTCCTCCTTGCCAGAGAGAGACAGGCCCGCTTGGTGGTGCTGGAGTGAGATGAGCGGCGTCGCAAGAGCTTTGAGGCTCCTCAGTGGTTCCACTCCCTTCTCTGCCCTGTCCCCTGCAGCCTCTTCATCGGGCACCAATTTGGCCGGCAGTGCCGCTCGCCTTCTCCTTCCTGCATACTCCTTTAGATTCTACTCCGCCCTGCCGGAGGGGGTCCCTGGTGCTGCAGGCGCAGCGGCCAACACCACGACCGATGATGATGAATCCGATGAAGGAACCTCCTCCACCGCCGACTTCGACGCCAGGGACTATTCCCTGCCCTTCTCTTCCGCTGCTTCTACCTCTGAGGCGTCGCCTCGCGAGCCGCTCTGGGACAGGGCCTACAGGGATAAGGCTGATCGGGTTCTATTCGGTGGGTGCCAACCTGTCCGGGAGCAGGGAGATCTTGTGGAGGACGAGAGGAAGGACGAGGTGATGGACGAGAGGAAGAGGAGGCTTGCGAGGGCGCTGCTGGAGGCAGCTTTGATGAAACCGGACGAGGAGGAGGAGGAGAGTGGGGCCGTGAAAGAGGAGGATCAACGGTCATTGTCTGTGGGGATCATCGGGGCGCCCAATGCCGGAAAGTCTTCGTTGACGAATTACATGGTCAGTAGATTGCTCTATTGTCATATAAAGGTTTTTTCGCTGCTTTTGTTGATGTTCGATGGCGTACAGAGATTCCATTTACCATTGTCTATCACCATCATCTTCCTCCTAACACATCCTCATATCTTCTTGCACCATTAACCGGGCATCTGGTTGATGTATGGGCAGCTCATGTACATATTCCTAGACAATCAAGGCGTATTATTAAATTGAAATATTAGACGATTGCAAATTGTATATGTACACATTCTTGTACACATTCTTAGACGATTGCTAATTGTATATGTGTAGCGTTCAAGGAGGAGGATCGTTTGGTTTTTGCTCCCGGTGGTTTCATCAATCAAGTTTTGATAACTGGTGGCTCTTTTTCCACTGCATATTAAAGCTAGCAGAAGGTTAAGCATGAAGTTCCTATTGGGATATCCTGAAGTGTTCACCCAATTTACAAACCTTTTCTTCCCCAAATGAGTCATATTAAAAGCTGTTTTATTCTTGCCTTTGTATCCCGAAATAGTTAAGTCAACTATTAAATTTAGCTTTCAAAAAATTTAATTGATGACGTTGACTTCATTTAGGATACCTTTTCCTCTGGGATGTGGATTTGTAATTCCTTAGTCTATCTCCTTGTTGCCAGGGTGGGCCTGTGAACCCAGAATTGTCTGGTGAGAGTTCTTATAGACTGAAAATTATGGTAGGTTTTTGTTTAATATCTTGGCGTCGATGAGCATATGGTCCACTTTCAAGTCTTCAAAGACATTGCACTTGAACCGTATTTATTGGTATATCACTTACATTACATCTTAATACGATTGCCTATGATACTTACGAGTACAATGTGTTGTAACATATACGAATATGCATTTTTCTACCGGTAGACACATAAATTCCCCAAAAGATGGTGCCACTTTGGCTGCTACAATATGTAGACTTTCCATGTCGCTTGTATGTTTGACCCAGATCGTATCACGTAGGACACCAATCGCTGAGACTTAGTTTTCTAGCATGTTAGACATTTCAAATCTGCCCATTACGTTCTGCTCTCCCCCTCTTGTCCAGCTGTCTATACTTCAGAAAATGGTGGGATTTGAACAACTCTAGGGGTCGGTTGAATTAATGTGGGTACCAGGGGTAGCTATATCACTGATCGATACTCAGACGTGGTCAAAGGATGTCTGTTCAAGTGGAAAACTTTATTTAATTGCTTACAACGTGCTGGGTCTCTGGCATGCGTAACTTTCTTCCTCTTTCATGTTAAATTAGTTTATTGCGTTAATGGATTTCTGATTTTGATGACGTGTTCTTTCCCATGTCTTCTTGTTTAGGTTGGAACAAAAGTTTCTGCTGTTTCGAGGAAGACGAATACAACAACTCATGAAGTCCTGGGAGTTATGACCAAAGGGGACACTCAAATTGTAAGCTTTTGTCCGATCTAGTGTTCTCTTGATTGAAAGGTTGGGAAATGGGAATTTTTTTCGCAATAACATTTATGTGATATCTATGATGATAGGTTATTTTATATCGAAATCTTTTCTTTACAATTAGATGATAAATGTGGTCTTTGTAGATTGTCTATGCTAGTTTCTTTTTGTAAAATGTAATGGGTCATTCTTATTAGACTTTCTTATGTCACAGCCCATTTAGTGGACCGTCATCTGGTGGTAATGGGCCAAACATGTCATGGCCCATTACTCTGCCTCTAGGGTTAGGATATGAACCCTAGATCGCCATCAGTAATGAAGATTGAGATTTCCACCATCTACATGGTATCAGAGCTTGGTTAGGGTTTCAAATCCCTCTTTGGTACCGTCTACACTTTCTCGAAAGTGGATATGCTAGGGATGTAAACAGGTATAAGGCAATTTATTTCTATCCCCTCATGATAGAATTTTTTTTGGGAGATTAAGAGAAGAGTCATGAACTTGATTTATTATGAGAAGCCAACAATTGCAGATATGCTAGCCGAATTGAACAGATCAAGAAAGATGCTTCCCTTTTTAGACTCTTATGTATTCCTATGTGTTTGCTAGTTTTGATGAAATTGAAAAATAGATGGATAATGAGTTATTCATCAAATAGTTGATGATTTATTCTTACAACTGCTTGCAAAATGAGTTCTTAATGAAAGGTTTCTCCATGGGCTGTGAATGCTCCTTTAAATCTATACCCTTCCGAGTGCATCTTCCAATTGGAAACCGACATTGTATCTATATTTAGCACTTATCTTAGTTCAAGGGGTCTTATTTTTTAGTTATCCTTGCATGACATCTCTTTACGAAAATACCGTCTATGAAATTGTAGATAATGCGCTATAAATGTGATAAGGTGTCTGCTCGTTATTGGAAATTACCTTTACATAATTCTTGTAATGTTTTTCATTTCCAGTTACCTCCTGCTAATATATTCTCTGTTGATCTGCTCACTAAAATATAATGTACGGGACTATGCCTCTCAAAAAATTGCTACAATTGCTAATTTATTTGATGCATATGCACGCTGTTACTCTTCTATTTTCCAGAAACCAAAGTAACCACTTTGTTGGTATTTACGACGAATTTTTTTGTGAGAAAATAATAGATGTCAGATCACATCATAGTATGGAGGTTTGATTAATGATCTGTATGCCTGTTACCGGGAAGACTATCCAATTGTGTCATTTAGACTATTTCGCCAATAATCCTCCCAACTTGAGTGAAACTTCCATCAAGTGATTCTTCTGGATGAAGCAACATAAGTGGCTCCTAGATTCCGGAAAATATTAAAGCGTAGAGGAAAGTGGCCAAGTAGTCCGAGGGTGGGGAATCTTCTTCAAAAATATGCCCCTCGAAGTGGGTGAAATCCTACAGCAATAAGAGTGAAACAATTAATTACCTTCAAAAAGTACTTTCTTCGTATGATTATTCCATTTATCTCTATAGGAATAAACCACTCTCAGATAATGACATTTGGATGGTAGATGTAATTTCCTGAATATCTGATCAAATATTGTACTAATTCAATTTCTGCAGTGTTTCTTTGATACTCCAGGGCTTATGTTAGGACATCGTGGATATCCTTACAAGAATGATGTCAAACTTCGAGTGGAAAGTGCATGGAAATATATTGACTGCTATGATCTTCTTATTGTGCTTTTTGATGTCCACAGGCATCTTACAGCGTAAAGTTGTTCGAACTTGCTAATAGTTTATGTATTTTCTTTTCCTCAACTCTCTGTTATTTGATGTGTTATTCACCTAGTCATATTCGATTTGTTTCATCATTTGAATCCGTTCAAAGTATAACTTACCGTTGGGGCAAATTATTATCCTGTATATTTCAGTACTATATTTTATGATTTTCTGATTTTCCAGAATATTGTCTAGAATTTTCTTTAAAGAGATGCAAAGAAAAAAGAACAATCAGCTTTCCGAAATGGAACATTACTATATTATGATTTTCCAAAATATTGTCCATTGTACCTGTACCCTCTATATTTCATTACTGTATTATAATTTTCCAAAATATTTCTAGAATTATCTTTAAAGTGATGCAGAAAAAAAAAGAAAGAACAATGAGCTCTCAGAAAAGGAACATTCTAGACAAGCTCAATTTAGCATTCATTTTTGATGGGAAGTGCTATCCTATTATCAGAGGACTATGAAATTAGAAGTCTTATTTTCTCCCACATTGGATAATGCCCTTGCCTACTCAGACTGGGACATGCGTCTTTCTTTTTCAAAAAATTAACAGGATTGTTTTCATCTTTTAAAAAAAAAAACTGGCTGTATTCAAGTACTGGTCTGATTGCATTATCGTTTAAAAGTCCTCAGAATATCCTCAAAATATTCTTTGACAAGGTCAGTATGCCTCATATGGGGTGTTATCAGCTCAAAATATGGGGTCTGGAAGAGTGATTTGGTACATTTCTATAGAAGTTGCTTAGTACTGCCAAGTGTTCTGTTGTCATGTGTTATTATAACTGGGAATCATCACACCTTTCTCCTGAAGGTGGCCTTTATATTTTCTTTGTCATGGTTTTAGCTCTTTTATGGACCGATCCCCTGTTGACTGGTAACATTTTTGTTTGCAGACCAGACAAAAGGGTAACTAAGTTGATTAAACTTCTGGGCGAGAACAAGCAGCCTAAACAGCGAAGAATTCTATGCATGAATAAGGTTGATCTGGTGGAGGACAAGAAAGACTTGTTGAAGGTCGCTAAAGAATTCGGAGATCTTCCAGGATATGAAAGGTACTGACTTTTCCTCATATATTTGCATTTCCTCTTTGAACTTTGCAACAAAGATTGAATGATAGCCGTTTTCTTTCATAGGTATCACTCTCCACAGTTTGTGTCTGAGATTGTTTCCAGAATTAGAAATTAATCTCAGAATGAATGTGGAATGTTATAGCATTACGGGGTGATAGGAAGAGTTTTTTTTTTATGGACATAAAATGGGGCAGTTTCAAGGCTGTGTTAGAGATTATTTCTCAGATTGCCTGAAATGATGGCTCTTTACTTTCATACAGATCATCTCCCTCCCTCATTTTATATCTGGGATTGTTTCCAGAATTAGAAATTAATGTCAGAATGATTGTGGATTTGTCATAGCGTAAAGAGATGATGGGAACGATTTTTTTTGGGAAATAGAAAAAGATGTTGAAAACGTCTGGAGTTCATTCTAAGATAGATGGATCTCGAACCGCTGGTACTATCTTTGCTTCTAATATTTCTTTTCAGAGGGCACTTCCATGAATTCATCCATCCAAGTTCTAAGAATGTTTCTTCAAGCTTCTTCCTCGGATATAACTTTTAGCGCATATATTTTAGGAAGGATGCCATTCAACTGAGTATGATGTTCGCCATTGCTGCTCTTTTGATCTAGAATAATTCAAAAATTAATTTCAGGGCTTTGCCAAGAATTTACAGGAAGTATGCATAATCTCGGTTTTTATTTTCTCCATTTGTGTTGCAGATACTTCATGCTCTCTGGCCTCAAAGGTTCGGGTGTGCGGGACCTCACTCAGTATTTGATGGAGCAGGCATGTTCTTACATTGTTCACTCTTCAATTGCTTCTCTCACATTAAATATTGAATCTCTTGAGTGGTAGGGTAATCATAACAGATATCTATTCCGCAAAGCTAAACGGGTTGTCATCTTAGTATTTTCCTCATATATCTTGATTACTGTGTGCTAGATTTGCTCATCATTCTTCTCCGATAGTCCTGGAATGCACTTTCCATCAGATTGAGAAATTCTCTCAAGCTGCCTGAAAATGTGTTCACCATTTTCAACATAATTGGCCTCAATCCAGAACATGGATCCATATTATTACTTAAATGGGAGCGTAATCTTGGAAGGAGATGCTGAGTCAAGGTGTATGATTAAAATGTTTTTTCTGAATTAATTCTTTTTCCATGGCCATGGATTTTTCTAGCCAATAATTGGGTTTGGGACGTCTCCTTAAATCCTGGTTACGTTCTATGATTTTTCAACGATCCTGCTTCCGTTTCCTACGAAGCTTTTTCTACTCAAACCCTAATCTAGACATTCCTAACACGGAATACCTTCGTTTCGTCGTGTGCAGGCCGTCAGACGACCCTGGGAGGAAGAACGCGCAGTGATGAGTGAAGAACTGATGAAGAGCATCTCTCTGGAGGTGGTCCGAGAGAAGATGCTCCACTACATCCATCAGGTGCTTGATATTTTTTTAATTAATTATTCTGGAAACTATATCAATCCATAAATAATATATAATGCAATATTATGTTTGTTTATATGCTTAATGGATCACTACATCCATCAGGTGCTTGATGTTTTTTTCATGTATCACTCGAGAAACTATATCAATCCATAAGTATATCATTTAATATCATGTTTGTCCAACAGGTGCTTGATATTTTTTTAATTAATCACTTCGGAAACCATATGATCCATAAAAAATATCATTTGATACCATGTTTATATGCTTAATAATGAATCACTACATCCATCAGGTGTTTGATATTTTTTAATTAATCACTTGGGAAACTATATCAATCCATAAATATATCATCTAAGATCATGTTTATATGATAAATGCTTGATGAAACTGCTGCGGTTTCACTACATCCATCAGGTGTTTATATGATACCATGTTTATATGCTTAATAATGAATCACTACATCCATCAGGTGTTTGATATTTTTTAATTAATCACTTGGGAAACTATATCAATCCATAAATATACCATCTAAGATCATGTTCTGGTTGCGGATAGTTTTTGAATTAATCAGTTAGAAAAACCATATGCGTTCGTGAATATATCATTAAATATGATGTTTGTAGATATGATGATGAAGCTGCTGGGGTTGCAGGAGATTCCGTACGTGATTGAGCATCGGCTGATGGATTGGAAGGAGCTGAGGGACGGATCTCTCAGGGTGGAGCAGCATTTCATCACGCCGAAGCAGAGCCAGCGTCAGATTCTCGTCGGAAAGAACGGATCTAAAATTGGGTAACTTTAATTCTTCCCTTTTCGGGTCGATTAATTTTCTGCGGCCCTTTTCTGGTTTTTAGTCCTCTCTCTCTTTCTCTCTCTCTCTCCCCTATTTACTGTCTGCTCTGTTTTCCTGGTTACTTTTTCTCGCTCTCATTTCTCTACTTCCTTCCCCTCCTTTTTTCTCTCTCCTCTCTCTCTCTCTCTCTCTCTCTTTCTCTCTCTCTCTCTCTAATGCCTTCAAACACGCAGAAGAATAGGCATCGAGGCCAACGAAGAGCTGAGGTCCATCTTCAAGAGGGACGTTCATCTCGTTCTTCAGGTCCGAGTCGCTCGGCCCCGTGGCGCATGAAACCAGGTCTGAGTCTCTCTCTCTCTCTCTCTTCCTCTCTTTCTTCTCTCCCACCCTCTCCCTTTCTCACTTTCAACCCCCCCTCTGCGTCTCTCTCTTTCTCTCTCTCTCTCTCTCGCGTTTATGTAGTCCCCCCTATTGGACGGACCTCTTCTCTCTCTTTCTCTCTCTAGGAATGCTATAAGCCTCCCCCTCATTTATTTGCAGAGACGGATTTGATCGAACATTACACAGAAACAAAGGGAAAACGTGCTCTGATACTCCGTCTCTGTACACGAAATGCGATGATTTCAGTGGACTCGCATGGTCGGAGCTCCCGCCCGCCGCCGACGCCGGAGAAGAAGACAACCATAATTCAGTCAGTCAGTCTCCTTACAATCCATAAGTCCGACCTCTCTCTTCCTCTCTCCCTCTCTCCATCCACTACTTGGTATCTCTGTAACAGTTGCGCTCACAAGCCTTCTTAAATCACAAATGGGTCTCTCTCTCTCTCTCTCCCTCTTTCTATTTCTCTCACTAGCTGATGTGTTCTCTGTCTGCGTCGAGCTCCTTCCTTGGCATGCTTGCGGTGGGGGAGGGGGAAGCTGCTATGTAGGAAACACCCATAATTCAGTCGGTCACCCACCCTTACCGTCAGCTCTCTCTCTCTCTCTCTCTCTCTTCTGTGTTCTCTGTCTGCGTCGAGCTCCTTCCTTGGCATGGCGGTGGGGGAGGATGCTGCTATCTAGAAATTACACAAAATTTAGTCACTCGCTCCCATTACAATCCATAAGCCAACCTCTCTCTCTCTCTCTCTCTCTCTCTCTCTCCCCAGTGGGAACCTCTGTAACATTTGCGCTCACCAGCCTTTTTAAATCACAAGTGGGTATCACTCTCTCTCTCCAATGGGCTCCTTGGCATGCTGGTGGTCGTGAGGAGCGGGAGGGAAGCGCGGCGGGGCCGGCTGGAGGAGCCCCACTGCGGCAGAGCAGCTAACCCTGGAAAGGGAACGGCGTCGGCGGAGCCGCCTGGAGCAGCCCCAGGGCGGGGGTGGCTAGGCGGGGCTCGAACGCAAACCCGCGCAGCCCTCCGCCACCGCCGCAGGCGGCGCCATTGCGGAGCAACGGGCACGCCGGCAGCCACCGCCACTCCCTCCGCCGGAGCTCGAACACCAGCACGGCACCGGACCCCCTGATCGTTATCGCCACCGTCCCCCCCTCCCCCACCGCCTCAAACCCCCTCCCCCTCTCCTCCGCCGCGAACTCCTCGTGCACCGCCGCCGGCATCCTCTCCACCTCCGCCCAACCCCCCTCCTTCAACCCCCACACCCTCACGCTCCTCGGCACCGCCAGCTTCCTCTTCTCCACCGCCGCCACCATCGCCACGCCTCCGGCGAGCTCCACCAGGCTCGGGGAACGGAGGAACCTCTTCATGGGGGCCTGCAATTTCTTCCAAACGTCGCCGGCGATGTCGTAGGAGAGCACAGCAAAGGGACTGTGGCTCATGCAGAAGAAGCTGCCGCCGTGGAAGATCATTCGGCCAGAGGGGAGGTTGCAGAGGCGGGGCGGTGGCGCCGCCGGGGCCCCCCACGGGGTGTACCGGCCGCTGAGACCGTCGATGAGGAGGCGCTCGGCGGTGAGGTTCTTGACGGCGAAGGGGGAGATGAGGTCATCACCGGCTAGGAGCACGACGAGGGAGGTCTCGCCGACGGCGAAACCCACGGAGGGGAGAAGGCGGTGGCGGAGGGAGGGGGGCGGCTGCAACGCCAGCCGGGAGAGCGGGTTGCAGAGGAGTAGCGGCTTGGGGCCGGGGCAGAGGGGGAGCCAGCAGAGGAGGCCACCGGAGGAGGCGGCGGGGTAAAAGTCCGGCGGGACGACGGCGTCGAAGGGGAGGCGCCGCCAGCGGAACTCGTCGGGGTCGAAGAGGAGGCCGTGGCGGGGGGGCGGCGCCGCCGCCGCGGGTTCGCCGGAGTAGACGAAGCTCGCCGGGAGGTCGTGCTGGAAGAAGAGGAGCCACCGGCGGCGGGGGGACAGGCGGAGCTGCAGCTCCAGGAAGGCGTCGGAGAAGAGGAGGGCGTACCATCGTCGGCAGACGGCTCTGGCCCGGAAGAAGGCCGCCGGCGGCAGGAAGGCGAGAACTCTCTCCAGGAGCTTCTCCGGCAGCCGCCGCCATATCCTGCTCTCCATCGCCGGCGGCGCCGCCGGGAAGGAGAAGGCGGCGGAGGCCATTGCGGAGCGGCGAGGACAATGGAGGAACTGCCGCCGTCTGCGCTTCTTCTTCTTATATAAGAAGAGGTTACGTAAATCGCCATGTCAGTCGCAGATATGGTACGTCAAGGAGGCTCCTTTATCCTTCCTCCTTTTTCTTCTGCTTCTTCTTCTTCCTCGGAAGTGGTGAGGAGCGGGGCCTTCGATCCATCTACTCACTCTTTGTCGTGCCCTTCTCTGCGGGAGGAAACCCAGTTCATCAGAATTGTTGTACAACCCCTGAATGCTAGAGAGAGAGAGAGGGGAGAGAGAGAGAGAGACAGTGGGGTAAGGACTGTTTTGATCAATCTTCTCACTGTTTAGTTGCGAAGGCCGAGGAGATGGCATTCCATCGGGAGAAGTACAATCTATCAGATTATAGAGAGAGAGAGAGAGAGATAGAGTGTAAGAGAGAGAGAGAAAGAGAGAGAGAACTGACCTTTGAGGGGCTGGGATTACGCACTCCAAAATGGTAATAATGAATGGATTTTATGTCCTGGTCTTTATGATTGCCGTGTAGAAGTTATTTTCATTGCGTGTGTTCTTATGATTGCGTTCGTTGTTTAATAATCATAATTAAAATATCCATACATTGAAAGAGCCCTAGCTTTCAGCATTGCTTCCGCGTTCTTCTCCCTCTCGCTTTATGTTTCCCGGAGGCTGTGTATATAAACACGAACTGCATTTGAGCAGCCCGATTATTTTGTTCGGAGATTCCCAGAGCAAGTAGAACCTCCCCATGTCCGAAAATCTCATTGGAGTCCAGTCCTCCCTCTCTCTCTCTCTCTCTCTCTCTCTCTCTCTCTCTCTTCCTCAATCTCTTTCTCTCCCTCTTCCCCCATCTCTTTCTCTCTGTGTGGATAGAGTTCATAAAGGAAGTCGCTGAGGAATTCCGAAAAGCCAGTTTTTTTTTGAGTGTGAAGACCGAGTATGGTTATTTGAGCCAAAACGTTGATAAAAGTCAAACTGTCGGGCTATCTCTCTCTCATCTGTGTTTTCTCTCTCTACAGGTGCAGTGAGTTGTCTTTTAGAAAGCGAAGAGGATAATTACCAGGGTGGCTGAAGACCATTAGAGCGAGGGGAATTTAACGCTTCCCGCATACGTCCAATCCCCGCCCACCAACCGCCACCACCGCCACCACCGCCGGCGCCGGCGCCACCTCTCCGCCGGCCGGCGGTCCAGGTCATCCTCTCTTGGCCTCGTCGTAGTTGTCAACGAATGCTGCCAACGTGTCGTACCAGCTGGGCCGAAATTAGAGCACACGGCCGGCTGGTCCGGAGCGATGTCGCCGCGGCTCCTCTCTCTCTCTCTCTAAAAACCGGTCTGTCAGGCCATTTGACGACCTCTCTCTCTCTCTAGCTTAGATTAAAAAGCTTTCCTTCTTTCCTGCTCTCTTTCCCTCCAAGGCGTAAAAAGCTGGCCTGTCCGGCTCGGACCTTACCGCCGGCGAGCTTCAACTCCCTCTTTTTCTATCTGTAGCTGCTTCTAAAACAGCACCTCTCTATCTACAAAGGTTGTTTCGGAGGGGGGGTTTTGGCCTCGTCGTCCTCGGACTTGGGGCTTCTGAGTTTCCTTGCTGACAGGCCACGCTTTCCATTTCTGTGATACGTAGCTTTTCTTTCCCCCAGACCATGATGCCGTCTCCCGCTTGACTGATTGGCTTCCGGCTCATGTCAACCTCCGGACCCATCCTCGGAGTGAGAGTGATACTCCTCTCTCTCCTCTCCACCCACTCTTCTGTCTGGTCAAACATGATAAATAAAGAGTAGTAAACACCGAAGCAGGTCCCCTCTCCGCTCTCTTTCTCTTTCCTCCCTCTCTCTCTCTCTCTCTCTCTTTCTCTGTCTGTCTCGTTCCCTCTTTTATTGGTTTACATGGAGCCTGAGATTTATTTGACTACTGCTCAGCGTCTAAGAAGGTCTGATCCGAAACTCCCCGCTCATTTTGCACATTCTCTCGTCACCTATCTATGTCATGAGCATTCGTAGGCCGGTATCTCTCTCTCTCTCTCTCTCTCTCTCTCTCTCTCTCTAATAGGTTCTCACACAGCCACATCTTCATGAGGAATAACTAGTCCTAGAGCCTGACGGCATATCTAGCACAGCAACTCAGTCCCATTTCCCTCGCCGCCAATCTCTCCAACACTCACAGAGACAGAAGCCCATTTCTCTCTCTCTCTCATCTCATTCTCTCCCTGTCTCAAGCTCACGAAGGCCATGGAGTCAGTAAGAACCCAGATAGAGATTTGATAGCTGATTAGAACTGGAAGAGGCTGGGTTATCCGAGTTTAGCCGAGATAATCAAGATAATCAAGATAATCAAGATAATCAAGATAATCAAGTTTGATAAACTCGGATAATTAAAGATACACACGGATATAGTCCCATTAACTTATCTGACCGAAATGATCGAATTGTGGACTCCTGGCCGCTAGACTTCTCTCCGTCGTTACCAAATAACTGAAAACTAAATTGGCGTAAGCTAATCTACGGGGAGCGGGAGAGAGAGAGAGAGCTGTCAAACTGAAAGTTGGATAAATTAGAATCCGGACCCGGGCCAAGGTCAACCAAATTAATACTAACTGTTTACCAGACCGGTGTAAAGGATATGGCCAAGAGCTTCATAAGATCTCTAGTCCCGTATTGATAAATTCGAGAGTAATCGACTTAATGCCAGTTGACTTACAGATGGATCGAACCAAATATAATATTACATATTTTTTGAGTTACTCAAAGCTGAACTAGGGAGCGGCTTTACGTTCTATCGGTTTGTGGGGATTCGAGACCACAAAATTCAGACTCCGGCTGTCGTTGAAAAGTCTTCATTGAACGTGCTCGCAGAGGCAGCCGTACTCCCGCCCATGAAGGCGACAGAGAGGATGTTCATGGGGGGGCACAGCATGAGGCACAGATACCGCAGGAAGAGGCCGATGATGGCCCGGGCGTTGACCAGAGCGTTCAACGGGGGGAGCAGCGGATAAGGGACGAGCGAGGAGCGGCGAGCTTTCCCCGTCGTCGTTGCATTCGATCCCGCTCGCTGCCGATCGCTGTTCATGGCACAATCCCTCTCTATTTCTCTCTCCCCGGGCTACATCGACCTCCTTATGTGGGATTCGCCCACCTATCCTTCATCTTCCTTCCTTTCCTCCTCTGTCTCTCTCTGTGTTGCATTCAATAGGTTGGCCAGTGACCCAGGCATGGATATGGCGGACGCATGCGAGACGAACCTCATTGGCTGTAATAAGGGGTGGTAGTGGAGTAGAGGGAGAGAGACAGATGCGGTAGTTCATGACTGCGTTAGTCATCATAGAAATGGAGAGAGGTGCAGCGTTTCGTTGCTGTACAAGTGAAGAGAGAGAGAGAGAGAGAGAGAGAGAGAGAGAGAGAGAGAGAGAGAGAGAGAGAGAGAGAGAAATCTGTCAGCGTTTTGTACATTGGTCCTCCCACAATTGTCGGCCGGTCGATCCTCAAGACAAGTCAACCGTCCACCGCTCTTTCTTAAGGCAGTTATTTAGAGTCGGACAAACAAAACTGACCAGGACTTCTCAACGGTACCACCACTGCGTAGGGACCCGGTCAAACTCACAACGAGCATAGTTCTGTGTAGAAGGCACACGACAATGGGCTTATTTGAGCCAAGCTTCCTGTTAAACTTGGCTTGCCGATGACTGTTGTAGTTTGGATCTTAATGCATCGCCTTTGGGGTTCTCGGTGGAATGGGTAAGCCCGCAGATTAGCCCAGTTCTAGTTGCTCAAGGTTAATTTAGGATCATGCTTGGGAAGAAGGATAGCCTACACCAAAGATTCCCCCAAACTTGATTTAGGCTTCAGTAGGATCTGACTGAAGGCCCATGTCCTATATCAAGTTCCATTGGCTGTCCTATCATCATCCAAGTGCTAGGCTCTCTCTCTCTCTCTCTCTCTCTCTCTCTCTCTCTCTCTCTTTCTTGGTGAACCCAAGTGGTTCTTGAGGAAATTAAGAACGGGGTTGAATTGAAAAATCCATGGGATGAGTTTATTTTAGTTCAGATCTTCGTCATCTGATGAGTGATCTCTGATACCCTTGTGATTGTAAAATGTATATCACATTTATCGTGATTCGACAGCCTTGTGTAATCCGTTCTTATGAGGGCCTTTATCTTAAGTTAAACTAAAAAATTGATGCACTAATTGCGAGCAACAAGATGAGCTTGCTAATTATGAAATTCATATGTTTAGGAAGCCAATCACAGTTCTTGGTGATGGTTCAAAGTTTCACACTTCATAGCTGTACAAAGAGTAAATGTGCATCAAAGACTCACATCTGGTGACAGCCATCAATCGCTAAGATACAAAATACTTTTCTTTGAATGCTCTAGAAAGTTATACATTTTCTGTGTGAGTGAGGTCAGGAACAAATGTGAACAAGGTTTTGGAGGTCAAAACGGTCGACGAAACACTCATTTGTGGCTATCTCCATGGCTACTCATGAACGCTGGATGGGTTCTCTGAGGCCACTACAGCACTTTCTGCGGACTAATATATGGAAAATTTTTATATTAATATATTAAAATATTGATTCTCTGATAATGTAAAATGGAAAATATGTTTATTTTTATTAAGTCTTCTCATAATAGGAATGACTCCAAAGTCAACACATGTGCTTCTCTCTCTCTCTCTCTCTCTTGCTTGTACAAGCACATAAGGAGGGTGGGTGAAGGTCTATCTACGCCATAAATGGAATTCTAGTGCAGTGTCTACTCGAGATTGGAATATGGGGATTCCATGGTCTAGAAAACATAACCTTAGTAGAGATCTCATTGAACATGGCATGGCTTCGTGTATTCAAATCTTATGCATACGAACTATGTCTAGGAAGGAAAAATGACTTGTAAAGTCTTCAGTAGGGCTCGATCAAAAATCCATGATATGTGACTACCTCATGGTCACCAACATTGTAGTTTTTCTCTCTCTCTCTCTCTCCTCCCGCTTCTTCTCCCAAC